AGATCTGGTTGATAAGTCGAAGCTTTTTGTTGGTCTCCCCTAGCAACTAACCTGCATTTGTGATGACCATCTCGCTTGACACTAAAAATAAACATAGAGTTAATAATTTTGGATTTGTCTACTTCTGTAGCTTCAATAGTTTTTACCGACCAGGTACCCATTTTCGTCAGCTGAGATATCTCTTTATCATATGCTTCTTGGAATTTTTCTTTTTCAATTGGATCCCTATTGTGTGTGATTGCTTGAAAATATTGTAATGGACCATGCTGGTTGTTCTCTTCACTGCTGACCTGGTTTATGGTGTGGCGTGTAGCAGCAATGTAATTTACTGCATATGTTTTTGTAGTTTTCCTACGTTTACCAATACGTGCCTTAGTTCTTTCGTCCCTGTCTCGCTTCTGCCGTTCTTTGGCATCGACAGGTTCAGGCGTTTCTACATTGGTGTTCTTTTGACGATTACCAGATCTTGTACCACCCAAGGTACTATTGTCAACGTAGAAATTATCAGTAGGAATGGGGGTGAGTTTTGATGAACGATTACTAGATGGTGGTGTAGATGAAGATGTAGATGAAGATGTAGTATCAGTAGAGACAGCAGTGGGCAGTGGTGATGATTCATCAGAAGTAGGATGAGATGAAGGTTCAACAAGAGTTAAGGGTAGTTGATTAGGATCATTGATGTCGATGGGAGTGATTAGTTCCTCTAAATCAGAAGAGGTGGGATGAGTAGTGTGGTTGTTAGATGGATTTGAATTGGAAGTAGTATTGGTGGTGATATTCAAATCAGCATCAGCATCATTTTGAATTAAAATTTTATCTTTAAAGAGTGGATCTTTGTTAACGAGGGAAGATGATTTGGGTGATGAGGATAGAGTAGATAAAACTGTATCTTTATGATTATCAGAAGGTGTGGCTTCAATTTCGTCCTTTGAAGATGTAGTATGTTCAAATTTTGATATAAAAGTTGTGATGAGATCGTCGAATATAGAATCATCATATTCTTCATTTTCATGAATATCAACGTCATGTTTAATTGGAACAAAATTGGATGAGGATACCACCCTACGTTTAGTTGGGAGGTAAAATAAATAGCCATAAGATTCAGCATCTGGTATTAGAGCAAAACCTTTTTCACCTCTGACATGTAATTTGGAGGCAGTTTTATTGAGGTTAATAATGACCGGTTGACCGAATGGTAGCAGTGACTTGGTATCAAGTCCTAGTAAACCGACTTTAGACCGAGGTGAATCCCTCATAGAATTGTTATATATGGAATTACGGATTATAGTTGCATATTGCACAGCGTAATACCATAGGTGGTGTGGGAGTTTTGCACTATTCATAATAGTACGACAATCATTTAATAATGTTAAATTTAATCGTTCCGCAACACCGTGAGCTTGGGAATCACCTGCGTCGGTATAAACAATTTGAATACCGTTTTCAGAAAGAAACGTTTTTACTGCAGAGTTGGTGTACTCTGTTCCCCGGTCAAACTGGAATTTTAATATGGGGGTTTTGAATTGTCGCTCAATAGTCGCAATAAAGGACTTGAGGACATGTAGGATCGTTGCATCATCTTTCCTTTTTAGTAAATAAGTCCACTTAAACTTAGATGCCTCATCAGTGAACGATATAAACCATTCAGGTTTTGTAGCCACAGTTACTGGTCCAAACAGGTCAGAATGAATATATTGAAATGGTTTGAACACCTGCTGGTATTGCAGACGTGAACCAACAATATGTGGTCTCTTCCTGCTTTTTCCTTTGAGACAGTCCTGACACTGAAAATTGTTAAGGTTAGACCAATCAATTTCGTCTATAGATAGATTATTGAAGGTTTTATTTTTGATGGATGTATAGATTGACTGAACATTGACGTGACCTAAAATGCGATGAATCATGTCTAAAGGAAATTTAGTTTTTAACGCATTTACAGATTTACGAGTTGCAGTAGATGGAAATACAATATGATGATTGGATAACCAATGTAAACCATTTGAGGAGTCAATGTTTGCTGCAACATCACCATTAGCATCTTCAATGGTGTTGAGACGCTCGTTTAAAAACAGATGGTGAGAACGGAGATCACTAGTAGATAAAATGGTGTGATCAATTGTGGGTGTGTAAAAGGCATGAATTTTTATTTGGCTGCCATTTAATGTTTTTAGAATTAAATCACCCTCTTGATCGTATGGGATATCCGTGTTGGAGCATGAGGTTATTTGAACAGATTCAGGATGAGAGTCACGAAGATTGTGCAACATCTCTTTATGTTTTACAAGGGTAACCGTAGCACCGGAATCTAGCATCATATAATATGCAGGATTTAGTGAAGTTGAAATAGGCCTAAGTAAGGTTGGATCGACTGGGTTATTTTGTTGAGGAATAGAGGTGCTATTTGAATGGGTTTTAACTTGGCTAACCTTTTTAGAACGAGCTTTGGTAGATTTGGCTTTTGGCTTAACTGTTGAAGGAACTGTAGTATTTTTGGTGTTCAACACAGTAGATGTGTTGTTTGCTCGTTTATTCACTGATGGATTTGTTGGATACTGTTTTTTTGAAGAAGATGGAGGATTAGGGGAAAAATGTGGATCGGAAATTTGTGAAGCTTGATGGTAGTATTGATATTCTCTCTTGATAGAAGAGAAAATGTCGTTTATAGTATATGGGGTATCACTCTTAAAAAAGTGTTTAGAAATGGATTCGTAAGTACCTGTTAACGTATCAAGAATTGTTTGTTTTAGCAGGTACTCGTGGGTTTGAAGATCCGTGGGGTTCAATTGATCAATTAAGTTATGGAGATAACTTGTAAATTGAAATGCTGGGTAGCCACCATTATATTTTAAAGATCTAATAGTGTTGATAATGGTATTGACATTACTGCGTTCAATGTCGTATGTCATGGCCTGACGAATAACATCATAGGGATGCATTTGCTTGTGAAAGCATTCTTGAACCCAATCGGGATAACTGCTCTGAGGAACAAGGGTGAAAAATAAATTAATTAAACCTTGAGATTCTTCTGGCGTTGGATCTCTTACAGTACGATCGTGTGAATCAGGAACCAAATCTTTTAGACCAGAAGCAATCAAATGTTTTATTAAGGAATGAACCCAGGAGTTAAATAGACCAACACTAGAGCAGTAAAATAAAGTAGTTGGAATGTATGGGTTGTTATATGTACATGAATGGTTAGGTGAACCTGGAAACATTGGTTGGATTGGATTGATGGGAGAATAATATCCCGGTAGTTGACCATAATAAGGAAATGGCATATAAGCGAAACCAGTTGGTTGTTGGTAACCGTTTATTGGAATATGATGGTCATATGATGGACCATTAGTACCAGAATCAGGATAGGATGACTTTCCAGCCTGAGAAGGATTGTTCGGCGTGGAAGAACCGTATGGAGCAGATTGCTGATCTGGAGAAGCATTGTTTCCAGATTCCCTAGAAGATGGGTCAACATCTGTTGTAGCATTTAAATTATGTTCCAACTGAGGGTTGGATGGGATGTTGGATGCAGTGGAAGCGTCTTGACTGGTATTTATGTTAAAAGCTTTAATACCAGCGCCCGTGGAGGGATTTACAGCACTAGGATCACTAGTGTGTCCAGACAGAAAGCTACCATGTTGAGAATGAGCGCCTTTATTCATTGGATATATAGTAAACATTCTCAATATTATATTAAACAGATTTAGTATACAAAATTATAATAAAGTTCTTCACTTTCTTTCTTTATATACAACATAGAAATAATAATATAGAAAGATTGTAAATAAGATAAAAATAATGTATGAAGAAATCCTTGGCTTTATATATGTTAATATTCAGCCATTTTCCTCTACGAACAGTAAGATATTTAATAAATAAACTCAACAACTTTTGGTGACCTCTCAACAATTATTACTCAACAATTTATCGTTTAGTGTCTGCTAAAATCTTATTGTTCTATCTATTTTATCATAAAACATTCTATTTCAACAATCACTACCACTCTTTTCCTAAATAAATGATACTCTATGTGATATAATATAAACTAAATATTAGAGCAATATTTTTAACTGTTGGGAGTAGAACTTCAAAAATGTTGTTGTTCTTTGAACTCGTGGATTTAGAAGTAAGAAAAGCATTCAGATGTATTTTCTCCTAGGAACCATATTTTCGCACGTTTTTAATCGCAGGCGAATTTTTTAATCGTAAACGGATACGGAATATTAAATCGATTTAATTCCGCAACTTTTTATCAAAAGAAAAAAATAAAACAACAGAAAATTTCTCGGAAACGCTTTTTCGTACAGAAAGACCCACTTTGCAGATACTAAAATGAGTAGAATTTTTATTTATTTTTATTTTTTTTTTACTCATTTTTGTATAACTGAATGATCAATAATTTTTATTATCACCGTTCCTTCTTGACCACAGCGTCAGCAGACGACTAGTGTGACAAAAAAAGAAAAAAGAAAGAAATATTGAAAACTTGAGTAGAATTTTCCTTCAAGCAAAAAGAAATCTTTGTTATGAATAGAGATGTTAACAAAGACGTTATTAGCAAGATCTTTACATAATGAGTGCTATGTGACACACCTTTAATCTTATAGTAATAACCTTATCAATTGAACTCCTTCAATATATTTAGAAACTTCTTTTTCTTTACTGTTCAATACCTTTGTTTTTTTTTTTTTTTTTTTTTTAAGAAGAAAGTCACATTATCAAAATAGCTTGTTTTAGCTGAATCCATCTTTTTTTGTACACATCCTTCCAAGATATATTGATATATTTTAGTAAAAACTTTATCTAATTTCAATCAAGATAAGTGCCAAGTATTCATTTATTAGAAAATTGAGAAGGGAAAAAAAGAGGCAAAAATTTCCAAACAGATCATACTACTATTAATACACACACACACACACACACACACACACAAAAATAAATAGATTGTAATAATAATAATAATACTAGTATTATTATTATTATTAACAAAATACAAGGAGAATATGTCTAGACAAATGGCCCCCTGGGTGCCACTTTTTCAACAATCGTGTAAAAACAATTTAACTGATACAAATCCATTTACAGCCTTTCAATTCTCTACCTCTGAGATAACAGTCAATGAAGATCAAAATATCAAAGAAATCAAGCCTCGTGTAAGGACAGTAGTACTTCGAGACTTTCTTTTCAATGATAAAAAGACAAATGTGTTAACTTTCCATTCCGACTTAAGGAGTGAGAAAATGAAAGTTAGAAAAGGCCAAAAACAATACTTCGAGGGCTGTTTTTATTTCCCTGGTACTTGGGAACAATATAGAATAAGTGGTGAATGGTTCAGTATTTCCTTGAATGGCGATAATGATATTGATGATCATAAATTGACCAAATACGGTATTCTTATAAAGGAATCTATAGAGGAATCTATAAGGTTGAACCAAACAAATACTAAGCATTCCACAGATGACAGTTCTAGTACTAGTACCAGTGCTACTACTAATGATGAAATTAATGAAACTTGTAATAATAATAATAATAATAATAATAATAATAATAATAATAATAATAATGATAATAATGATAATAATAATAATGATAGAGATGATAGAAATGAAATAACTGAGGTTGTTTATAGGTTTCCTGAGTGTAATGATTGGAAAGAAGAAGTAATGAGACAATGGGATGGATTATCAAGAGCAGCTAAAGCATTATATAGAAAGCCTGCTCCAGGTGAGATACTGACAGTAGAGACAAGTAAGAAATTGGATAAGATACAACGTGGTGTTGATGGTGCTAAAGAAGACGCAGGCTTAGAAAACTTCACGGTAGTATGTCTTTTAATTGATCAAGTAGACTACTTGAATTTAAAAGATGGTCGTGGAGGCGAAAGAAGAATTTTTAGAAGATATTGTGATGCAGTATTATCTAGAAAAGATTTTAAGGAAGAGGAAGAAGAAGAAGAAGAGGAGGAGGAGGAGGAGGAGAAAGAGAAAGAGAAAGAAGAAGATGGCGAGGAGGACGAAGAAGATGAATGTGAAATACTCTCTGAACATGAAGTGTGGACAGAAGTAGAGGTTTGTCCATAATAATATAGGAAAAAGCAAACATAAATAGAACAAGTAAGGGAAAAACATGTTTAGGTTAAGGAAACAAATATAATATATTTCAACTAATTGTTTTCCTTTCCATGACATATCATCAATATACATACGTATCGATGTGTGTGTATATATATAATGTATATATGTATGATTATGTAAAATATGATTAATATTTTTTTCAATAATGATATCTGAGTGAGTCAACAATGTGATTAAAAAAAGAAACACAAATTTGTATATGTTTCCATTACAAACCCCTTTTACTCTATTATCTATTATCTATTGTTATTTTTGTTGAATAGAAGATTTGTAGACAATAGATATCTTCTTTAAGTTTATAATACCAAAAGAAAAGAAACACCAAGAGCATAGAAAGGCATGAACAGAAGTTATAACCAAACAAGTGATTGATAGACTTATCACATAGATGTTCTGTATATCATCTTTAAAAATAAACACCAACCCTTTAACCTGATAGTTTATTTTACTGTTACCGTGTCGTGCCAAAAAAGACAAATGATTAGATAAATAGAACAGATAGAAAAATATGTAGAACATTGAAGTGAAGACTTTATGAGAAAGGAACAAAAATAGATAAAAAAAAAAGAAACAAATATATAGATATATATGCTTTTCAAGGACAAGGTCATAATAGTTTTAACAAAGCACCGCATACTTCTTACTACTAATCTCAAATTTTTGCTTACCGCTTAAATATACCTAATTAGGATAATCTATCCCTCAGGGATCGAAAAAGAAATAAAATAAAAAAATAAAAAAAAAAGAGGAAAGCCTAAGAGGATCCAAAAAAGCTGTTTAGAAGTATTATAATATATTGATTGAATCGCTTAAATTCATGCTAGAGGGGAAACCGCAGAACACGGAACACCGGAAACCTTGTGCAAATAGACAACCCCTTTAGTTTTTTTTTTAAAAAAGAAAAAACACTCTTTGGAGAATCGAATAACAAAAACGACTGGGTGATTGAGTCACTTGTTTCTGGTATAAAAGAATGCTATATGATCACCACAGAGCGGAGAGCCATCCACCTAAGAAATCTTTTGTGCCAGTCAATCGAAGTAAACAGAGATAAATTATATGAATATTCGTATACATATAAAATAGTTGTAGCGCTGCGTAGCGTAGCGGGAGAAAACAGGGAATCGCTAATGTTTTCCCAAATAGGAATATCATTCTCTGGGTTAGCCGATGGCCCTTTAAAAATAATAATAACAATAACAATATTAATAATAATAATACTATCTTATCTTATCTTATCTAATATAAAAGTATAGATATGTAAGCATGATCTTGATAACATTGTTGATAGCGGCTTTCTATTTTCTCTTTTTTATTTTTTTTTTTTTTACTTTTCTTTGCTTTAGGGGATGGTAAACTTATCAGCTATAATATAAGCAACTCTAAAGGATAGGCACTATTTTAACTTAACTTGGTTTAAATTTTCTTCTTTCCAATGATCTATACGATTATATAAAAAGGAGTCGTGTGAACTTGGATTTTTTTTTTTTACCACATAATTCTCAAACTATACATCTTTCTTCTCTCATAACTGTTTTGGTTTGATTTGTGTCGGTTAAGGAAAGAAAAAAAAAAAAATAAAAAAAACACCACAAGTAACAGAGATAAAGAAGTCATACTCTGATCGATTTTTGATTTATAATGTCTATTAGTTCTACATACTATCCATCTGAACCAACCAAGCCTTCTGTAGTCACGGCTACTGTTCCTGGTCCAAGGGGTCATGAAGCTTTAAAACAATTATCCAACACTTTCGATACTAGACCTGCTTATTTTGTTGCTGACTATGACAAGTCCTGCGGTAACTATATTGTCGATGTCGACGGCAACACCTTTCTAGATCTATATGCCCAAATCGCTTCTATCGCCCTAGGCTATAACAATCCAAAATTAATCCAAACCCTAACCACAAATGAAATGAAAAATGCTCTTGTCAACAGAGCTGCTATCGGTAACTTCCCTTCTAAAGAACTAAATGCTGTTCTAACTAAACTTTTGAAAGTAGCTCCAAAGGGCCAGACCCATGTGTGGAGTGGTCTTTCTGGTGCTGATGCCAATGAACTGGCTTTTAAAGCCGCATTCATGTATTACATGCAAAAGAAGCGTGGCGGTAGAGATGTCCCATTCACTGAAGAAGAATTGACTTCTGTCATGGAAAACAAGACTCCAGGATCTCCAAAATTGGCTGTTCTTTCCTTTAAAAAAGCTTTCCATGGCAGATTATTCGGTAGCGGTTCCTGTACTTGTTCTAAGCCTGTCCATAAACTAGATTTCCCAACTTTTGACTGGCCACATGCCGAATACCCGTACTATCAATATCCATTGGAAAAATACGAAGAAGCTAACCGAAAGGAGGATGACAGATGTTTGAAGATCGTCCAAGACTTAATCACTAGCTGGCACATACCAGTCGCTGCCCTTTTAATCGAACCAATCCAATCTGAAGGTGGTGATAACCACGCCTCCAAATATTTCTTACAAAAATTAAGAGATATCACCTTGAAACATGATGTTGTTTACATTATTGATGAGGTCCAAACTGGTGTCGGTGCTACTGGTAAAATGTGGTGTCATGAATATGCAGATATCCAACCACCTGTTGATTTGGTGACATTCTCCAAGAAATTTCAAAGTGCCGGTTACTTCTTCCACAACTTAGATTTTATCCCAAACCAACCATATAGACAATTCAACACCTGGTGTGGCGACCCAGCCAGAATGATCATTGCTGGTGCCATCGGCCAAGAAATCTTGGACCATGACTTGTTATCTCTGGTTAATAAGACTGGCGATTATCTTTTCAGCAAATTGGAAGATTTACAGGCTAAATACCCACAATACTTTGATAGACTAAGAGGTAAAGGTAGAGGGACTTTCATTGCTTGGGATTTACCAACTTCAGATTTAAGAAATTCTTTGCTACAAAAGTTAAGATTGAATGGTTGTAATGTTGGTGGTTGTGCTGAAAGATCTGTTAGATTAAGACCAACCTTAACTTTTGAACCAAAACATGCTGATATTTTTGTCGAACTTTTAGAAAAAAGTGTTCAAGAATTATGATTTTCGTTTGAATCCAAAAAGAAGAGAGATACCGGCACTTAGTTAATATTAATGACACATGTGATTTCTTTTTTTTTTTTTTATTTTGTTTACTTATATAATTTATTTATTTATGTCCTTGTATATTCAATGAACAATTCCTTGTCATGTATTTACTATATATCGCCTTATTTTTTTGGAAAATATAACAAGTTCAGATGAAACTAGAAAGGTATTGTTATAACGAGGCTCCAAGACTAACGAAGTACCACAGTTTTATTTTAATTATATATACATATATCCCTCCTTATATTCATACATATGATCTCTTGAAATAAAAAAAATAAAAAAACATCTTAATTTTATTCTCCAAATAATTTCCTAACTTTTTTCAACACAGAATCCTTCTCTGGATCGTAGGGATGGTCCTTTGATGGAATCTCTAAAATAGCAGGGAATGGCTTGACATAGTTATCGATTTTCGATCTAATAACATCAGCAATGTGTTGATTAATTAGCAATAATGCAATGTCATCTCTTTGCTCAGTGAACTCATCGAATTTATCGGATATTTCCTCCGCTGTAGTTTTATCTTCTTTATATATGAAAAAGTTCTTTTCATTTGTATCAGGATTGATTTGTCCAATACCTGCTAAAAGTAGACCTGTAGTAGTATCTTCATCACCCATAACAGCAATTAACGTTCTTTTCTCAGCCATTATCGAATATTTATATCAATGATAATAAATATTGAAATAAAAAATAAGGATAATTTAAATTTTGAATATTCAAAATAATTTTCACTATTACTTTACTTCCTTGTTTTTGGTTACCTGGTCGCCTTATCCAGTAAGTCTAATTGAATGATAAGAAAATCTTTGAATGGATATTCAACCTCCCTCTGTTACGAAGTCTCATACCCTTTTTCAACAGATATATTGGGCCTTTCTTTCTTTTCTATCAGTTTATCAACATTTTCAAGCCTTTGTTCTAATAACAAAACAAAATAATTGAAAAAAAAAAACTAATTTAATTTTTCCTTCTTTTTTTCCTTTTTTTTTTTTTTTATTTTTAATTAAATAAGAATAAAGAAATGAAAAGTAATCCATCCATTATATTATAAATAAAATAAAGAAAATGAAATCAGCAATATGCTTGTGTATTAGAAAAAAAAAGTTATTTGGATAATTTGTCAATGTTGAACTACTTTATACAACATAAATAGTTTAATGTCATTAAGTTGATTGTCTTTTTCTTTCCAAGAAAAACAATAAACAAGAAAGCATAATCACATACATACATATATATATATTTATATTGCTTTTGAAGAAGGATGCTTGTTATTAGAAAGAATTCGTATCAACGATTGATAAACGTTAGATATTTTACTACAAATTTTATGAAGTTTTCAGGGCACAGTAAATGGTCCACCATCAAGCATGATAAAATGAAAAATGATTCATTGAAAAACAAAATCTCCAATAGGTTTTCCAACCAAATCACTACTGCGGTCAAATTAAAGGATCCACAATTAGCAGCCTTAATTGAAAAGGCAATGAAGAGTAATGTTTCTAAAAAAGTCATTGAGAACGCTATTAAGAAGGGACAAGGTATATCAATTAATGGTGGAAACAGTACCATGTCTATCAATCTATATGAAGGAGTTGGGCCCGAAGGATGCAGTATAATCATTGAGACATTGACAGATAATAAAAATCGCACTGTATCTTTAGTCAGAGGACATTTTAATAAGTTTGGTTATAACATGACGGGTAACGGGTCATGCTTACACTATTTTAATAAAGTTGGAATAATTAAAATTAGTAAAGATGCATGTGAGCAGGATGAGGTTGTGACTCAATCTTTAGATGAGGAAGAAGTTTGGGAAAAAGTGATAGATATTGATGGAATAATTGATATTAAAAGAAATTTTTGTAATGACAAATCAACTGTGAAGGGCACAGAAGAGGAAAAGGAAGAAGAAGAAGAGGGATGGTTATTTATTATAACAGAACCAAGTGATACCAGTAAAATTGCACTGAAAGTTAAAGATCTAGGATATTCTATTGAACATACCGGGATTGAATATATGGCAAATGAGGAAACTAGGATTCAAATTAAGGGGAAAGACAAACGAGAGTCATATAAGAAATTTATTGAGGGTTTACAGGGCTTGGATGATGTAGTAAAAGTGTATACGAACGCTCAACTATAAAATACAAACCTGAGAAAGAAAAAAATCACTAAAATGAAGTAAAATGAAATCATACAAAAGACATTTATATATTCGCACATATATATATATAAAGTACAACAGCAATAACGTGTAAATAGAGAGAATTGTCATAATTATCTGAAAAAAAAAGAAGAGTGTATAATATGTATTTTGCCAAATAATATCTATATATATACATACATACATACATATATATATATATGTTTGTGTGTGTGTGTATGTATGTGTAGTAGTAGATAATTCTTCAAAAAGATTATATTCCAGTTATCAATACTACTACTACAAAAATCTATAAATAGAACAAATACAGCACCTTTTCTTTTTCTTTCTTGTTTTTCTCATAGAGCTTGACAGCTTTTTACCATTTTGGGTAAAAATGAAAGAAAAATCCTATTTACAAAAAGAATAAAAAAAAGATCGGAGGAAAATTGAAGAAAGTTTTACTACAAACAGGAAAAACACAAACAAAGAAGTTTTCTTTTACCTAAACAGGCAATCGTTTACCAAATCAGGAAATGATCAATAAAGATTTCTTTAAAATAAATTGAAATTGTTCGAAATGTTAATACGGTTGTTGTTGTTGTTGTCTATGCAAGCGATATAACAACCATAGTTGATTCACCGGTTAGTAAGATATAATTGAAAGGTAAATAGTGTTAAATTTTTAAGATATTAATGTTTTCTTTTATTTTCACTCGAACTCTATACCTTTTTTTTTTTTCATTTCTCCCCTTAATGTCACTAAAGACTGCTCGAAGTAAATAATGATCTTAAGATGCATAGAGAAATTCCAGTTTTCTCTGTTTTGTCCAACTTGGTTTAACTGTGATTGGCTGATTAGTACTGTCATGCCCCTTTTACCTTCTCTGTAACATTCGCTGTAATCAATCTGGCATAGTGAAGTGCTGCATACACACACACGCACACACACTCTCTTTCTCTTTTGTAGTATTAAATTAGCACAATTTATAGGAACTCTATTATGGGTTTCGAAAAAGGAACCAGTCATATTTTATATTCTTGTTATCTCCTTTCTTGTTTCTTCCGCAAACTTCTTCTTTTGTTTTCCCTGTTTTGTTTATATTTAGAACAAAATTTCTATTACTAAAAGAAGAGTAATAAAAGAATTTTTCTTTTTTTTTTCTTTCCTTCTTCTTCATCTGTAATACAGTTAACATATATATGTCTGATTTTTAATGACAGATAACAACAGAAGTATAGATAAGAAAAGAGTTAAAATATATATGTTGATCTACTACTACCCTAGAAATAATACTAAATATTTGCATTTTTCCGTCTTCAAGCATTAGTGTCTATACTTCACCAGTTATCCTCACAGAAAAATACTCAACAGATCAACTTTTTGTTCTTTCTAATAACTGCTTCTTTTTCTTTTTTTTGTCTTTCTTCCTTTATTTACTATTTTATTAGTTCTTACATGATTTCTATCAATTAAAATATGTTATCATACATATTTTTAGTCATCATATCTTTTTATTTTTTACCCATACATTTCGTGGCAAGCCAGGATAATTCCAATAGTATAGCAAATGAAACTGTTTCTAGGAATAATGATAATGACAACAATATTGCACCTCAGGTGACTACAATACTTGCACCTTCTATATCATCAACATTTTATACCCCTGCCTTATCTACTCCCCTTTCTTCCGCAATAACATATCTTTTCACTAGATCTTCAATAAATAGTGCTATGAATCTTTTTGATTCGTCTAGTGTTTCTAATACACATACCATAAGTGTTGGCACAACTCTATCCACTTCTCTACGAGATTCCTCCTCATTATCTACTATTGCTTCTTTTCAAAACTCTGTTTTATCCAACATCCAAACCTCTGATTCTTCAGTTACTGTCTCGATATCTTCTTTATCTTCGTCTACTACCCAAGCATACACATCATCATCAACAACTTTATCAACCTCTAGTTATCCAGCTATTTCCTCGTCTAATTTCATGTTCTCAACCACGTTACCTTCATCTTCAACTTTATCACCGTCTTCATCATTATTTTCCTCTTCAGCTCTTGTGGGAGCCATTTCAAGTTTAAGTTTTACTTCCTCTAGTTTTTCACAAATATCATCATCTTCTTCTTCTTCTTCCTCTACTATTATCACTTTATCTTCATCCTCCACTAACTTCATATTATCATCATCCTCATCTAGTTCCATTCCATCTTCATCCTCTACCACTTTTATTCAGTCTACATCTTCATTTTCAACTTCTATTTCGTTTTTAACCACTACTAGTTCGTCCTCATCTTCTTTAACATCTTCAACCTCACAATTTTCCTCTTTTTCCTCTTATTCAGAGAGTTCAACAACCAGGAGATCTACGTCAACATTATCTCGTAGGAGTGTGACAACCACTAGTTCCACAACTCAAACCTCCGACAGCTATTTGTCTTCTGGTATAACAATCACAAGTATTATTCAAGGTGTGACTATCCTGTCAAATCATTACACAACAATTACTCTATCCCCAACCGTTTCATCGAATGCGCATTCAAACTTAAATCGATCTTCGAATCATGGATTATCCAAAAAAAATAAAAAGATTGTATTGGGTTGCTGTTTGGGTATAGGAATCCCACTTCTCTTAGTTTTCCTATGTTTGATCTATTATTTCTTTATTAGACAAAGAAAAGAAAGTTATATCAATTCAGATGGCCAGATAGTGACGACATTTAAAGCTAACCCATTGTTACAGTTATGGAATCAAATAATTGGTAAGCATCCAGACACTAATATTATAACTACAAATTTATCCAATAAGAATAAAAGATTATCAAAATCTAATGCAAATTCTAAACGTAGTAGTACCATCGATGAAATAAGTAATGCCGATATAAATAACCATGCACATCATCATTTAACAGGTTCTCCATTAAATCAAAGTGATAAATTTTATCACAGTAGCACATCTGATGATGATGCATTCGAAATATCGCTAAGTGATTCAAGCGATAACAACAATAATTATAATAACTTAAAAGAAAAACGAGCATCATCTAATTCAGATCCGTTGAACAACCAGACAATGTTTTCTGATGAAAGTTTACCTGATAACATGTACACTAGATTCATAGAAAGGTTTGATAACGGTTCATATAATGGCAGTGACAATATTCCTAATAATGATAATGATAATCATGATGCATATTATTTTGGTGAAAATGACGATGGAGATAATGAAGATTATAGTTCACATAGAGTTTTAAACGTTACAAATTATTAATTTAGTACTTACTTAATAAACAAAAAAAAGAAGAAAAAATTGACGTATATTATTACCCTTCAATATTTTGATTATTATAAATTAGTTAACATTCATTCATATTTATTTCAACATGCATTTAAAAAAATTAGTATTATATATATATATATATATATATAGAAAGTTAATGATTAAGTATGCACATATACACGTGTGTAAAAAACTATTTTAAAACATTCTTTTACAACAACAACGAAAAAATCACTGTGAAAGATAAATGTTTAATTTTTTAATACATCTCTAACACAAATAGGATTATGTTAGCAAACCTTTCTATCACTTTAAAAACCTTCAAATAATTCATCAATTTTCTTAATTACGTCTATATGTAATATTTCTCCCTTTCTTGTTATTAAAGAGCCCTTTTTAAACATTTCTGGTTCATTATTGTAATTGATCCCACAATCTTTGAACAGAATTTCTTGTTTATCACTACTTAATGTACCACAAAGCTTCTTTTCAGCTTCTTGAGGTGTCATACCACATACTTGAATTAATTGCCAAAAAACTGTGTTGTATAAATTATTAATATGTGTGTCAACATACCTCCATGATAGGTAATCTTTAACTATAGACAAATTTGGATAAAGAACACATCTAGAATCAAAATATGGCAAATGTTTAACATTTAATGGTGTATCGGGAAAGAATTTATCCCAAAGAAACACATAATTTGTGGTAAAAAGAGATCCAATTAAAGTTGCAAGTTTATCTTTTCGTCTATTAAACAATGTAGAGTCCCTCTTCAAGATAAAAGAGTATTCGTCACTCTCACCAAAGGCCAATATGATATCATTTTTATATTTTAGGACAACATTCTTAGCTGAAGCGTTCATTAGTTTCAAAGCTCTCTCATCATTAGGTTTACGAAATTCATAATATTTAGAAAATTCATGGAATTTTTTACCATCTATTCTTATCACAATATAACAGTCTGACAATAATTTATCATGTGTCTCGAACTGTCGTACGTATTCAAATCTTGAGTTGGCCATTGTACTTTTTTTATTCTACTTTTGTGAAATGTATTTTTACTTGACAAAATGCAACATTTAGTTGCAAATTTCTAATAGAAAATTTGTTCCAGGCCATTTGTTCTCAAACTTAAAGAGTTTACATTTGTAACATATATTATTTCCTCTTGTCCTACTTCATTAAATTCTTTTCAATCTGTTTCCATCAATTAGAAGAATAAAAGAACCCGGAAAGAGAATCTTTTCCTTTAACCAAAAAAAAAAAAAGATAAAAAAAACTATTCTTCAAGGGGTATCAAAGGGTAGGCATAAACACCAAAACAAGAACTTCAACAAGAAGTCACTAACTAACTGATACAAAATTATCAATATATATATATATTTATATGCATACGTATGTGTATATCAAAAGATTAATTTTCACACCTATTTATTACAGTCTGAGAAATCGGTAAAAAAAAACATCAACAAAATTATCTAAATTACAATGGCCAGAACCATTAAAGTTATTAAAAGAAGAACAAACAAATTCGGTAAAAAGACTGATCCAATTGTTATTCAAAGAGCTGTTTGGACAGCGGGTCATGCTATAGTTTTAATATGTGGTCTTTTGTTCAGTTTGACATATTTCTTCCATGTTTTATTCTTTTTCAAATATAGATCTTGGAAATGGTTATTTTTAAGAGTCAATCATAATTATTCCATCATTAAAGGTCAAAGGTGGTATCATTCGTTATTAAGATTTGTTCCAGAATTGTTATATCGAACTTCCTTAATTGGTGTATTCATGGCTTCTGGCGTTACCATGACACAGAATTGGTCTGGTTTAAAACCAACCTGGTATGATCTTTTGTCTGCACCAAATTTCCAAACCACGTTAATTGCTGCATTGTGGTTTATAGCTGGAGGTAAATCATTTTACAAATTATTACCATTTATGATCATTAGTTTTATGCATTTAAGTAACCGTAAAAAAGAATTTGAAGAAGGAAATAAAGAGACTTTTAATGAATTAACCTTGAAGAATAAATCTTTATTACAAGTGTTAGCGTATTCCGAAGTGTTTATCTTGTTTACGTTATTATTAGATACTTTGTTATTAAAGACAGGAACTTCAGGTTTTCTTTTCGTTTTTTACACTTGTTTGTTTTGGTTAAGATTGAATTTTGAATCATACACTCAAGTTACTGTTTTGAGATTGCTGGCGATATTGGATAAAAAGGTGCCACCAAAATATACTGCTTATTGGGAAACTATCAGAAGATTTATTTATTCGAAAGTCAGAGAACTTGAAGTAATAAATAGTGAAAAGCCTAAAAGTTCTTGAAATAACATATAAACTATAACAGCAATGATAATGGAAGAAATTTTTTTTTGTTAAAATATATATTTTCCACAGCATATTTTAGTATTATATGTTTTCTGTGCAATAATAAATTGTATTGTGTGATTTTTTACAATTATGGTGGCAATTAGTTTAAAGCTTATTCAATCTTAAATTATTTTGTTAACGTCGTACTTATTTTATAATATGTAATTTGTCATGGCTGCTTCTTTTTAGAGAGGGCATATAATAGAAAAAACATATATATTAATCAGGAAATGTCATCTATTTTATATAGATCTTTTATTACACTTAAACTTATATTATGGAATTGCATCTACTTATTTTTTAAGTGACTAAAAAAAATTATTCCCAATGAACAAGGATTATCTATACAGTTCTATTTCATTGTTTTAATCAAATAAAGAATACCATCATAAAATATAAAAAGGTTAAAATATACATTCTCTTAATTTTCACAAATTATTATTTATGGTTGTGCATATTATTTAACAAAGTCAAACTTTAGGTAATCTAAATCATAAATAAATAGATGAATCATATAAATTTGTGTAAGTGAAAACATTCCTACTTGGGATTTCTAAAAAATTGATGATAACCCTGATATTTTATTATTAATTTTTCAAATCTCATTCCTATTGTTAATCTTGAATAATATTAATAACTTCCTTTTAAAACCAGTAATAGGTTGTAGTTAAATCACAAAATTATCTCTAGCATATATATCCATCATTAAAAGTCTTTTGAACAAAATTAAAAAAAAGATTATCATTTCCTAGAAAGTCTTTAATAAGATTCCACTTTTTCCACTAATAAACGCATATGCGGTTAAACCAATCTTAGACCTAAACACCAAGATTTTACCTGGTTAATTAAATATCTATCGAAGACTAACTAAGTTTGATAGTAAAAATAATTAAATAACAACTGAATATAGGATTACAAAGTAAAAAGGCATAACTAACTTTTCCTATCTTTATAAAAAAGTGATAAATGTGTATGAAAATGAGAGTTATGTAACAACAACTTCGATAAGAATGATTTTCAAGTTAGGTTTTTGTAAGAGTTTTTGTATGTAAATTGATGAATCATATTAATTAGTATAAGTATCAACACCCTTACGTAAACTCTATATATTACTATTTAATAACCCTGATGTTGTAGTATTACTTCTTCTTGTTGTTAGTCTTAGTCTTGTATGATATTAAAAGTTACTTCTTAATATCAGTACTAAGATGTATTTAAATAAGATGATTACCCCTAGTCTATCTCTCAACAATCAAAGGCCTCTTGACAAGATCTGATATAATTATTGCTCCCTGGAAATCCTCCAATCAGATTCAATACCTTATACAAGCCACTGCGCACATGGCTGTACCAATCCTCCACCCAGACACTCAAGTGTTACCCTCGGAATTGCGTATCTACTGAATTTCCAGTTAGGTTCCTTACAGTTTTCCTTATTCTCTGTGGTATATAACTGTACTATAATATGTAGACAATATTTTATTTCATCAAAAGTACTTTCTAGAGAGTTCGAAAATACGAAAAAAAATTAAAGAAAACGTTGAAAGAAATAGAAGATGTTTACACTAAATTAAAATATATAACATGTGCATACATATCAAATTAAAAAACTAAAATAGATGCTTATAACCTACTAACATTTGGGAACTACCTTTAGTAAATAAAAATATTGTATAATAAAGAAGCCATCACCATCAAGATTATAGAAGATTCTAGTCGAATCTAGAATTGCCAATTGTTATTAATAAGTCACACACATACTATTAATTATCATAATATTTGTGCTGCTTGTCGTTAGTGCACCCAAATTACTATAATTAGTAAATTGAGGTATGGATTATTAATCTATTAAGACACCAGATTAGATAGATGAATAAATCGGAAAAATATAGAAGGGCAACATTTTCTGTAGATAGAACTATCCTTTGAAACTTCTCTCTTATATATAATTTATATATTATGTACAAAAAATAACAACGATAACGATAAGAATAAATATATAAGCTTATCACTATCTTACTTATTACTATTTAGCTTGGTATTTTGCTTCTTGTTTTTATATATAAGAGAGGAGTGACAGAAGATAGTTCCATCTACAGAAAATGTTGTCTTTTTATATGTTTTCTAGAACTCGATCTGTTGGAAAATGAGAGCTTATTACTGCCATTTTCATAAGAATTATTTTTAATTAGTTTTTCTGTATATTATGTGGTGTACGAATGTACATAATATCAGGAAGACATTTTATTTTTTTACTAAGTATGTTTTTCGAAGATTTGAAAAGAAATGAAAAACTTTAAAAGAAAACTTAAAATAAATAAAAGAATGTATACTGAATACACTATATAATAAGTATATACATATATTTAATACAAAAATAAAATAAGTATCTATAACTTAATGATATCTACCATTACCATGGACGCAGAAGGCTCCAAATTTCAACACGATCAACTATTCAACTTGATATATTAATGAATTAGTGATCCATATCGTTATTATTAGTTATAACAATATAATTGAAAATCAAAGAACATTTAGGACAGTAAGTTGTGGTGGTGCAGTAGAAACTATAATGAACACGCAGTACAAAACAGGTGGCAAATGGACACGTTGTACCTAAAATATAATAGGTAATTTTAGATTCAACTAGAATCTTATGTAATCTCGGTGGTGTTATTTCTGTATTCTACAGGAAAGAGCTGTTGTGGAATAGAATAGTTATAACCATCAAGATTACATAAGATCCTGAATGAAGCTAGAACTAATTATTGTATTAATAAGCCATACACGTGCTACAACATTAGATGCTGCATAATAAAAAGATTAGATTACATAAGATTTTGGCAAATCTAGAATTTACCTATTATTTTAATAAGTCCCACGTGTATTACTAATTACCATGATTAGAGAATTGGGGTGCAGTTCTAATCCACTAGTGCACCTAAATTAATGTAATAAATTTTAGGGTGAATCAGTCAAGTCATTAATGTACTAATCTGAATAATCGATCGAGCTCCAGAAAACATATAAAAGAACAACGTTTTCTGGAGATAAAAGATCATCTTCCATAACTGTTTCTTGTAAATAATTTATATATTATATATAAACATAAATAGAACAACAAGCAAGTAACAAGTCAAGTAACTTCGAATAAATATATTAGCTCATTAAAAGCCGCTCAATATATAAGACCGTTTTAGTAATTATATTATCGATTATAGTTGATTACTGTCTCGATTATTTGAATAACTATTAATATTATTTGCGCTTCCCTGGAATACACAGAGAATTTCACCACCTCATAATATGACAAGAGCGTCTGTTCATCTCCGATGTAGTGTAACGGCTATCACATCACGCTTTCACCGTGGAGACCGGGGTTCGACTCCCCGCATCGGAGATTTTTTGCAACATTTGTAGTAACCGAACTTGTATAACTCTTACGTTAAGTGTTTCTGATAACAGTTAATCTTATTGAACTCTGTAATAGATAAAAACTCGATTACGAGAGATATACTCTTCTAGACGCTAAGATAGATAGATATAGCTTGATTTGTTGTCTATATATGACATATAGACTATACTTTGCATAAAGAGTAAACTAATATACACAAATATACAGATAAACATAGTTATGTAAACAAGAAAAACTAGAACGTCATTGTTGACTAAAGAATTCACAAGATTGTTTATAGTGATATCCAGATTCCGTATGCCACAAGATTCTTAACTAAAAATACATAAATGGAATTAATAGGATTCTAAATACGCAAATAATTGTAACAAGAATAAATAGTTAATCAATGGTATATATATTCGCTTGTAATCAAATTAGAATTGTGTAGTATGGACCGCATTCCATATTTATTATTATTAGCTTACTAGTAAACTTTATAAGTAGTTAACATTTCTTCTTCGCATATGGTGACGAACCCTGAGCCTATTATTCTATAAACTTAAAGCTTTATACATAGTATTGTAGAGTTCATGCATTACCTATAGAGGGATGAAACAAAAATATTTTGTCTTCTTGATAATTTCTCTCCAAATATCTTCATTTTTTAAGGAGATAACTCACAAATTTATAATACCACAATACAGTAATATGGGAGGGATCTGTTCCTAATGAAGATCTTCTGCGAAAGAAAAACTCCTATAAAATATATAATGTAATAAATAGTTTTTGCTTAGCCTCTTTTTTTTAGAATAAAAATATAGAGATAGATATGAGAGAAGGAAATATAATACTAAATATGAGCATACTATCGCCCAAAAAAGTGATTAAGTTACTTATAGTAAAACGATAAAAAATACTTTATAATAATAACCAATAATAGTATTTTATCAAAAGTCAAATGCCAATATACTATGATAAATGTACTTATCACGTTTGAGCAACAGAATAAAGTTATACATGAACATATATTCTGTACTTTTATGGTTTTATAAGTATTAAAAAACACATTACTATTTTTTTTTTAACACAATTTCAATGAAAATCGAGTATCATTCAACCTATCCAGGATAAAATATCTTTGCTTCGAAATAATATCGTACATCAGTATATCTAAATGTAAATCAATAGTACCATTGTATCACATTTGGTTTAGCCAAAAAGAATTTTATTTATCACATTAAAAATTTTATAGTTAGCTAAACTATAAATCATTAATAATTATAACCGTACAAACCAATCCAACTTATTCCACTCTTTTGCTTAAAGTATGGTTGTAAAAAGTAAACCGCTCTTCTTTCTTTTCTTTCTCTTACATCACTAGAATACACTATAACCTAAAGCGATAACTACTAAGTAATAATTGACAAATTTGTACTTATTCAAATGTAAGAAAAACTTGAAGGAAATTTCCACTGAGTCAAAGAAAGCTGGAAAAAAAAATAACTTAATAGCAAGTGTTCACGAGAAAAATATATATGCGCTTGAAGAAATTACAAAAGAAAAGAAGTATAGTACCAGGGTAAAGTACCAGATTTTACATTAGCAAATAGTTTTGAAATAACTGGTCATTTTTGTTCTTTATTTATACTTCAAACATAAAAAGTTAAATAATTTAAGGAAAGTCAACACCCCTAACACCTTTTCTCAATTTTTAATTTGTCATCTCTTCTATTAACACTCTATACACATCATGTCCAAAAAGATAGACTTTAAAATGATTACAGATCTTTCAATCCTTATAGGTACTGGTATATCATTATATTATTTGATAAATAGCTTATTAAACGCTGAATCAGGACCTATCAGAAGGTCTAAAGAGAACAAAGAAAAGCAGGAAAAAAAATGGATCAAATTGATCAACTCTAATCCAGATTTAGTGAACATACAGTTATCTGCATATGAAAGAGATATTTTGTCTTCCGTTGTTACGCCTGATGAAATTAAAGTTACATTTAAAGATATAGGTGGACTAGATTCTATTATAGATGGATTACATGAAAGTGTCATCTACCCTTTAACCATACCCGAATTATATTCGAGTAATCCATTACTTCAGGCACCATCTGGTGTTTTATTCTATGGTCCTCCAGGATGTGGTAAAACTATGTTGGCCAAAGCCATTGCAAAGGAAAGTGGAGTGAATTTTATATCGATTAGGATGTCTGCTATAATGGATAAATATTATGGTGAGTCTAATAAAATTGTAGACGCAATATTTTCATTAGCAAATAAGATAGAACCATGTATTATATTTATTGACGAAATTGATTCATTTCTTAGAGAAAGATCCTCTATGGATCATGAAGCCACCGCTACTTTAAAAGCCGAATTCATGAGTCTATGGGATGGACTGATAAATAATGGTAGAATAATGGTTATTGGTGCAACCAACAGAATGAATGATATTGATTCAGCATTTTTAAGAAGATTACCAAAAAGATTTTTTGTAACTTTACCTGGTGAAGAAGAAAGAAAGAAAATTCTACAAATTTTTTTAAAAGATGTACCGTTAGATAAGAAAAATTTCGATTTTGACAAAGTTGCTAGACTGACTTCCGGGTTGTCTGGTGCTGATTTGAAGGAACTATGCAGAGAAGCTGCATTAAAGTCTGCAAAAGAGTATATTAAATTCAGAAAGACCAATGAACTACTGAATCATATAACATCTGATAACACTACTACTAGAGCTGTCATGAGACCTCTAAGAACTGATGATTTTTTCAATAATGATGGACCATTTGGTATAGAGAGTCTCGACTAACAATAAATCCACATAAATCCAAGAAATGAAAATATCTAAAACACATTTGAAGAATATGTTTTTAATTAAAAAAAACAAAAAATGTCCATTATATCATAGTGTAAACATCGAAAAAAAGTGAATCAGTTGGTATACCGGATTGTTTTTATTTTTATTCTATTCATTTTATCAAACTTTAATATTCACATCCAAGGTAAAGAAGTATTAGTATACCATTGTACGATCTTGAATTATTGGAGATAATATACACACACATATATATATATATGTTCTGGTAGACATTATTAAAGTAATAATTTAATGTTTGTATATGAGTAGAACTTCTTCTATTTTCTTCCTTTCTTTATAAAAAATCTAAAAGAGGGTCACACATCAGTAGGGCACTCACCATGCATACTATACTGTCTTTCAAACCTAAAATTGTTCAGCCTCTATAAATGTAGCAATAGTTTGTTATTTTTGTTTTATTATTACAATTTGCATATTAACGATTAATCATTCTAAAAAAGGATTCAATATAAGGTTATTAAACTCATATTTCACCATTTCTTGAAAGAATGGAATCATTACACGAGGATGTAAAAGTTTTACTTTTTTCAAATTGTATTAATACAAATGAAAATATAGCCAATTTAATGCCATTCTTTATCTATAACCAATTACCAATATATTTAATATACTTTTACTTAAGTTATTATAAAAATATATAAACAAGAAAACAAAAATATTGAAAATATTTAAAACTGAATTTTGGACTCTCCTTTTATTATCGTTATGGCATTCATAAGTATTACCATAAGTCTTAGAATTAAACTTACATTATAAAAAAATACCAGTCTCTATAACATCTTGCTAGAAACATAGTCTTAATATTTTCTGGCTTTTAGTAAACAATATACCCTTATCTTTTATTTAAGTTAGAGACCTGATTTATTTAATAATTTATATCATGACTTTTCGACTCACCTGTAGCTAACAAATTATGGAGAGCCCTAGAACAATCCTGTACTAAATTCTACTTTTATGACTAAATACAAATTTTACTTGAATAAGAATTTTTTTTCTTAAGTATCTTCTATTATTCCTCAATACTTTAAAAAAAATTACTGTTTCAGGATAGATAGAACACTACTTGCAAACTTTTTTTTGTGATGGTCAATTATTTGTTTGTTCTAAATATTATGTACTTCCTAGAGATACAAAGTTTTGTCTTTTTAATATTTTTCACTCCAACAATTGTGTCAAAATCAATAAATCCTTATGTTGCAAAAAATTATTAAAACGGTCTGACATTTCTAAAAGATAGAAAATATGTATTTTTTTTCTTGTTCCGCGAAGAAATTTCTAAAACATAAAAATTACTTTGCAGAAGTCATGATGAATATTTACACAGTTATTTCAAGCAGGTTTTTTGAGAAGTCACTAACATGTAACGAGCGAAACAAGAACTCTTATCTACAAGGAGAAGATTAAGTGACACAGTGATCGATTTCTACCATGTCAGAATCTCAAGAGGACACCTTTTCATTTAGTGATATATTATTTGACAAAAATGGTAAATTCTGTTTATCTTGTTCTGCATATCGTGGATTCCAATATGTTACCACCAAAATGAGTGATCAATACCAAATGTATAGGAAAAATCAAGAAATTACTTCGAATGATAAAGAAAGTATCAATACCGTCACCAGCACCACCACCGCCACTACTACTTCTATTGTATCAAAACAAGATAGTATTATTACAGAATCTGTTAATAATGAATTAATACCAGGATCAAGAACTTATATAAAAGAGGATCCACCTGACGTACAAAAATTGGGGGCAGCATCATGGACATTTTTACATTCAATGGCAGCTAAATACCCTGATATGCCGACAGAAGAAGAGAAACAGGATATGACCGAATTTTTAAAATTATTTTCTCATGTGTATCCATGTACTTGGTGTGCTTCTGATTTTGAAAAATATATCACAAAACATTCTCCTAGAGTAGAATCCAAGGAAGAACTAAGTAGATGGTTGTGTGAAGCACATAATCATGTCAATACCAAATTGGGTAAACCAAAATTCAATTGCAATTTCTGGAGGCAAAGATGGAAGGACGGCTGGGATGAATAGAGGATAATTGACTTGGGATGTTACTGTCTTATTTCATTCTATATCCATCTACATATACTTACTCAATTACTTGTTAATATATTATAAAATTGTAACGAATCTATTATTGTTAATGTTTACATGCTTGATCTTCCTCTCTGATATCTATATATATATAGACATTAGGACATATATATCTATACTTATACATATATAACACACTTCTTTAGAATATATAACCTAACTTATTTGTATGGAGTTTTCAATCCAACAACGTTTTATTTTTTTTCTTTTTTTTTTCAATTTTCCTCATCGGCTGGCACTTTTTTTTTTCTCGTCAACATAAAAATACATATTCTGCACACACAAATATATAAATATATATAGATGCAAGGAAAAAAGATAAAACGAAAAATGAAAAGTTTCTTCTATATGTTTTGAAAGTCTTTGTTGCAACATGTCTTATATAAAAAATGGTGTATTGAATCCAATAACCAACATATAGCAGGAAACATGTTAAATGTTGTTTACGAACGCTAGTAAAATTAACTCATGTTAGGATAATAAAAAGTGATATAATTCCGATTGGTTTATATCTCGCAGACATTGGTGTTGCTGATATCTATGTATATGTATGAGTTGGTGTAAGTCTATGCAATTGTACATATATATATTAGTGTTCCTAATATTATCTCTTCACCATTTCAATTTTTTTTTAATTTATTATGGCTTCTTCGAAGATTTCTAATTCCAAAAATCTTTTACGGACTAGGAATTCAAAGCGAAGCCTAGAATAAACGTATTTATTGACTATCAAGGAATAATATACTGTCAATAATCCATTAAATTTGTCTTAAAATGAAAAAAGGCGTGAGAAAAATATAATAGGAATAGAACACGTTTTTATTTCTTTATTGATTTAATGGTACATTTATCTCCTTTCAGAACGATAAAGTTTGTCGTAGTGATGATATGTATTTAGTTACTTAACTATTGGACTCTCTTATACTTTACATTATTTACTCTTGTTCGGAGAAACCGTTAGTTTCATTAATAAATGTTTCTAACTTAAAGTGCTCTTTGTTTGTTGTTATGAATATTAACAGTATGGGCACCTTAATCTTTTTGTCTAGTAACTCATTTTTACCTTGTGAGATAACATCAAATGATAATAATCTATTCCATTGTTTAAACACAACCTTATCAGGTAATAATATCTTAGTTTTATACAATTCCACCACACTCAACGCTTTTTGTAAATGTTGGCCATATGCAAATATGCAGGTAATCTCATCGTTTTGATGTTTCTTTAGATTCTCTAATAAATTTTTTATCTTATCATTTTTAGTTATTTTAAAATATTTAATTTTGCTTAATAATTTTGCATCATCTAACAATTGATTCGGAATGATTATATTTTTTATATATTTATATGAATTTACCTGGTCTGATAAATTTATTTCAGTAGGATGTCCACAATAAAACACTTTACTTGTCATTGTTATCCATATGTATGCCTCTTTCTTCGACCACTTATTGAGCTATAAAAAAAAAAAAAAAAAAACAAAACAAGCAAAAAAAACGGCAAAGATGATATATATTGTAAAGAATTAACAGTTTTAAAGTCAATTATATCAAGCATTACGCGTAACTAATATTTTTACAATATTGTCTACACATCGTGGATTCCATTGCTTAATATACATTAGATCGATTACCAAACCTACAAAAGATTATTTGTATATTATTATTGTAAGTGTAAACGAACAAGACTCAAGAATATTTTCCAAGACTAAAAGGCAGCTACCATCCGTACATTTTTTAAAAGAAAAAAATAAAACAGATAAATGGAAATTAATTCTTTAAATCTGCAACTATTAAAATATTTCCTATTTAAGTAACTAAACCTTTTAAAAAAAATGGTTTTTTCTTTCTTTCTTTTTTTTTTTAGTTTTTTATTGTTTTCAGAAAAATTAAGAAACAAATCAAGCAAATTAAACAATATTGGAAATCTTGAGAATATTTAGAAAATTTCATGTAAATTTCGATAGTGTGATGATGACAGAATATCTCTAGCTTTTCATAATGTGATGATTTAGTATTTTAACATAATCAATGAAGACCTTTTAGTTCCTTCATATTATTCCGCATTTCTCAAATGTAATTGGTATGATTTGTTATTTTCGCTGTTCGCATTGCGTACTAGTTTTATACTTACCTCATTCTTCCCTACGTTATTTATTTTTGATGTGTCTTGGTATTTGTTTTTAGCATATTTTTCTTGTGTTCTTACTTGTAAGGCATTATAAAAAGGACCATTCAGAGGAATACCTTTAAACATCCTGCAAATAGACAAAGTTTGAAATGGGAGGCATCCGTGAAAAGAAAGTTGAATACTTCAACAAGTTAAGAGAATACTTAGAAGAATACAAGTCTGTCTTCATCGTCGGTGTTGATAATGTTTCTTCTCAACAAATGCACGAAGTCAGAAAGGCTTTAAGAGGCAGAGGTGTTGTCTTAATGGGTAAGAACACCATGGTCAGAAGAGCCATTAGAGACTTCGTTTCTGACTTACCAGACTTTGAAAAGATCTTACCATTCATCAAGGGCAACGTCGGTTTCATCTTCACCAACGACTCCTTAAAGGATATCAAGGAAGTCATTGTTTCCAACAAGGTTGCTGCTCCAGCTAGAGCTGGTGCTATTGCTCCAGAAGATATCTGGGTTCGTGCCGTTAACACTGGTATGGAACCAGGTAAGACCTCCTTCTTCCAAGCTTTAGGTGTTCCAACCAAGATTGCCAGAGGTACCATTGAAATTGTTTCTGATGTTAAGGTCGTTGAAGCCGGTAACAAGGTCGGTCCATCTGAAGCTACCTTGTTGAACATGTTGAACATTTCTCCATTCACCTACGGTTTAACTGTCGTTCAAGTTTACGATAACGGTCAAGTCTTCCCAGCTTCTATCTTGGATATCACTGATGAAGAATTAGTCGGTCACTTCGTTTCCGCTGTCTCCACTATTGCTTCTATTTCTTTGGCTATTGGTTACCCAACCTTACCATCTGTTGGTCACACTTTAATCAACAACTACAAGGACTTATTAGCTGTTGCTATTGCTTCTGGTTACCATTACCCAGAAATTGAAGAATTAGTTGACAGAATCGAAAACCCAGAAAAGTATGCTTCTGCTGCTCCAGTCGCTGCTGCTGCTGCTACTGATGCTCCAGCTGCCGCCGCTGCTGAAGAAGAAGAAGAAGAATCCGACGACGACATGGGTTTCGGTTTATTCGACTAAGGGAATAGTATTTGAAGTTTAAATATTCTTTTTTTAATATGTTTTATTCATTTATATACATATTTACGTCTATTTAATATCTTTAAATAATATTTTTTTTCTTGTTCTCTTTGTGTAAACGTTCTTCCAGATAATTTTCCACTATTTCTTTTTTTTTATTTTTTTGCTTTAGTTTGATTTGTTTTAACTTATTTAGATTAGAAAAGAATTGAGACTTTTCATCAAAGCAGTAAGAGGGTAGAAGTAAAGATAGAATCATATGTATATGTATATTCAATGTTTTGAAGGGAACTTACAAGTAATTTGTGCTGAAAAGCAAAAGTTTGATCTAAAGAGACAATATAGAATTAGTAATAGCGTACAAACATTGAATGGCAAGCATATCAACATATCCTATGCAAAGTCTAAAATTAGCATTCAACAAGATAACCAATAAATGCGTTGGAAAGTCCCAAACAATGAATCGACCCATGATCATAATGCATGGATTATTTGGTAATTCAAATAATAATCGGACCATGGCGAACTTCATTCTTGAAATTGAAACACAGAGGAATCCTGGTTCGTATAGAGACATTTATCTTTTGAATATGAGAAACCATGGAACATCACCATGCGATCCTGATATGGCATACGGAACAATGTCTCAGGATATCTTTAAATTTATTAAAGACCATAATTTGGAACAGCCTGTCCTTGTTGGACATTCGATGGGTGGGAAGGTAGCTATGCATTGTGTTTTAGAAAATCCAGGGATGTTTTCATCGATAGTTTGTATAGAAAATTCCCCAGTTGTTCAACCAATCAACAAAAAGTTTATTGAATACATCCAAGTGTTACAAAATATCTGTCAAGATCCGAATATAAAGACATTAGCACAAGCAAAGGATGTCCTTGATATTGTAGAAAAAAATCCATTAATTTCAGGGTTTTTATTAACCATGTTACAAAGAAAGAACAGTAATATCAGCAACCTAAGTGGCATCAATAGTACAGACCAGCCAGGCTTACAAAGTAAATTACCGTTAGATATTCTGAAAAATTCTTTGGCAAATGGGTCGATATCGGGCTGGAATAATCAACACTTTGGTGATAAACAATATTTCGAACCAGCTTTGTTTATTAAGGGATCAAAATCTGATTATATAAAGGAATATAAAGATTGGGATACTATCCAAAAGAGATTCCCTAAAGCTGTCCTCGAAGTCGTGAAAGATGCAGGTCACTTTGTGAACGCCGAACGGCCACGTGACTGTGCCAGTCTTATTACGCGTTTTTTGATCCGATAAAAAAAATTCTTGAAGTACTTGAATTTAAATAAATATCTAGCATTTCCCAAGAAAGAATTCACAAGCCGTTGTTAATTTTTCTTTTCTTTCTTTATTATTATTATTAGAAATTTGCATTATACGTCCCAGAAATCTAGACACGAAAATCAAGGAAGAAATGGGCGGGCTGCTCTTTTTTTTTTTCTGTTTTTTCTATTTATTTACGTCATGAACACGTGTTTTTTTTCTCTGTCTCTTACCTTTGATGATAGACTTTACGCGTTTCACGTGGACAAAGAATGACAAGAAAATAGAAAAAAAGCAAATCAAATCATTCTTCCAAAAATCACCTCGCATCGATTCTCTTTCCTAAACAAGTAATTAATAAAGGAAAAAGAAAAGAAAAATAAAAAAAGAAATTACATCGGAGAGGATGCCTTTTTTTTTTCTTTTCATTTTTGTAGGAAACTCACTTTTAATAACACTGTTGTGTTTATTACCATATATTTTTTATATGGGGCTACCCTATTTATTTTCTCCGGTGCCTTCTCTTCCAAAGCAAAACTCTATTAAATCATTATCAATTTCTTGATTCCAGTTTAATAAGTTATTTTGACATAGTCGAAGAGTCTTGGATGTAATTATTGTTTATGACTATTGTTATTAATATTGATATTATTATTGTTGTCATTGTTATTATTGTTATTTTAATTGATTTCGCGTATCCTTGTATTATATTATATTTATTTTTTTTTGCTTGTTCTACTATACAAAATTTCGTTCCTTTTGTTTGGGGTTTGATTTAGGAAAAAATAAAAATAACAGACCTAACAAGAACAAAAGACAAGAGGCGTTTTGGTGTATTTTTCTCCTCGAGCAACACGAAGAGATGAAAAAAAAAGGTAAGAGAAAAAAGAAAAGAGGAGAAAGAAAGAAAGAAAATATATACATAAAACCAACATATAGTATTGATCATTGAAATACTAAGTTGTTTGTATATATCACATTGTTATAAAAATATATATCCGTAGCGCTTCTTGCTCAGTTGTTGCTGTTTTTTTTTTTGGAAGCTTTATTTTCCTTACTTCTGTAGTAAGGTTTATCTTTTTGCAGTTTCGTTTTGATCAGGAAAGGTTTCTTCTTTCTGTTTTTGAAGAAATTATCATAAACATTTACTATTTGATTTTTGTATTACAACCTCATTTATTCCTTTGTTTTTCTTAATATTCGCCTTCTTTTTTTCTATAATATATTAAGCTTTAATATATATATATATATACTCAATCCGACGTCGACCAAACCTGTCTGTTTACGTGGTGTACCGTCGTTTTGTCGTAACAACGTTAATTGTTTTATAAACGATCGAATATCATAAACATAAAGATAAGATTATAAATATAGACACATACACACACATATACGCTTAAAAAAAAAAAAAGAATATTCCCTACATTCGTTCATTTTCTTCTTCCATTTTTTATATTTTATTTTTTTTTACTTTTATTCCTTAATCTGAAATCACATCATGCCATATAATCATGGTCAATATGGCAATATTGATGGAAATGATACTAACCAAAATCAAGAGCTTAATCAATACGATCAAATGAATTATAATAATGTACAGGAAGATTATTATGATAATTCTCAACTAGAATTCAATAGAAATCACTTTGATAATCCAAATAATCATGATATCGATTTGGACAGTATTTCTATTAACCCAGATAGCAATAGATATGTAGAACAAGAAAGTTTCTCTGATTATTCAAGTCATCCTGTAAATTCTAATCTTAACGACAACAATAACAATAACAATAACAACTATACACCTTCTAGTTTAAGCTATGGCTTTAATCCAAATATGTCAACTTCTTCTCAAGATAGAAGTGACTCAAATATCCCAAATTCTTCCTCGAGCTTTTTTCCACAGGATCCGTATCCTGCATGGACTGCTGATCCAGACTCCCCTGTCGATATAAGACAGATCGAAGATATTTTTATCGATTTAACTAATAAATTTGGGTTTCAAAGAGACTCGATGAGAAACATGTTCGATCATTTAATGACTCTATTGGATTCTCGTGCCTCTCGTATGAGCCCTAAACAAGCTTTGCTGACTCTTCATGCGGATTATATAGGTGGTGACCGAGCTAACTACAAGAAATGGTATTTTGCGGCACAGTTAGACTTAGATGATGCAGTTGGCTTTAGAAACATATCATTGAGTAAATTGAATAAAAAATCAAGAACCGCTAAGAAATCACATAGAAAAATGCTGAAAAATTTGTCCGGCAAGATGGATCCTCAACAGTTGCAATACGCCTTAAACGAGTTAGAAAACGATAACTCTTTACAGGCAGCAGATTTCCGATGGAAATATAAAATGAATCAATTGACTGCATTGGAAATGATTCGTCATTTAGCTTTATACTTATTGATATGGGGGGAGGCCAATCAGGTCAGATTCACGCCAGAATGCCTTTGTTTTATATATAAGTGTGCACTAGACTATATGAATTCGCCACTATCCAATGATAAAACTTTACCAGAAGGTGATTATCTAAATAGAATTATTACACCAATCTATAAATTTCTTAGGAATCAAGTCTATGAAATATCGGGTGGCCGTTACGTAAAAAGAGAAAAAGATCATAATAAAGTTATTGGATATGATGATGTTAATCAATTGTTTTGGTATCCTGAAGGTATCAATAAAATTATATTCAACAATGGTGGGAAGTTAACTGACTTGCCACCAGAGGAAAGATATTTAAGTTTAGGTAATGTGGCTTGGGACGATGTTTTCTTTAAGACATATTATGAAACAAGAACGTGGTTACACTTGGTTACAAATTTCAATCGTATTTGGATATTACATGGAGCAGTCTACTGGATGTATGTTTCATATAATGCCACTACCTTTTATACACATAACTACCAACAATTAGTTAACAATCAACCGCTAGGTTCTTATAAATGGGCGTCTGCTGCTTTAGCCGGTACTCTTACATGTGTTATTCAATTGGCCGCCACTTTATGTGAATGGTGGTTTGTTCCAAGAAAATGGGCAGGCGCTCAACATTTGTCTCGCCGTTGTTTGTTTATTTTATTACTTTTAGGTGTTAACTTAGCCCCAATTGCATGGTTCTATTCTTATGAAACAGATACCACTTATAGTAGAACTGCTCTTATCGTGTCTATTGTGTTCTTTTTTGTTGCAGTGGCAACGGTGGTTTTTTTTGCTGTAATGCCTTTAGGTGGTCTTTTTACTTCATATATGAAGAAATCATCAAGAAGATATGTTTCTTCTCAGACATTTACTGCATCTTTTGCTCCATTACATGGATGGAATAGAATTTTATCGTACCTGGTCTGGATTGTGGTTTTTGGTGCTAAGTATGCTGAATCATATTTCTTCTTAATTTTATCGCTTAGAGATCCAATTAGAATTCTTTCTACAATGACTATGAGATGTACTGGTGAATATTGGTGGGGTGCCAGGTTGTGTAGGCATCAACCAAAAATTACTTTAGGGCTAATGATTGCAACAGATTTTATCTTATTTTTCTTAGATACTTATTTATGGTATATCATTGTCAATACCGTTTTCTCTGTCTGTAAGGCATTTTATTTGGGTATGTCAGTTTTAACACCATGGAGAAACATTTTTACAAGACTACCAAAGAGAATCTATTTGAAAATATTGGCTACAAATGACATGGAAATTAAATATAAACCTAAGGTTCTTATTTCACAAATTTGGAACGCCATTGTTATATCTATGTATAGAGAACATTTGTTAGCTATTGATCACGTTCAAAAATTATTGTATCACCAAGTCCCATCAGATATTGAAGGCAAGAGAACTTTGAGAGCTCCAACTTTTTTCACTTCTCAAGATGATCATAAAACAAAAATGGAATTTTTCCCATCTGATTCTGAAGCTGAACGTCGTATTTCATTTTTTGCCCAATCTCTAGCAACGCCAATGCCTCAACCAGTTTCTATCGATAATATGCCAACTTTCACTGTTTTAACCCCACATTACTCTGAAAGAATATTACTTTCCTTAAGAGAAATTATTCGTGAAGACGATCAATTCTCCAGAGTTACATTGTTAGAATATTTGAAACAATTACATCCAGTGGAATGGGATTGTTTTGTTAAAGATACCAAAATTCTAGCTGATGAAACTGCCGCATATGAAGGTATTGAAGAAGAACCTGAAAAAGTTGATAATACATCTAGTGATATCGATGATTTACCATTTTACTGCATTGGTTTTAAGTCTGCAGCTCCAGAATATACATTGAGAACAAGAATTTGGGCTTCTCTTAGGTCACAAACTTTATATCGTACTGTTTCTGGTTTTATGAATTATGCAAGGGCTATTAAATTGTTGTATCGTGTGGAAAATCCAGAAATTGTTCAAATGTTTGGTGATAATGCAGAGGAGCTAGAAAGAGAATTGGAAAGAATGTCTAGAAGAAAATTCAAATTTTTGGTTTCAATGCAAAGATTAGCTAAATTTAAGCCACATGAGCTAGAAAACGCCGAATTTCTGTTAAGGGCTTACCCTGATTTACAAATTGCCTATCTGGATGAAGAACCTCCATTACATGAGGGTGAAGAGCCAAGAATTTATTCTGCCGTTATTGATGGACACTGTGAATTATTGGATAATGGTCGTAGACGTCCAAAATTTAGAGTTCAACTATCTGGTAACCCAATTCTGGGTGATGGTAAATCAGATAACCAAAATCATGCTATCATATTCTATAGGGGTGAATATATCCAATTAATTGATGCTAATCAAGATAATTATTTAGAAGAATGTTTGAAAATTAGATCGGTTCTCGCTGAATTCGAAGAACTTGATGTTAAGCCATACAATCCATATGCCCCAGATATTCCATATGAAGACCAACATAATAATCATCCAGTGGCTATTGTTGGTGCAAGAGAATATATTTTCTCTGAAAATTCTGGTGTTTTAGGTGATGTAGCGGCTGGTAAAGAACAAACTTTTGGTACACTTTTTGCTCGTACATTGGCCCAAGTTGGTGCTAAATTACATTATGGTCATCCTGATTTTGTTAATGCTATTTTCATGACCACTAGAGGTGGGGTTTCCAAGGCACAAAAGGGTTTGCATTTGAATGAAGATATTTACGCTGGTATGAATGCTACTTTACGTGGTGGTAGAATCAAGCATGTTGAATATTATCAATGTGGTAAAGGTAGAGATCTAGGTTTCGGTACTATTTTAAATTTTACTACTAAGATTGGTGCTGGTATGGGTGAACAGATGTTATCCCGTGAGTATTACTACTTAGGTACTCAGTTACCTCTGGACAGATTTTTATCATTCTACTATGCCCATCCTGGTTTCCACTTAAACAATTTATTTATTCAGTTATCTTTACAAATGTTTATGTTAACATTGGTCAATTTAAATTCTTTAGCACATGAATCTATTATTTGTGAGTACAATAGAGACAAGCCAATTACCGATGTTTTGTATCCAATTGGCTGTTATAATTTGACACCTGTTGTAGATTGGATTAGACGTTATACACTATCTATCTTTATTGTGTTCTTCATTGCATTTGTCCCCATGGTAGCTCAAGAGTTGATTGAGCGTGGTACTTGGAAAGCATTTATTAGATTCTGGCGTCATGTCTTATCCTTATCTCCAGCTTTTGAAGTGTTTGCTGGTCAAATTTATTCTTCTGCTCTGTCAAGTGATCTGACAGTAGGTGGTGCACGTTATATTTCCACAGGTCGTGGTTTTGCTACTTCCCGTATTCCTTTCTCTATCCTTTATTCCAGATTTGCTAGTTCAGCCATCTATATGGGTGCTAGATCATTATTAATGTTATTATTTGGAACAGTAGCACATTGGCAAGCTCCATTATTGTGGTTCTGGGGTTCATTGGTATCTTTAGTTTATTCACCATTTGTTTTTAATCCACATCAATTATCATGGGATGATTTCTTCCTTGACTATAGAGATTACATTAGATGGTTATCTCGTGGTAACAGTAAATATCATAAAAATTCATGGATTGGTTATATTAGAATGACAAGATCTCGTGTAACTGGTTTTAAACGTAGATTGATTGGTGATGAATCAGAGAAGGCAATGGGTGATGCTAGTAGAGCTCATAGAATTAATTTGATATTATCTGAAGTTATACCATGTTTCATTTATGCAGCAGGTTGTTTCATCCCATTTACTTTCATTAATGCTCAGACTGGTGCTAAAACTACTGATGCAGATAGAGTGAATTCAGTGCTAAGAATCATCATTTGTACGTTAGGTCCAATTGCAGTTGATATGGCAGTATTAGGACTATGTTTATCTATGTCATGTTGCTGTAATTCTATGTTACAAAGTTGTCATAAAAATCCAGGTGCAGTAACGGCTGCTTTTGCTCATGGTGTAGCAGTATGTGCACATGTAGGGATGTTTATTGTTATGTGGGTATTAGAAGGTTTCAGTTTTGTTAAGATGTTACTTGGTGTAGCAACATGTATTCAATGTCAAAGATTTATCTTCCAAGTTGCATCTGTATTTTTGTTACCAAGAGAATATAAAAATGATAACGCCAATACAGCATTCTGGACAGGTTCCTGGAGTAAATTGGAAAATCCATTTCAACAATGTTGTAGGGAATATTTAGTCAAGATAATTGAGTTATCTGAATTTTCAGCAGATTTTATTTTAGGTCACTTAATATTATTAACACAATTTCCATTATTGTTGATACCAGGTATTGATAAGATTCATTCATTAATGTTATTCTGGTTAAAGCCATCAAGACAGATCCGCCCCCCAATCTTTTCCATTAAACAAACAAGGTTAAGAAAGAGAATGGTAAGAAAATATTTCTGTTTGTACATATTAATTCTTTTGGCAGCTGCAGGTTGTATTGTAGGACCTGCAGTAGCAGCTGCATATGTGCCTGATCATATTGCTGAACATTTGACTGGTGCGGCACATAATTTGTTCCAACCAAGAAATGTAAATCAAAATGATACAGGCATAGGTCTATCAACATATTCAGGACATTACTACACACATACTCCATCCATTAAGACATGGTCTACAAAGGCATAAGAGAACCAATTGTAAAAGTTGGTGAAGGGACAGGTATTCATATTTTTATGTTTTTTTTATTTTTTGATAAATATTTACCTTCACAGATATGTATATATATATATATTTATATATTGATTATTTTATATTATTTTATTTCTAGTATCATTAATATTGATAGTTTGTTATAAAGAAATGAGCACGCAATAAAAGTATATGCCTACGTATATACGCAGACGTACATAGATAATATAGATATATATACATGGGTATTGTGTATTGTTATGTTTTTCCTATCTTGTTAGACCTAACCATGACAAGAAAGGCAAAGATTTGGAATTCTTGCCATTGCTTGAAGAGGAACTTGACGATTGGATCTTTGGTTTAATTATGAAATGGCGGCCTTCACCCTTGACGTCAATATACATCATGGTAAAGATAGGTTTATTATATTTCCAACGCATATACCATTTCTTATCCTCATTTTTATCATCTGTTGTCACTGGGTGATTATATTGCACAGCTTCAGCATGAACCAATCCAATCTTTTCAGTTGATTGTAAATGGAACCTTAACTTACAATGCAGGTTTCCATTTATATCTTTAGCACGCTGAAATACAAGAGGTCTATTTCTTGTCCATTTATCACTAGTAGCCAGCTCACCAAAGGCCTTCAATTTTTCAAATTCCAATTCTGTATCACCACCGACATTTTTGTTGTTGTTACTTTTATTTTTAATGTTAATGGTCTTAGAGTGAAGCAATTTGTGTACTATTGGATCATTTTCACATAAGGACACAGCTCTATTGAATAATGCAGTATCTGCATCAGGAGAAAACAATTCGGACCCAATTAGATAAATCACCATTGTTGATAGTCCGACAGCGCCAACGATTAAAGTGCCAGACATGGCAAAAGTTACTCCATTTTTAATTCTTTTAGAGATTGGTATATGTTGTGAAGAAGAGGTGGAATAGAGTCTGGGTAGTGCTGTTCTTGTTATTGAAATTGTGTTTAATAGAGGTCTTCTATATAGAAATGAAAAAGACATGTTGTAAATTAGAGAAGGAAAAAAAAAAAAAAGAAAAGAAAAAGAGAGAGAAATTACTTATACATTCGGTTGTTGTGGATGTTTTGAAGTATGTTATATATAAACTAGTTAATTTTATATTCCCTTCTGATTGAAACACAGAGACACACACACATATATATATATATGTATGTATATATGCGTTCACTATGTAGACATTTAATTGTAGATAAATAAGAAAGAAAGAGAAAAAAAAGAAAAGGAAAAGCAAAAGGAAAAGGAAAAAAAAAATTTGTAAGAGCCTTTGAGTGTTCCAACCATACAATAGGACATTTAAGAATATGATTTGGTTATTTAAAAGAAAGAGTGAATTAATAATATTATAGAGTATTATATTTTACAGATAAATTATATATACATGTATGTATGTGTATAGATGTATTAGTACCATAAAAAGAAACGAATACTTCTTGATACTAATTAGTAGGTAAACAGTATTCCAATATCACCAATTACAAGGTGTAGACCGTAAATAAGTTAGTAATTAAAATGGCATATCTATCAGCTTGCTTATAACTGAATGAACAAAGAAGGACAAAACAGAAAGTATATAAAAAAAAACCAGGATCCGACGGGAAGTGCTTAAATTGGAATATATTATGTTAATAAAGAGAGTGGTGATTGTTTAAATATATATATATATTGTTATGATATTATTATCCTTTAATTCATTTATTTTATTTTATTTTATATTATTTTTTTTGACTGATGGATTTGTTTAAATTTTATCTTTTTTTTTATTCAATTTCATATCTTGTTGTCTGGCCATTTGAATTAGATCATGTCTTGTTATCACAGTCTTTGAGTTGTTATTACGAGTGACAAGGTCACAAATATTAACATTAGTAACCACTCTAATTGGGTCCACGACTAGTGTAGAGATTAAATTAGTAGACATTATTTGATTTGTATCTGTATATATATATATAGAGAGAGAGAGAGAAAGGGGCAGCGGGAGAAGGGGATAGGCAAATATTAAAATGAAAAATAAAGGAACTTTTTGTTTGAAAAAACTTTTAAAACCTTGGATTGAATTAAATGGAAATGTATTAAGATCTGGTAATAGCAGTAGCAGTAGCAATAGCTTGTTTGTTTGTTGTTATTCTTTTACTAATATATATATATCTATCTATTTAAGAAAGGTTAGGAATTAAGGAATATATATTAATCTTCCGAAGATGACTAAATTTATGTTCATATATATATATATATGTATGTATGTATGTATGTATTAGATGTTTGTAAAAAGATTAATACATGTATAAATTATTTAAATAGAAGGTATGTTACCATACATTTGGAAATACTGCTATAGCCGCGGGTCAAGGACCTTAGTCAGAAAGAGAAAGAAAGGGAATGTGTGTGTGTAATATAATAATACGCGGACACAAAAACAACAATAAGTGATTTTAGCTTTATTGGAGTTTTATCCTGTAAGATCTTTATGGTAGAACAATTAAAGCCGATGTGTTCTCTGCGATTCTTTTTTCTTCCTTCTTTGTCGTTCCGTTTTGTTTTTGTTTTTGTTTTTGTTCGGCTGACAAAGCATCGCCGCGGATTTAAAAATCGCAAGTGGTCATGTCGAGGAGTTCCGCGGATATAACTTCTCTATTCTGTTTGTGTAACTTTCATCCTGTTTTCTGTTTTTGTTTTTTTTTTTTTTTTCTTTTATTTGTTCTTTTTTCTTCTTTCTTCCTTCTTCTCTTCAAATCTTCAACCGTGGGAAAAAGGCGAAGGTTCCATCAAATTGCAAGAATATTTGTTTCCGTGGAGATGCGGAGGGAGGGGCGGAGGATTTAGAAACAAAAGACGCAATGTATAACACCGACAAAAAAAAATATAAAACAAGAAAAATTAAAAAAATTAAAAGGAAGGTTGGGTTGACAACAATAACTTGGGTATCTCTAAAACGGCTATAGTTATTTGGGAGTAGGGTTTGTAGAAGGTATCTTGGTATTTTTATGGCTAAGCCGTAATAAATTATGTTGAAAAGAAGGGTCAATGATAATTTTATCTATTTAGATAGCAAATATAAAAAACTGTTATATAGTCGCAGAAAGGATACTTGGTAGAATATTAGTAGGGTTTATGTAAAAAAAAAAAAAACAATACAGAATTATACATATATTGATTTATACAGTAGGGTTCTAGTAAGTTTTTTTGAGTTTGATGTAATTTCTCAATTCTATTGCAAACTGCATTCGGATGTTCCGTGGGAGTCTGGAGTATCCTCCGTGGAAGGGGGAAATTCTACTAATATACGTTATAATCCTACCCTTTTATCATAAGACCTGTAGAGGAATTTGAGAATTACCATGGTTATTATTATTATTATTATTATTATTATTATTAAAAGAACAATCTTTCTCTATATTTGTATAAATAAATAAGTAACAGTGTACATATATGTATAACGTTGTTTATTTCAGGTATAATATTATTACACTTGTTGTTGTTGTTGCTGTTGTTTTTCAATTATCTTCTTTTTTATTTTTTTTTTTCAAATACGTATCCGTAAGTGGTTTAACCAAGTGGATAATGTTTTAGAATGTGATATTACTGATTTTAAAGTTGGATATAACATGGTTACTACAAAGATATAATATACTGCTCCAACTATAATACCGATTTGGTAACCAATAATGATTTGATCCCAAGTATGATACTCTAGATACCAACGAGAAAAACATACGCTTATAGATAATAGCCAACCAGAGACACAATAAATCATTCGGTCAAGACGTTGAATCTGGTATCTATTATTCCACCGAAACCACATATTCAGAACCAAGTAAGATATGAAAAACCCCATGAACTGACTATGTGCACTTGGCATACCGTACGACACCCTTAAGGAATTGATATTTTCTTGTATATTATTATCGCTGGTGCTTACTCCATTGAATACCAAAGAAATCGTACCGTTGTACAACGGTCTTTCTTGTTTAATGACTCTCTTCAGGACTTGATTGATTAGTTCGTTCGACAATTGTCCAACAGTGAAAATCACTGACTCGAAGTCTCTTTCCATGATCAGCCAGGTTAAATAACTCTGTAGCAACAACATCGGCGTTAATGCCAATATACAACATATCATTCCAACTATATCATTTTTGTCGTATAGGATATATGTTTCATCAAATGGAATTTTACCTGGTGGCAGAATAACAGTTGTCATCGTTTGTGATCCTTATCTAGACTAACGTCTATGGATACAAATCTGTACGCATCCACTTTTGTAATATCTATATATATATAGATATAGATATGGGATGACTTTCTACTAAACTATTGTTTTTATATGTGTTTATTTATTTATTTATTCATTCATTTTTTTTTGTTTTGAATCTTGGATTTTTAATCATTCAATACTTTTTTTTTTGGTAGTTTTGTTTTTCCATCAAAAAATAAAATAAATTAAAAAAAAAAAAGAAAAGAAAAGAAAAGAGAGATATCTATCCCAAAGAAGAAATAAAAATGAAAATAAAAAAAATTATGTAAAGTCATAATAAAAATAATAATACTAGTTATATATTATATTATATTATATTATATTATATTATATTATGTACATGAGTGTAAAGAGAAAAAGACATAGTTAAATACATAAATATAAACTATAAATAAATGATAAATGGTTTGATTAAGCAAACATATATGTACGTAGGTGCATATCTTATGAAGAATATTTAGCAATCAATTCGTCAACAAATTCAATATATTTTTGAGCAGCTTCTTCTTGTGTCAAAGTACCCTTTAAAGCATGCCAAGCATCCCATTTCTTACGGTCTTTGATATTGAAAACACCTGGTCTTTCAGTGTTACAATCACCTACGGTGGCTTGTTTGTATAAACTATACAATTTCAATAATTCATCTGTAGTTGGTTTAGTTGGTAGATGGTTGACTTCTTCTGCCTTCTTTTCAAATAATTCAGAAACCATTTTTGTTTTCTTTTGTTGTTGTTTTTTAATGTCTTCTTTACTGACAATTAAAAGGTTGTTCGTGCATATAAGATACCAAAAAAAAAAAAAAACTTGTAAGATGTTGAATATGTCTAATTCCAGACTCCTTCTTCTTGATATGTGAACGTTTATATATAAATAGATGTAGATCGATTTAGTATTCACTATTGGGTATTTTGTTGAATTTTTTTTTTTTGTTGCTTTGTGTTGTTGTTTTTTTTTTTTTGTTGCTTTGTGTTGTTGTTTTTTTTTTTACTTTATATCCATCTCCTGCTTCTTTTCTTTTCTTTTCTTTTCTTTTTTGGGTTTACCACATTCGGCAGCTTTCTCTTCTTTCGGCTTAAAACCTTTTCCCCTTTGGGTTTGGAGATGCCATTTCCTGTTTGGGACACAATGTTACCCTACTTCATGGTGTGTGGGTGTGGGTGTACTTTTTATTTTATTTTTTTTTTTTTCCTTTTTTCCTTTTTTCCTTGTGTTGGGTTTATAGCAGAGTGTTAACTTTATATCAGATTCATATAGTGAAAGAAGACAGAACAAAGATCTTAGGTGCAACCTACCGGGTTTTGTTTGAATAATTTGTGAGTAGGTGCCTTATACGTGTTATCTAAACAGGTGAGAAAATATTCACAGATAAATATCCATATCCATATCCATATCCATATCTATATCCATATCCATATCCATATCCATATCCATATCATAAAAAAGAAACACATACATACAAGTACATACACATTATAAGCATGGATTTAAAACCTTTTCCATCATATTCAAGTCATTCACAAACAGGCACAGATACTATCAATAAAGATAGTGAAGATGTGGTTTCTTTGACCAATGTTTCTATTATCTCCAGATCTAGAACAAGCTCGTATACAGCTACAAATGAACCAGTAAAAGATCACAGAAGAAGACGTTCTTCCTCTATAATATCCCACGTCGAACAAGAGACTCAAGAAGATGAAAATGATCAGCAGGTGTTGCCTAACATGAATGCGTCCTGGGTATCTCAACGAGGTGCATGGCTGATCCATGTCGTTATCATTGTCTTATTGAAACTTTTTTATAATATTTTACCTGGTCTAAGTTCAAGCACTAATTGGTCCTGGACCCTAACTAATCTGACCTACAACTGTGGTTGCTATATAATGTTTCATATGATTAAAGGTACTCCTTTCGAATTTAACGGAGGTGCATTCGATAATTTGACTATGTGGGAACAGATAGATAACGAAACTTTATACACACCTTCAAGAAAATTCATTATATCCGTACCTATTTTCTTATTTTTTGTCATCACTCATTACACTAAATTGGATTACAAAATGTTTATCTTCAATTTTTTGATCACTTTCATTATCGGTATTATTCCTAAATTACCATCCACTCATAGACTAAGAATTTCAATTCCAATAATTACAGGTCCGCAACAAATTAGTTAAAGAGAAGAAAGAGTTTTTGTTGACGTTGTTGTTGTTGTTGTTGCTGCTGTTGCTGTTGTCACTTTTTTATTAGGTGTATGCAGTTTTTTATGCTAATTTATTATATCTTTTCTTTTTTTTCCTTTTTTTCTCTTATTACAATATAGACATTCTATGTGAAATATGTTATATATATATGTAGATCCATATATATATATATTTATATATATATGTAACTATGATAATCATTTATTAGTTGATCTAATTAATGTGTCTTACTCTTTAACATAACTCTTTTTTTTTTGGTGAGAGCGGGTTGAAAAAATAAAAAGAAAAGGAAAATTAAATATTGATTTGGGATTTTTTCTAAAAATAGATTAAGTAGGTTATAATGTTGAAATTTTAAAAGGTAAGAAGATTTTGTACAAACTTCTTTTTATCCACATAAAATTAATAACCTCAGTTATTCTGTCTCTTCTTGCATCTTCTCGTTAGAATATTAAGCATTTTTAGCAATTTAGTAGTAGTTGGTCAGCACTACTTTATATCTATAGTACATACACGTATATATGTTTACATATACTCAATTTTGCAAGGGGGAGAAGGATAGTTGTATGTAATCGTGTTAATTATTATCTCTTTTTTTTTTTTCTTTGAAATTTTTTTTTGTTTGAATATATTTACAATGCCACGTACCATCACGTTTGATATTCCAGTTCAGTACCAACTTATTGATTTAATCGGTGAAGGCGCCTATGGTACAGTGTGCAGTGCCATATATAAGCCATTAAATGTTAAAGTAGCAATCAAAAAGATCCAACCTTTTAGTAAGAAAATGTTTATAACCCGTACCTTGCGTGAACTTAAACTACTTAGATATTTCCATGACCATGAAAATATTATCAGCATACTAGATAAAGTGGTTCCCGCCTCCGTGGAGAAGATGGACGCAGTCTACTTGGTTCAAGAATTGATGGAGACAGACTTGCAAAAGATCAACGAACAAATGATGTTGACTGATGATCATATTCAATATTTCACATATCAAATCTTGCGAGCGTTAAAAGCTATACATTCTGCAAATGTCATCCACAGAGATATAAAACCTTCAAATCTTTTGTTAAATTCTAATTGCGATTTAAAAGTCTGCGATTTCGGTTTATCTCGTTGTCTTTCACAAAGTAATAATCCACGTGAGACTCTGGTTGGTTTCATGACGGAATATGTGGCTACTCGTTGGTATCGAGCGCCAGAGATTATGTTGACGTTCCAAGAATATACAACTGCAATGGATATTTGGTCGGTTGGTTGTATCTTAGCTGAGATGATATCTGGGAAACCATTGTTCCCAGGAAAGGATTATCACCATCAATTATGGTTAATATTAGAAGTATTGGGGACTCCAAGTTATGAAGATTTTCAGCAAATTAAATCTCAAAGAGCTAAAGAATATATCGCTAACTTGCCAATAAGAAACAAATTGCCTTGGGAAGCTATGCTTTTAAATAATAAAAATAGAGCAAATAGAAAAGAACTGAATCCACAGATGCTGGATCTACTTTCAAAAATGCTGGTATTTAATCCCAACAAACGTATCAGTGCGGCAGAAGCTTTATCCCATCCTTATTTAAGTGTGTATCATGATCCTGATGATGAACCTGAGTACCCTCCTTTGAATCTAGATGCCGATGAATTTTGGAAAATGGATAATGATATCAACTATAATGTCAACAATTCATCCGAGAATAACAATAATTTTGAAGAAGAGGACGAATCTACTATAGATATGTTGAAACAGATGCTATTTGAAGAGTTGAAGAAACCAATTAATTGAAATTATAATAGAAAAAGAAAAAAATTTAAGAAAAGATATGTGTATATTTCTATTTGACTGCTTGAGTAGTTATTATTAGAAGAATTTCTTTGGCAATGGAGATAATGCTTGTGGTTATTGCTATCATAATACATATAACACTGGTGTTTGTTGTGTAATCTGCATTACTGACTTTTTGCACGTGACTTTTTGTTGTCATATAAACAAATTTTGACCAGCGAAAAATAAATAAAAACAAAAATTGAAAAATAAAAAACAAAGATAAAAAACAAAGATAAAAACACAAATGGTTAAGAATAATTTGTGACACTTTAAACAATGCTATTCCTCTTTTCTCAATAACATATATTGAACATATATAAAGATTTAGATTTAAGTAATTATAAGTATATGATTACTTCAATTCGGCAGTCCACAGGACTTTGACTGTTTTAGTGATTTCCTTTTGAGTGTTTTCTTTTCTTGCTGTGACTTTTCTTTCTAATGTGATTCCCCTTTATCTTATAATAGTTAATTTTAATTTAGCTAAATTTCTTGTATTATTCTTACGTTTAATTGATTGTAATAGCTATTTATTTAGTTTCATGTTGTGTGTTCGTGATACATTACAAAAAAAGATATCGCTAGGCAAGGTCGTTTCTGTAAAATAAGTCGTTGTTTTTAATAATCTAGTATTTTTATAACCCTTCCATTCGTTTTTTTTGGTTAATAAATATATTATTTCCTTTGTTTTATAGTTGTTTTTTTAATTAAAAAACTGATCCTTTGTTTATATTCTATGACCAACTCTGTTCATTCTTTTAAATTTAATGTTGATACAAATCATATTGATGATTCTTCAATTGAATCTTTGCGAGATCAAGTGAATGGAAATGCCGATGAAAATGTAACTTACAGTATTTTTTTAAATGAATCAGATCTTGCCCTAAAAACAAGAAACGGAGGTATTTCAAATATTAATGATCAAAGTCAAAAAAAATTAAAAAGTTCAAGATTATATAAATTTATTCTTTCTACTGATGAGGTTAATTCAAATGAAAAAAAGGTAGCCAAGAACGATTCTAAAAACTATTCAAGTTTAATCACTTTATCTACAGGAGTATTGAATTCTGTTGAGAATAGTGGAAGTGATATTAATATCCCTTCAAATAGTCAAATTAAAGAAAAGGTAAATACTTACGTCAGTAAATCTATAAATAGTCTCCCACTAGTTGATGTTTATTCCTCACCCTTAGATAATCTGATTCAGACATCAGATGAATATTTCACTGCTATCTCTTCATCATCACCGCTATCCAAGCTTCAAGGCTCAGATGATATGGATTTCCCACTTATGTCTTCAACACCAAGACATAATAGATTTATTAATAAGGATTCACCTAGTAGCAGAACTTCAAAAAATAAATCACTTTTCAATAAAAACAATCAAATGAATACAAAGATTGATGAAGCTGTAAAATTATTGAAGAATGATTATATAGCAAAACCACAAACAATTAAGATTAGATCAGAACCTAGTTTATCAAGCATCGATTTTGAACCACATGATTTTCGAATAACTAAAAGATTTCGTGAGAAAAATAAAGAAGATACTAGAGTATCTGTAGATGATCAATTAATATCGAATAGGTTAACAGAATATAATAGCAAAATGGATAAGATAGGAAAGCCTTTAAAAACTTCTTTGTTTAATAATATTATCGTGCCAAGTAATAAAGATGATTCATCCGTGTGGAATCTATATACACAAAATATAGGAAATAAAGTTAAGATATTGGATAATGTTGGTGATTCACTGGATAATGTAATTAGTCCAATAGATAGTTCTTCAGAAGTTATTAAAGCACATTTTACATCATCTTTACAGAACGACCATATATTATCAGTAGATATTCCAAGTGTAATTAATAGTGATTTTAAGCCACAAAATACATTATCTTCATCAATTGTTACATCAGTAGCCCCACAAACACAACTATCTTCTGTGGTTGATTTACCACCTTCACCAACATATGAATCTGCTAATGAAAATATCAGTGGAGAAGAGGATAATTATGTAACATGGAATGAATACAATTCTTTTCCAATACAACATATTGATTCATCGTCAATTAAATCTTTTGATTTAGTTAGAGGGAAGGAATACGATGAAGATATTGATACTAATTTATTTAGTCTTATGAGAATTCTGATGTTAATATTCATAGGCATTATGATACCACCGATATTCTTTCTTGTAGCATTTGGGGAGAATAGCAATTTGTTATCTGATTATGTTCTTTTAAAATTGATAATAAAACGATCTAAGAAAGTATTTTTATTACAAGGATTCATTTGGGATATCGACCTACAATGGCTTCGAAGATTGTGTTTCTGGTTAGGGATTATGGAACTATTTTTTTTATTAGCTTGTGTAGCTATTGGATTTAGTGTTGGATTGACTCGATGAGACTAATGATGGTTCAAAAATGCCATAATGGAAGTGATGATAATAAGATCTGCATTTGGTGAATTGCAAAGAGCAAAAATAGAATACGGATATTACTTGTTTGTTTATGTTTCTTGTTCTTTGTTCCTTTTTACAGTGTTTAGTTTAAATTTGTGACAATTTTTTATTCGTTTATTTATGCTGTTTTGAAAAATTTGGGGTTGTTCGAGGCATTAATTTTAAGCATTTAAAGGAAAAATTATATCATCTTTAGATTAAGATAGATGATTTTGAAAGTAGAAGCGCTGGTTATGTTGATTACAATAGTTGTGTTAGTAGTGTTCTTGAACAGCAGATAGTTGGTCTTTCTGCTGCTTTTATTATAATGTTACATGTGTATAATAGACTTGTTTATAGTTTAGTTATCAGTTTGTTCGTGCTTTTTGATATTAGCTCACTAAAGTATTAATTAGGATAAGTAAGCCAAAAAATGTTGTCTCATGTAGTGGAATTTAGTTGTCAATACTCAGAACAGGTTAGAAAGAAGCAAAAAGTTTGGCATGATGGGAAATTGAAACATTATCAAATTAATAACCGCTTCCTTTTGTATACTGATGATGGTGTACTATTGAGTAGTATCTTTGTGACTAATACAAAAGAATTGAAAGTATACGTAGACGAGGAGAATTTTGGAACTATGGAACATAATATTTTTGGAAGATTTGTTGTGATTATTGAAGAAATTATTGCAGAATACGATAGGGAAATTAGTCATATTAAGACGACTACCACAACAACCGCTGTTACATCCACTAATGTCAATTCAACTGGGATAAATAATCAGGAGAAAGATAATCAAGATTTAAATAACGGAAACTTTATCACTCGTAATAAAAGTATCAATAATGCAGAATATTACTCAAATAAAATTGTTTTGAAGGCAGTTACAAAAAATACTATAGTAAAAAAAGTTGAAACTTCATCTCCTTTACCTACACCTTTTTCTATTGCACCTAACGTCTTTCCAAAGAAAATATCAATGAATATGACAAAAATAAATTCAAGAATACGAAGTGTTGATTTAAATGAAACAGGTTGTGGATTTTCTACCTCAAATCTGGCCTTAAAAGTTAATAAGCCATTTAAACCACCGAGAATTGTTTCAAATATAAATAATGTTTCTAATAGACCAAATATAAGGAATTCAAGGGTTAAGAATGAAATTGTTGATAGCACTTTGGTTAATAAGAATAATACTAATAAGAATGGTATAACAGCTAACAGCTCGCCCCTATTAAAAGTTCACAGTGCAATAATACAAGATGCTTCAACTGTTAGAACGTCTGATGAATACGTAAAACATACTAATAATAACATATTCAAAGAATCATCAGCTATCAAGCAAAAAATTAGTAAAATAAATTTTAACAAAAGACCTTTTTTTAAAACGAAAATGATTAATCATACTCCAATCATTCTACCTTAATTTATTCTCTCAAAAATATTGGAAAGATAATATTCTGTTGTATATCAATCATTATTGACATCATCAATATTTACGTAGAAATGAGGGAATAAAGATATATTATCATGTAAAATAAAAAAAGAAAAGACTGAAAGAATGAAGACACTCGAATTACATTAGAATAAGATATTGGATATTGAAGAGCTATAAAAGTTATTAATATTTACTGTTCACTCAGAAAGTTTCTTTTCTATTAAGTTTTGTAACATATCTGCATCTTTAGCAAATTTTCTAATTCCTTCAGCCATTTTGATTACGGCAGCTTCATCTTCGTTGAAATCATATCTAAATTTGGATTCATTATTAATAAATGAAATTTTACTTTCACCCTTATCTTTGGCAGTTTTAAGATTTAGTTGTTTGGGTATTTCTTCTTTACTACTCAGTAATTTATCTAATAAATTCAATGATAATGTTACATGATCAAGACCTGCTAATGCTTTAATTTCGTCAATATTTCTAAAAGAGGCACCCATTATGGTAGTGTTATAACCGTGTTTCTTATAGTAATAGTAGATTCTCTTAACTAATAAAACGCCTGGATCATCGTTTGCAGTATATGTTTTCCCAGTTTTTTCTTTAAAAAAATCCATAATACGACCAATAAATGGTGATATCAGTGTAACGCCAGCCTCTGCACAAGCTACAGCTTGAACAAATGAAAACAGTAGGGTTAGGTTGGTATGGATTCCATGGTCTGATTCTAATTCCTTAGCAGCTTGAATTCCTTCCCATGTAGCACCAATCTTAATTAAGACGCGATCCTTAGAGACTCCTTCCTTCTCATAGAGATCGATTAAATTTATAGCTTTAGTAACCGTGGCCTTCCTGTTGAACGACAACCTTGCATCTACTTCTGTTGAAACTCTTCCAGGGACAATGTTGAGAATTGATCTACCAAATTCTACAAATAATTTATCCATGGCAATATCCACTTGTTCCCCTAATAAAGAACCATTCTTTTTTCCGTACTCAATGGCAGTATTCATCAAAGGTTGATATGACTCTTTTTTGGAAGCAGCTAAGAGAAGTGTTGGGTTTGTTGTTGCATCTTGGGGTGAATATTTCTCAATTTCTTCAAAATCGCCTGTGTCTGCAACAACAATAGTACCGGTTTCCTTCAAATTGTCTAAGGAAGTTTTTCCTGTATTCTGTTTCTTTGAGTCTGGTTCCATTCTTGTATGCAAGTTTTTTTTGGGGATTCTTATGTGTGCATAGGATTCTCTCCATTGTGTGATGTATAGTATAGATGATATACATGTGGCTGTAGAAAATTGACATTTTTACAAGTCATTTGTTATTACTACCTATATATATGTGCGTGATATAAATATAAAAGTTTATTTTATGGTTAAGATGTTGCTCATAAAATAAAAGGGGAAATTTGTTTATATTTGGAAGAAATATTTATTACACCCCTTAGAGAAAACACTATAGATTAATATATAGATTGGAAGATCAAGTAATAACTGTAAATTGTTTGTTTGATTTTTAGGATTACTAATATTCTAGTTATTATTTAAGTCCAAGGAAAAAGATAAAGGTGGTGAAGGGAGAATTAATATTTTATTCCTATTATGTGTATTGTATGTGCTGAGGATATAATTTGTTTATATGTATGTGTCTGTATCTGTACTTATGTGAAATATATTGTTAATAATTGTTACTATCTTCTATTTGGCTTAAACAAAAAAAGCCATTAAAAAGAGTATTAATGCTAATTATAATTATTACTTATTTAACCCTCATTTTTTGGTCTTACCAATTTTCTTGTTCATATTTTCCTTTATATATTTAATTTGTTCCCTCTTTGTAAGATCATCTGGACATTGTTGCAAAAGAATAGCTAATTTCCTGTTAAATCTAGAATTATTGTTGTCGTGGACAATGGCTACATGTCTATTAAATGCATCTTTTCTATAGAATTCTTTGCCACAATATTCATTTGGACAAAGTATCGTTGGATATGCTTCATCTTTTAGATTTAAGTAACTTTTTAAGTCACTCTGTAGTTCATCTTTATGTTGAATGGCACAGTGTCTTCTCAAGTCAGACCTTCTAGGTAAACCAAGAATCTTCCAAGGACATAATGCAAACGGGCATTTAAATTCACGTTTAATATTAAACTCATCCATATGTGCAGCATATTCCATTAAATTAGGAAAAGTTTGTGGACAATGTGCACATTTATAGAAACCTCTTTTTTGTTTCTTTGAGATGGCTTCAAATAAAGGACGATCATTCTTAAGTTGTTCCACTAATGAGACATGGTCATCTGCAGAGGAAGGAGTTAGAAGAATATCACAACTTTTTGACGTAAAAGTGTCATTTGTTGTAATATCAAAAGTTTTATCTATTGGTGTGGTATCAAGGGGGATGTTCAGTGGAAAAAACTCTGGAGATGTTGTGGGTAGTGATGATATATGTAGATCAACTTCTTGATTCATCGGTAGTGAAGTATTACTAACTAATAAAGTGTCTAACGATGTGTCTAGTGTTGTTGGACTAGAGTCTTGGAATTTGGTCGATTCTATAAATTTATCTTCAAATAACGCATCAATGTTGATGTCATTAGTAGGGTCTATACTCAATTTCAAGTTTGAATTGTCATCAATATTTGTGCTAGCTATTGTACTGGGTTGGTTAATCATTTGAATATTGGTTTCTTCTAAAAGTTGAAGATTGTTTTTACCATGTTGTATCTTATTGGTGAAGACAGCTTTATCAGTATTGCTAAGAGCTTTCTTTCTGTACGGTCTTTTTGGAGGTTTAGGCTTTATGATTTTTGACCGTTTCTTTCTAATTAAGTCTTCAACACAAGTTATTTTTTGTTTGATAAGAAGTTTATTTGAATAGTTTTCATCAGAATGATCAGTTTTTAAATTACCAGTCATTATTCTACGTGTAAGATTATTAGCTTCTTCCTCGAAATTTGTTTTAAGTTCTGGTACTTTTGGTATTGTTAAATTCAGAGAGTATGGATTTTCAAAATTATATGAATTGCATGTTCGTAAAGGTAATTGTGGTGGTTGTCGTTGTTCTTGCATATCTTGATGTGTCCGAAATTGATATGGGTTAATATCTTGAATAATCTCATCGTTGAGTTCTGATAGAGGATAAATACTTTCTACAAAAGAGCTCAAAGGGGTTGGCAACACATTATTAGATTCATATGTTTTTAAGTACGGACCTTCGATCCTTGTAGAAGTCACATTATTTTGATTACTTGGCAAAGCTACCATTGTTTTGAATCTTAATAGTCGTGGTAAGTTACCGAACGATATTATATCAGCTGGTTTCTTATTCGAAACAAGATCATTTAAATATGAACTATAGAGGTTTTCTTCGTTTAAATTCATTATAATATTAATACGTTAATCCTGTCAATTTTATTTTAATTATTTATATCAACACTTCTGTAAATAACTCAAAGATTGTTTGTTTTGTGTCTATTAGTTCCTTATAAGTTACCCATTATATTAAAAAATTCAGCACTTCTCATAATGTTCTGAAATATAATCATACAATAAGCAGTATAATCTAAAAGTTACATGAAGAAATATACTTATTTCGAAAAAACAAGCAAGGTAAAAAAAATAAAAGAGACGAAGTGTAGTAATAAAAGAAGGAGAGTGAAGATCTTATGAAAATCTTCTTGAGCTTTGACAGTTGGTTAGTAAACCAAACAATTAGACAAAGAAAATACTGGCCCTTTGAAGAGGAGAAAAAATGTAAAACCTAATACAACCAAAAAAAAAATAGAAGAAACAATATATCCAAATGAAATAATAATTTTGGTATAAATTGAAAAAAAAATTTGATGTACTTTTTTACACAGTTTGCAAAACCTTTTCAAAAATAGCATCAAAATGAAACACCCATCCATTCTCATAGGATAAATATCAGAAGAAATAAAACATAATGAAAAACAAATATCTCAAAACAATGCGGTATAAGACTTTTTTTCCAAAAATGTAAGACTTGAACAAAAAAACAATAGAATTTTATAAAATAATATCTCTGTTATAGGATATTAATTTTAAACTTATTCTTCTTTTTTCATTGTTTAATACTCTTTTATTGAGAACATACTATGAAAACAGCCGGATGTAAACAAAATGATTGGTCTTTTATTGTTATTATCTTGTGATATTTTTCTCTTTTTTGGTAATAGTACCATTTTGGAAAATAGTACATAGTTAGACATATTTTGAGGTTATCAATACTGAGTGAAAAAATGCATAACTACTATTTTAAAATAATTCTACTTTTGTACATTATTAGGGTTAGGGTGTGATGAAATAATAATATACCCATTTAATATATTTTTGTAAGGATGCCATTAGTAGAAAAATAACTGTTTCGTAGGTAGGAAGGTTAAGTAATAATTCTCAATATTTGGTGAATATATTATGCTACTAGATTTGTAGAAAAATCTACTGATAAACTAAATTGGAAAGTATGAATTGTGGCCAAAAAATAGAAAGCAGAGATATTTTTTAAGGTGAATGAATTGTATTCAATCTTTTGAAATTTTTGGGAAAGATTTTGCTCCTGTAATATATATTTCTTTGGATGAAGTTAGTTGACCTAAAAAAAACAATTGAACGTCGTAGCGTAAGTATATTGGCCATTCTTGAGGTAATTGGACGCTATATAAAATGTTGAATGCATCATTTTGGGGTAGCCTATTCTAATACTATATTTCTTTATGTTTAATATGGATTTGTTAATAAAAGGAAATGCTGATAATTTTTCTTAGAATGTGAATAAAATTATGTTCTTATACCTCAATAAAATAACAAAGTATGAAAGGTAAGTGGAATATTATTCTAAATATTACGCATTACTCTTTAAAAGTGTTAATGGGTTACCATTAGGTGCTACTATTGTATGTTTATCAGATTGATACTACATATAAGACTTTGGGTAATCGTACTGTAGGAAGAGAAATTAACATAATCATGAAATAGAGTATAAAGTACTAGAAGTATATTAAAAATAGGGATATTTTTGCAATGAATATTTTGATAATTGATTTAGATGTTCTATTCTAGCTAGCAAATGTGCAGGATGGTTGAATTGAATTGAATTATTTTGTTTATTATCGTTTCATGTGGTTTATAAATAACACATTTTTTACACAGATATTACTTAAATCATATTTGGAAGAAGTTTTGTTTAGAGATATGTCTTGAGTTTTGTTTTCCATCAAATTATTTATCTTTAGTAAATTGTTAGAAGAGATATTGTTATGTATAAAAATACTAAGTGACAACATATCTGGTACAAATGGCAATTACCAGACTCTTTAACTGAAATAGTACTTAAAAATTACCATTGTTATAATAATATGGATATTTTTACTTGTTCTTTTTGCCATTAGACTTAAGGTCGGGGTAAATATGATTATCTTAAAAATGATCACAGCAATGGATAGGGGTAAACTTTAAATGTAGAGACAGTGAATCTAAATCTAACTTGCTATAATGTCACTATTGATTGCTAATTTTATTTATCGGATAATCTAAAGTGCATATTTACTGGTTACATTGTATTCTTTAATGTTTTTCTTTAAAGTATGGTTGTTTCTTATCAAATATATGCAACAATTTGTTTACTTTTTTTTTTTACTGATTTGTTAATTTAGACTACTTTTATAATTGAGTCCAGTATAATAAAGAGACATTTAAGTGAAAATTTAAAGGAAAAAGATAACCTAGTATTAGATGAAGAGGTACACATCTCTTTTAACATGGGGAGGTACATAAATGCATGAATTAACTCGTATATGAAGTTGTTGGAAGGAAACATTTTTTTGAAAATTCGTACTATTTTTCCCATACTATTCTAGTAAAATAATTACTTCATCGTGTCATATTTGACTAACATTTAATAAATTATTCATTTAATCCAATTATTAATTGAACAAAAGAGAAAAATTATCAACAGTTCTAAGAGATTTATTTGAATTGAAACTAGGTTATAGCTAGTAGGTGAATTTGCGTAATGTTGGTATTGTAACAATTGTTTGTTTTAGTTCTACAATGGTAAATGATAAAGGATAATAACATTAGTAGACACTGATTGTTAAGTTCTAAAAGTGTTTTTAACTCTATTTTTTAAATATTTACATAATAAGTCGAAGAAGAACGTATAGTATGTTCAGAATTAGATATTTTGAAGTGTATATTAGTAAATTTTACTATTATATACATGATGGGGTATGATGTATTATTTTGAAATAGAGTTTTATGTCTATTTGTTAGTTTTTTGTAGATGATATTTTGGGTGTGGACGATGTAAATGTGAAGTATTAATTTGTAAAAGTGTTTAATAATCAGGAAATATTCTAAATAGAAGATAGTAATGTATGTATTAAGATTTATGGTTCGTTGTATGGTATAAGGAGTTCAGTAAATGTAAGATTTGTGTCTTTTCTTATGGATATGTTTTGCATCTTTTTTTGTTTATCAGTTGATCTTAAACAGCCTTCTCCTTAGAACAACAAAATTTAAAATATTTTAATATTTTCCACTGAAAAAACAAAATTTGTACTAATAGAAAAAGCCCTAATTAGCAATCTGAACACACGTATTTCCTATATAACAGTTACTATAGGGACGAAAATCTTGGAACAGGTGATATTTTGAACTCACTTTGTATGTGTATTCAAAGGATGATGGGCTTAAAGTTAGTAGAGAACCAGTAAGAAACTTATTTAAGAAGTTTCTCGTCATTAAATGAGAGAGAATGATAGAAATAATTATAAACAAAATAATAATCAACATAATAACAACAATAAAAAATAAATAATTTATTTGTCAATTTAGAATTAATAGTTGTATAATTTTTATGTATTTCCATGTAATCAATATTTATCTTTTTTGCTTGTATATTACTTGAGATAAACACTTACAACTAAAAATATATATTCAAAACATATATGCAGACACGTTAATAAAATATAATAAAAATTTTGCTATCTTATTACTCTTAACAACTAATACTTTTATTTAAAACATATATTATAAAGTTTTAAAAAAATACTAAATAATGGATAGCTGAGAACTCACCAAAAATACTATGACATTTATTAACAAACAAAATTTATTTATCTATTTTAGTTTCAATAAAGTCGTTTACTCTACATAAATAATATATAGTCCTAAAGATACACCATATACTATAAATATCAAAATTAAATACAGACTATTTAAAATGGAAAAACAAAAAGATATACAACACTAATAAATATTGTCTTCTACTTTTATCAGAAAGATATCTATATTGCCAGTTTATTAGTAGATTATTATTACACCAAAAATATAAAAAACCAGACACAATTACTTATAACTACGTAACTTTAAACTTATTTCATTCTTTGTATATAGTAATGCATGTCTTACAAAAAAAAGTATATTCTCATGCAACCACATCCTTTACTGTATGTATGTACATATGACACATCCAATATCTTCTTTTAACCCTGTGAATCACTAGATTTGACACCATGCAAATATTCTTATTGCCACTATTAGGACTATTTGTATTCACAAGGAATATTTTGCTCTAATTTAATACAGTAATGCTAACTTATTGTTTTTATATCAAACGTTTGTCTATTTCTTATTTGCCATGTGAAAACTGAAAGAAATAAAAAGTGAAAAATAAAATCGATGATCAAGTAGAAAATAAAGGAAAACGAAATGAAATATAATATATACATAACAAAACGAACATTAATAATCTGCATTATTATTATTATCCAGTAACCAAGTAACAGAAAAATAGCTTCATTTACTACCAGCATAATTACTATTTATTTTTTTACTTCCTTTTCTGTTTCCTTTTTAATATAGTTAAATGCCCAATTCAAAGAGTTTTACAGTTCAACATGTTTTCACTATTATCTCGTGCTTAACAGCTGTTTACACTTCCTATAGACTATATAAAGACTCAAGAACAAAATCCAATACTGTAAATCCACCAACTACTAAAAATGGTATTGAAGAATTAATCGGTAATACACCTTTAGTAAAAATTAAATCTTTAAGTAGAGAGACTGAATGTGAAATTTTTGCCAAATTAGAGTTATGTAATCCTGCAGGAAGCGCCAAAGATCGTGTTGCATTAAACATCATCTTAACTGCCGAGTCAAAGGGACTTTTAACTAGGAATGACCCAAATAAACAGGGTTGGGTCTTTGAGGGAACAAGTGGCTCCACAGGGATCAGTATTGCCATGATTTGCAATGCGCTAGGTTACAAAGCTCACATTTCATTACCTGATGATACATCCTTGGAAAAACTTGCTTTATTAGAAAGTCTTGGTGCTGTTGTCAATTTGGTAAAACCTGCCAGTATTGTGGATCCAAATCAATATGTAAACGCAGCAAGAAAGGCTTGTGATGAATTAAATGCAAGTGGCAAAGGACAGGGTGTCTTTGCTGACCAATTCGAAAATGAAGCTAATTGGAAAATCCATTTTAACACAACTGGGCCAGAAATTTGGCAACAAACGGATGGAAATATTGATGCCTTTATAGCTGGTTGTGGAACTGGTGGTACAATCACTGGAGTATCTAAATACTTGAAAACAAAGAGTAATCCATATGTGGTACTTGCAGACCCACAAGGGTCAGGCTTCTATAATAGAATTAATTATGGTGTTATGTATGACCATGTAGAAAAAGAAGGGACAAGAAGAAGACATCAGGTAGATACTATTGTGGAAGGGATTGGTTTAAATAGAATTACCCAAAATTTCAAACAAGGTGAAGAATTGATTGATGAATCGATTAGAGTTACAGATAAACAGGCTATTGGAATGGCCAAGTATCTTTCAGTTAATGATGGATTGTTTATTGGTAGCAGTACTGCTATTAATGCTGTGGCTGCAGTAAAATTAGCTTCTAGGTTACCTAAAGGATCACGTATTGTTATAATTGCATGTGATAGTGGTTCCAGACATCTAAGTAAATTCTGGAAAGAAGCTAAAATAGTGGATAATAAGATATCAATCGATGAAATTTTGAATAGTCAGTAAGCTAGAAAGTAACTATATTGTTATTAACTCAAGTGGAAGAAAAATAATAAAATAAAAGTTAAAATAGAAACGATAAAGTTATCTTGGTAATAAACAAAAAAAAAATATAACAACATTCCTGTTTTTATCTTTCTTAAATATTATTATTACAAAGTTTCTTATATATCAATATAATTTTAAATTCCATATATTTTCCCATACAAAATCAAATTTAATGATCACTAACACCACTGAAATATTGAGTCATGTCAAAATTTACTGACTTAGCAATTTCAGTAACGATTTCCCATGGAATATTAACTTTCCATTTTGATTTGGATGACAGAAAATCAGATGTTCTTATTGAAGTAGTGCATATTAATTTTAAAGATTGCAGTTCTGATAAGTTCTGAAAGACCTCAATATTAGCCCTAATTAACCTATCTCCTAACAACGATTGTAAAGAACCAGATACTGCGACTGTCTCCATTGGATAAATGGCCTGAAATATGGCTAATAATCTTTCTAAAAAAAACACAGCTGGTTGTAAATGTCTTGGATTTGATTCCATTTTTTTACGTCTACCATATGATGATCTTCCGGATTTAATACTTGTTTTTCTTGAGAATATACTTGTATCATATTTAGGTTCAATATAAGAACAAAAATATGCTGCTATTAGTAAATATTTTGCCATACTAGACAATTCATAGTTTTGCCCAGAAGGTTTTACTTTAGATACCCTTGTCTTATTTGTATTTTCATCTAACCCATCTCCATCTTCATTTTCATCTTGTTCTTGTTCTTGTTCTTCGTTATTATTGTCATCATTATCATTACCATTATCCTCCTCCTCATCATCCCTATCATCATCTGCAGTGAAAGTATCATTTGTTGCTGCAAAAAGGTAGATAGATTTTTTATAAATCGATATTGGATCCTTATAATTCGTCTCATCTATATTATCCAAGTATATTCCCCATTTAAGATCTAACAAATCATTTATAGAGTTTAAATTATTTCCTGTATACATTTGGAATGCCTGCATGATCAATGTAATAAAATTAATGACTATAGAATAATTATTATCTTCGTTAGATGCAATGGAATGGTTGCTCAAATGTTCTAGGAGATCTGAATACATATCTTCAAATCTCATAATAATTAGTAACTCTAAAATTTCATCGTACGTATAACGTGGAAATACTATTGTTGGAATATTAAAAGTCGCATATCTGGCCATGAAATTTGCATCCCTGATTAAATAAACCATTTTAAAATGAAAATTTGTGATCTGATGTGATATTGCCTCATTTAATTTCAAAAATTTTAGTAATAGAGTAGCATCGATATCCTGCAAATTGTCCAACCCATCAAAGATGATAAAAATTTGTTTTGAATAATTGGACAAGATATTAAACATTTTTGTCAAAAAACTAATTAGATGGTACGGCTCTTCTACGGATAAAGGGTCAAGTTGTTTCAATTGTAAAATTTCATTGGGAAATAGGTCATAAAATTTGAATTGTAATGATCTAGCCAAAGACTGAATCAATAATTTCCAAGTAACCGATTCCTGAGGTTTTAACGTTACGGAGAGTAAGTCTGGATTAGCTTGGAAAAACTTTTGGATGACATATGATTTCCCAGTCGCTTCATAACCTTGTAAAAACAAATTTGAAACTGATTGTTTATGATCCGAAGAGATAAATGAAGATAATGTTTGGACTTGATATTGTCTAAATCTAATATTCGGTAATGAAAGTGCCATAATGAGACGTTAAATGAATAAAAATAAAATGCATAAAAATTAAAAAAAAAAAAATTAAAAAAAAAGAGTAACAAAGGCAAAGAATAACTTCAAAAAGACTACTTTATTTATGCTTGCATATTTCTAAAAGAATGTTTGATTATTAATAGTCAAATACTAAGGCTCCATTGAAAAAGATCACAGTAGCAAGTGTGCATAATCTATTTCCAAACAGTTACTTATTCTACTGTACCATCATCCTGGAAACAGTGATGACACTTAACCAAATTAATGTTGGTTGGAAAAAAAAAAAAAAGAAAAACAAAAAACTGCAAAAAAAAAAAAAATTAAAAAGAAATTTCTTAGTGTTTTTAAAGAAAAAGAAAAGAAACCCTAATATATACATATACATTCATACACCCCAATAATAATTGCCCTGATTATATGATTTAGAATCCTGAAAATGAGGTTTATGTCAGTTTAAACCAATAGATTATACCGTGGTGTTTGATAACAGCATTGACAAAAACGTATAGATTCATTTTTTTTCTAGATTGTTACTAAGATGTTTTGAGTAGTGGCGACATTTTAAGAGAGCTCAACACCAAAACAAAGCATTAAAACAAATAATATCATTATTTTTGGTCCAACCCTAGTATTCATAATAAAATAAAGCAACATTCCTGTAATAATACGTATTTTGTGTCACTATATGAAACTACTAATAGCAGGTACGTGAAAAAAAAAAGAAACAAGAAAAAAAAAACAAAAACAACAGAATGGATAACTTTAGACAATAAGCTAGATGAACAGTGGTTAAAGCATTTCTACATATAAAAAAATAACGTCGACCCAACAATCTTAGATTGCACTTTGATCAGAAAAGATCAGGATCTAATCGCAAGTTTCACACCAACGAATCCTCTGTTACCATGACAACAGGCAAAAAACAGAAAATCCAATGTAAACAACCCACACACCACACCAAACAAACAAACAATTCATTTTTTCTTTGTCTATTTGCCCAAAAGGGAAAGAGAGGTTCATTATTTCCTTAACAGTGTGTATTTTTTACGTTAAAAAACAAAATCACGAAATGTTTCCCTAATCGGATAATTTATTTATAGCACCACAAAAACAAAACAAAATAAAACAAAAACGAAAAAAATTAAAAAAAAAAAAAGACTAAAGTCTTGCTTTTCGTGTTGTTTCAGATTTGATCCCGTTGACAAAAATTTTGATTCAAAGAATGTGTGGTTGTTTTATCGAGGACAATTAAAGGTTAACATCAAATCTACAAGTTAGGGCCAGTAATAAGTATACATATATATATACATACATACATATCTTTACATAGCTTTTTGTCTATGTGTAGATAAACTCACAAATATTTTCTTCCTCTGAGTCCTAAACATAGATATAAGTTTTTTTTTTTGATCGTCATTTGATTTTACTCATTGACATTATCAGTATTTTATACCAACTTACAACAAGGATAACACTAATCCAAATAATATATCTTTATTTACTGCCCACTGCTTAATTGTTTTTTAACAAAAAAAATAGTGATATAAATATACACTTTTGTTCTGGTTAATACTACTAACCTGTCCATTCTTTCTTTCTTTTGTTTTTTTTTTTTGTTTTTTTTATAATTTATTTACCTCTGTATTTAAGAAGGTTAATATATTATTTTAATAATTAATTAGCCATGCAGCCAATGCATATCATATTATTTGTATTTTTATGTTCATTTGTTAATGCTTCTTCCAATGTGAGAGATTTTTTCAGATTGCATAAATATTCCAATGATACGATACCGACAACGACTCGCTCATCTTCTTCCTCTCTTTCTTCTTTCCTTTCTACTCAATACCATCATCATACTCATTCTTCAATTACTTTAAATACAGAGTTTGTATCATATTCATATATTGAATCTGATACCACAGATAATTATGGTAGTAGTTTCCATAGCGATAGCAATAGTGCCAGTAATGATTACATTAGTGATGAGATGAATAATAGTAATGGTTTGGAATACACTGATGAAATCTTTCCCATGTATACAGATTCATTCAATACTATATCAAGCATCTTTCCAGCTGCTTCAATGACAGTAACAATAAGTTTAGCTTATCAAACTCCTGTAACAACCACTACTAGTTCAAGTGATTATTTTCAAGAAAGCACTTTTGTCTATAGTTACAGTAACATCCAACCCGCTGATGAAATTTCTATTTGGTCATCCGAGCTTATTCTATCGACAATTACAATTGGCAGTGATACATTCACTACAACTGCTGATATATTGTCGAATACAGACCAATCATCAATATATGATTCTAGAACCAGTTCTCTTCCAAAAAGTAATTCATATTTAACCTCTTCTTCAACAACAACTTTTGACACCAAACTTCTAACAACTAACAACTATGTATCATCACTAACAACAACAAACATACCAACTACTAGCACTTCATCATTATCATCGTCTTCTTCTACATTAAACTTTAATTTGAATTCTCAAACTAGTTTATCTAGTCAGATAAGCACTTCACATTCTTTCAATATTGGAATTTCATCTTCTTTTGTGGAATCTTCAATCTTTCAAAAAACGATTCTTCCACCAACAATTGTTACATCTACTACATCACCTGTATCCATGTCTACATCTGAATCACTAAGTTATAAAAAGTCAACCGAACTCTCTCCTAGTACTCTTCACTCTTTTCCAACATCGACTATATCGACATCTGCTGGCCTCATTTTTCCAAACACAATTTCAAAATATCCTACCCATATAGCTTCTTCTATTGTCATCCCCACTTCTGCTTCATCTTCCTCCTCCTCTTCATCAACTTCCAGCGTTATTATTTCTACTCCGCCAGAATCTGTATCCACTCCTTTAATTGTAATTTCTTCGCTTTCTGTGGCTACCTTACCACCCCCTTCAAGTATCATAGTATCTCCATATTCAACAATACCTATTACAACATCCTCAACAGCTCCACCTATACCATCTTCTAAGGAACAAGTAGGGAGTGATAATGTTCAAACGCAATCAACCTCTTTCCCTCCTAATACCATCTCTGTTGTTACTTCCCAACCATTATTAACCGAAACAACCACAAGCTTCTCCACTCCAACTGCATACTCATCTGCCCTATTTATATCACAGTCACCTACATCTACTTCATCTTCTAAAAATGTAGTGACATTCGACCCCTTTGCAACATATACTACCACAACAACAATTTCCTTTTCTGGCTTATCATTATTCGAGCATACAACAGCTTCTTCTACATCATTAACATCAACCATTATCTCTGTTCATTCAAGCTCTAAAGCATCTACAGCTATCTCAACAACAACATCATCTACTTCTTTTTCTATTTCCTCTATTATATCTCCTCAACAACCAATCTCCGTAACATCCACATCAGTTATCAGTTCTACCACTTCCACATCTCCAAAATTTACTTCTAGTACTACTATTAGTGTCTTAGTTATTTCAAGTAAAATATCTGTAGGTAACAATATTTCCACTACTGTTTTAATAGGTTCGACGAAACATGTTTCTGTATCAACAACTTTAAACCAAACTCCCGCAGCTACTGCGTCGAGTAAAACTATAATAAGTATGACTCGCGCATCTGTTTTAATGTCTACTGGAACCATTACAGCTTCTACGACGACCTCTTACTCTTATTCTACTAACAATCCAAACTGGTGGGTTCCAACTGAAATTATAACGGATTCAGGAAATTCAACTTTGGTCACGGAAACGAATTATGCATCTCAAACGGCCAATCTACCTAAGATGATTACCTCATCTGATACCAATGAGGAACCTGCTGAAGGATATACATTAATCACTATAGGGTTCAAAAAAGCATTAAATTATCAATTTGTTATTTCAAATCCGCAATCTTCAGTTCAGATTATATCTTTTCTACCTGAAGTTTTAAATAACCCTTTTAATAATAATTTAACTGATATAGTTGTCTCGAGACTTGTGCCATTACAGGATAACTCAATCCCCTACTTAGTTACTGTTGCTGAATGTTATTTCCCGGAGAGTTTAATATCAAGTCTAAGTAGTATGCTTAAAGACTCGTCCAGTCCTTTATACACAAGAAAAGCTTCCAAAAATATCATTAATACTTTAGCTCAGTTAATCGATCCTTCAATTCCTATCACCGGTTTGATCTATAGTTCAAATAATTTAAATACGTCTTCAGACAATGATTCTGCTACTAGTGATAATAATAATCCTAAGCCACCAAATGATAGTGATAATGGTAGTAACGATCAAAATAATAATGGAAACAATAGTATTAATTTAAATTTTGCCAATACTGGTACTCTAGATGGGTCTGACCTAGACAGTATGGCATATAATAATAAAAATATCAATAGATCAGATTCATCAAGTACAGCAACAAAGAACAAAATCACTGGTATTGTTGTTGGTGTAGTAGTTGGTTCAGCAGTCTACATCGTGACAGTAGGGTTCCTAGTAAGGCACATCATTAATAGGTATAAGAAACAGAGTATAATTAAACATACTCCAGATGAAACCTTCAGTATAAGTTCTAATGAATCATCTATAAATGATGAAAAATATAGTCACCACTCATCTACTAACCATAATTTTAATGGCAACACCTTCTTAAGTGAAGAATTTGGTATTGGAATCAATGCTAAAAGAGGTAATAGTGTAAAATTAAAAATTTCCAAACCTATTGCAAGTCAAAATTCATTAGGTTTCTAAAATTTTCTAAAAGATTTTTATAAAATATATTCTTCTGTATTATTATTATTATTATTACAAAAATTGATCTTATATACTATTCGTATGTATGTATCTTATAGTAATATATTTATGCATATCTCTCGTTGTTATGAAAATATCAATTAATTTATTTCTATTTAAATTTTATTGTCCTATCTTTAATACAAATAATATTTTTCTATCATTTTCATAAGACTGATCTATTAATTTACTTATTTACCCTTAAGAAAGTCAACAATTACCTTGGAGGCCTTATTAAACTGTTCAAATAGTAAACTGTGCCCTGCTGAAAATTCAATAATTCTTCTATGGGGAAAATGGACATCTAATAGAGAGTAGTCATCTGTAAAAAGTGGTGAAGATAAACCTCTTAAGAACAGCACTTCTGTCTCATTACATTTAGCAGGCGGCAAATTATTTGGCCATTGCTTTAAATCGCAAAGAATATTAGGAAATTCTTCAATGGGTAAATAATATCTAATATGATCATCTCCATTTTCTTTATCATTTGACTTAACATTAATAAATCCTGCACCAAAATACCATCCTAACATACCAATACATTCCTTCTTCCAAGTTTTTGAACCTGGCTCGATTTTTATTTTGCCTTCATGAATTTCCTTTATCAGTTGCATGTTTAAGGTCAACTTTGTTGGTAATAACGGTGTAACATATGGCGGCATATCAATTGATACAATCTTTTTTATATTATGACATCTGTTAGATTTAATTGCATTTAACAAACCAACCTTTGCACCCATAGAAAACCCAATAATATTAATACCTCTATCCAATATTGTCTTTCGCCCAATCTCATTTTCAATAAAATGATTTAAATCATTGTTCAATACCTCATATGTCATAGGATGACATTGTGGAGATTTTCCATGATTTCTAAGATCTACTGTATAAATATCCGTATCAATTTCCTTTTTAATGGCCCTATTCAATTCATGGAATGTGTTTCTGGAACCAAGAAACCCATGAAGATTAATAATAATTGGCTTTGTACAATGTCGGGTACTTGATTTTAGCACACTATATGAAAGATCAGTTACTTGCTTGAATGGCAGTGGCATTAAAATAATTGATTTTTATTTGACAGAAAAAAAAATCACTCCCCACCAGTTGATATGGAATCCTTCGAAGATCTAATTCCTTGAACAATGCTACTCTATGTCTATCATTTTCGATGAAATCACTCGAGAAAAAGAAAATCGTTATTTTTAAACATTATGACGTTTTTTTAAAGAGGCAGAAAAATATTTCTCAAACAATACTCCTATGCAATATCCATAATTTGACAAGTTTCAGACAATATGTTATGTCAAAATAATTGCTGTATATTCTATTCATACAACATATCTATGAGTCATCAACCGTCATTAAACGTTTTGGAAATATTTTACATACAGAGTGACTACCTTATACAAGAAATAATCAAAAACAAACATCAACAAAAAAAAATCAAAGAAGATTAATATTAAAGGGGGAAAGGTTTAAGAGGTTTAAAATGTCTAGAGTAAGAAGGTTCAATTCGAAGATACTAGGATTCACAAATGGTGAATCTGCCTTTGATGGTCTGACAAATAGATATAATCAAAAGAACAAATGGTATCAACAGAATATTAACTATTGGGATATTGGACCTCTAGATTTTCATGAACAAGAGGAACTTATTCAAAGATTTGAACAAAATAATTATTCAACTAACAAGTGGATGATAGACATGATGTCTGCATTATATTTGGTTCTTGCAGGTCTATTTTTGATACTGGCCACAACAACATATCGATCAATCAGTTGTTTACTACTTGGTGATGTCCAATCCATTTTATGTTCATGTATAACGTTACGATATAACTTGACGAATGATTTTATTGTAACACGACAATTTAAACTAAGAGTCAATAATTCTACTATAAACACATTGAATTTCGTTCTATTAATATTATTCGAATGGATTATTGTAAACCACCTAGGAGGTCAGTTTAAGTGGCAAATATTTTTACAAATTCCATTGATGCTATTTATCATTACGTTGCTTATAAGAAAATGGAATAACGATATGGATGCTGAATTATCTGAATTAAGAAATCTCAAATATAAATATAAGAGTGCATGATACCAATATTAGTATCCTACAATTGTTTATGTTAACATGTTGAACATTTTTTAAAAAAGAAAGAAAAAGAAATGCCAACTTAATACCTACTTTAACTATTCTTAACATTGTAAAATTCAACTGGATCTATTTATTTAATAAAACAGCAAAAAAAAGAGTAAAAAAGAATAATACATTTTTTAAAACATATGTATTTTAAAACTAATAGTATATCAAGATTTTAAGTATGGAACTAATCACAGTATTGCAATAAGTTGTAAAAATAAACAATATTCGATATATCTATTGTCGATATCGATTTCATTTTGTTTGTTTTTACACATTGTTTCCGCTAAAGAGGGGAAGTATATACACAGCCTGACTTAGTCTATCTTTAATAGGATCTGTCACCAATGAATATATGCCATTAGTGAAAGAAAAATAAATGGTTGCTAAGAGATTCGAACTCTTGCATCTTTCGATACCTGAGTGTTCCCATTTTTCAATGGTGAAGAACCCGAAGATTCTTGAATCAGGCGCCTTAGACCGCTCGGCCAAACAACCAATTGTTGTTGTGTCTGTTGTAGAGTAGAATAATTATAACCATCAAGATTACATAAGATCCTGAATGAATCTAGAATTAATTATTGTCTTAATAAGCCATACACGTGCTACAACATTAGATGCTGCATAATAAAAAGATTGGATTAAATAAGATTTTGGCAAATCTAGAATTTACCTATTATTTTAATAAGTCCCACGTGTATTACTAATTACCATGATTAGAGAATTGGGGTGCAGTTCTAATCCACTAGTGCACCTAAATTAATGTAATAAATATATTAGCTCGTTAAAGCCACTCAATATATAAGACCGTTTTAGTAATTATATTATCGCCTATAATTGATTACTAAAACGGTCTTATATATTGAGCGGCTTTTAATGAGCTAATATATTTATTCGAAGTTACTTGACTTGTTACTTGCTTGTTGTTCTATTTATGTTTATATATAATATATAAATTATTTACAAGAAACGGTTATGGAAGATGATCTTTTATCTCCAGAAAACGTTGTTCTTTTATATGTTTTCTGGAGCTCGATCGATTATTCAGATTAGTACATTAATGACTTGACTGATTCACCCTAAAATTTATTACATTAATTTAGGTGCACTAGTGGATTAGAACTGCACCCCAATTCTCTAATCATGGTAATTAGTAATACACGTGGGACTTATTAAAATAATAGGTAAATTCTAGATTTGCCAAAATCTTATGTAATCCAATCTTTTTATTATGCAGCATCTAATGTTGTAGCACGTGTATGGCTTATTAAGACAATAATTAATTCTAGATTCATTCAGGATCTTATGTAATCTTGATGGTTATAACTATTCTATTCCACAACAATGTCCTGTCATACAAGAATAGAAGAATCATCACCATCAAAATTACATAGGATTCTGAGTGAATCTAGAATTGCCTATTGTATTTGTTGGAAAATGAGAGCTTATTACTGTCATTTTCATAAGAATTATTTTTAATTAGTTTTTCTGTATATTATGTGGTGCACGGATGTACCATAATATCAGGAAGACATCTTATTTTTTCACCAAATATGTTTTTCGAAGATTTGAAAAGAAATGAAAAACTTTAAAAGAAAACTTAAAATAAATAAAAGAATGTATACTGAATACACTATATAATAAGTATATATATGTATTTAGTACACAATACAAAAAAACATCTATAACTTAATGATGTCTACCATTACCATAGACGTAGAAGGCTCCAAATTCCAACAATAATAAAGTTCTTTGCTTCTTTTATTTATATATATATAATATGCAAGGATGATATATAAAAGATGAGCAAAGGAAGAAACATGATATGAAAAAAATGTTGGCTTTATATATTTTCATATCTGGCCTATCTTATCTACGTACGGTATCAAATTATTGATAAAGTTTGTTTACATCTACTAATAAGCAAACAATACATTCTCCACTTTTGTTTATCAATTAATGTTTACTAAAATCTAATTGGTCTATTTATTTATTTTAGAACGTTCAATTTCAGCATATACTCATATTCTTTCCATTAAATTAATTGTGGACCCATTTATTATTCTTACTACTTTGAACTGAAAAGTCCTCACAGATTGCTAACATATTCTTAATGGATGTTTTTATCCCTGTCAATAAAATACATAATTTATTATAGAAAACGATCAATAACTATTATGAAGCTGTTAATAATGATCCCCTTTTCGACATGATATCTGTACTTTTTTAAATTTTTTATTTTATTTTTTTCCTTTTTGGAAGAATATACTATTAATATTTGACAAAACGTTACAAAACTAAGGCAAGTTTAAGCAAATTTCCAAATAACAAACTTATTTTAAAATGAAGTTTAATAAACCCACAACACTAAAAAACGGGTAAGTTTAAAAAAAATAGTTTTTATTAGAAAAATAATGAGATATGTCATCTTTTACAATCTCTTATTCATGCAATATTGTAAAATACCAATAAAAAAATAATAAAAAATGTTGCGTCATTTTAAAAAAATCTTTGCATACATATACACATACACATATATACATACATACATTTATATATGAATCACATATTAATTTTTGCAAAATTGTTAACCAAAAGAGACTCAAAAAATGGTAACTGTATGGTGTGATATTATTTTTGAAGAAGTCTTACCATTTTGACAATTTTCAGAATATTCAGTAGCATGGTAGCGTTCAATAACAGCAACAACTTCTTTCCCATTTGCCCAAATAGTTTGAGTTATTGTTGTGTAAGGTATTTGCTCTGCAATATTGGTTGGAACAGGATCGCATTGTGTAATTGTAGTTACGGCAGCCTGAGCAAAGGAAAATAAAAATAAAGGTAAAATAGCAATCAATTTCATGTTTACTGATAAATTTTGTAATTTATTATAGTTATGTCTTATTTCTTTCTAATGTTGATATGATGTTAATATTCTAGAATATAAAATTTCAAACACTAATATCTGATTCTTTTTTATATCAATATTATTTTGTCTTTATAATTATTTTCAATTGTTCCATTTTTGCTTATAAACAACAGTAAGTACCAGCCCAAAGTTTTCAATACTTTTATTGGAACACAACAAAAAACAGCATTAAAAGATCTTGTTTCATAGAGGTAACATCATTCTTTTTCTTTCTTATCATATATTCAATATTTTTTCTATGTCTATATAATATATATTATGAAAAGAGAAGTGTATATGAAACAGAAAGAAAATGTTGCAAATCATGTAAATATCCTATTTAAGTAATTTACATGAACTTAAAACAATTAATCTTCCCTATTATTTTCGAACACTTTTTTAACCTCATAAAAAATTGTCTATCAACTAGTAAAATACTGAAAAAAAGGAGGCATTAGTAAATGTCCTCTACAGTATTATCGACACTTAAGGAAAGCATATGTGTTCTACGATGACTTATATGTATTTATTTATTGTTTTTGTAAAAGGATAGATAAATATTAATATAAAAGTGATTATATATTATTGCTAGAAAATATAATAAAAATTTTATTATTATAAGTATCTAAACTTAACGAGAAGTAGCAGTAACCTTTTGGAAAGCACCCTTAGCTTGCTGTTTGGAAATCTTACCACCTTGAGAAGCGGCTAAAGCCTTTCTAGCAGCCTTGTCAGCCTTCTTCTTTTCCTTGTCAGCCTTCTTCTTCTCTTCTCTTTGAGCCTTTCTAACTTCTGGCTTGACAGATCTTCTTTGCTTGATAATTTCTAAAGAAGCACCAACAATTGGTCTTTGAGCCTTGACTGTCTTTCTAGATCTCTTCTTGGCAACTTCTTCAGTGATACCCTTCTTGTGGTGTCTTCTGTATAAGACAGTCCAGTGAATTCTTCTTGGATTCTTTCTTTGGTGGAACAAAGAAGCAGACTTAGAATTTTGGAATCTGAAAACCTTGGAGTCACCACGGACGAATAAGGTACCTCTACCTGGGTAGATCTTAGAACCTGAAAAGGAATCGATTTCAACCTTCATTTTGTCTTAACTACAAATAAAAAAAAGAATACAGAACCTCTTGATATGTAACAATACATTGCTTAATATTGTTTGGATATATTATGTTAGTAAACCAATGTTTAATATTAATTAATTTAATCGACAAATGGACTTTGGGAAATAAAATGCAAGTGCCTAAACTCAGTAATTAGAAAAGAAAAAAATACTTTTATTTCAAACAGCAATTTAGCATATACTCTTCATTTTAATCAAATTTAAGCAAAAAATGAAAACAAATCAAAGGAAAAAAAAATACCACAAACGTTTCCAATTAAAATTACACCCTTATTTAATACATTTTATTCAAATTCCCACAATTAATCGGATTACTTCGTAAACACTTAAAACAAAATACTCAGTCCTTTTATCTCAAATATTTATCAGTTAACCTAGATTTAAAATATCACAAAAACTCACAACCCTGCGGTCCTCCATCATTCAATAAACTCATTATAACACTAAGACATACCTATCAAGTTGGTTTTCTACTTCTTGGGGAGCTATATGGATAGCGGAATATCTCACATACGCTCTTATATAGCAGTAGCAGACACGACCGTCTAATAATACACTTTTTTCAAGAGTCAATTATTGCATGAAACGCATTGAACAATGTCAACCCACGTCTTGGGCACAACAGTACATTCAACCACACAAGGACGTAATGGCTATAAACCACTTTTGGTAGTAAGGGAGGAGAGGATATGATTGTTTACAGTAGGTCTGACACCCTCTACCACATTCTGCGCACACGCACAGACACAAAGACACGCACGTAAAGTTTTCCTTACACTGATTACTTCTCCTCTACTGACTGATCGTCCAACGTTCAAAGCTCTTTCCAAGAGAAACTTCTCTGCTTCTTCCTCCCAACCCCCTCCGTCTAGCTACAATGACAAGCTTTCTCCCCCTAGTGTGAAGAAAGATCAAAAGGGGTCCCTTGGCATCTCCGTGAAACTTCTTCTTTGTGGATCAGAAAGTTTGGGTTCCGTAAGTTAAGAACCCCATGACGAAATTAACACAGCCGAAGAGGGATATCCACTGAAATGTATTTTCGAGTGTGACTTCTCTTTTTTTTTTTTTTCTTTTAAGAAAAATTACTATTACATTTTTCCTAATATAGTAATTAAAGTACTTTTTAATATAGTTTTCTGGGTGTACGGAGGCATGATTAAAAACAGTCAAAACGCAATATTTTTTTATTTTTTTTTTTTCGGTTTCTTTTTAGAAATTTTTCACATCGATAAAGTTGTATTTAAACCACTTAACAACATCGAGTAAAGTATAGCATGCTCTCATCTCCAATTTTCTACAAAACATAGGTCCCTTTGACATTACACATCTTTTAGAAGGAGATCCCCAAGTATAGACCGGAGTGTTATATATATCAATAAATTCGCAGAGATGGTCAGTATAATTTTGTTTATGAACAAATATTCATCGTGTAGTTTAAGCATGACACAGGTGCTAGTATAAATTGTATGCATCATTTTTTACACTATGACTATTTAATTTTTTTTGTTTTTAATTTAGAACATAGTTTTACTAACAAAGAGCATCGTTATGACTTGAGTAATTGTACCATTATTCGAAGCATAAATTTATTTTATGTTTTTTTCTTTTTGTTTTTTAAATAGGCCCCAATCAAGAACCAAGAAAACATCAACCAAAAGTTAGCCTTAGTTGTTAAGTCTGGTAAGTACACTTTAGGTTACAAGTCCACCATCAAGGCTTTAAGACAAGGTAAGTCCAAGTTAGTTATTATTGCTGCTAACACCCCAGTTTTAAGAAAGTCTGAATTGGAATATTACGCCATGTTATCCAAGACCAAGGTCTACTACTTCCAAGGTGGTAACAACGAATTGGGTACTGCTGTCGGTAAGTTATTCAGAGTTGGTGTTGTTACTATCCTAGACGCTGGTGACTCTGATATCTTAACTTCTTTAGCTTAAGCGTTTTGAATAAATGAGTATATAATTTTATTTACTATTTTTATATCTTCTAATATTCAATAATTGAGTCTAAGTGATTTAATACATTTTTATCGCTTTATATACTTTTAAAGAATATATACTTATTGAATCTTGTTTGTTATTGTATATATGTTAAAGTTGCAACCTGTAGGATAAATGTTTACAACTTATAATGGATTGATTTTAAATAGTGTATTAAAATATGAACATATATAAAGTCACTGATTCTAAATTACTAAACCGATTATATAATTTCTATTGTTTCTGCTTTACTGATATCCCTTAAATAAAACCTGATAGATATTATATATAATACATAAATTAATATTGCTAATTACCTTTAAAATCCTTAAACCCCTCTTATCATTTCAATATCTTTATAAAACAAACGCCTACTAAATATAAATACAATTGAAACTATATATGCATATATATATATACTATTATTGTTATTATTATACAAATTTTTACTTTTTAAATGAATATTTGAAATAAGAAAATAATTATGTCAATGAGTCCATCATATGTTATCATACATAACATATCTTTTATATTATCATTATTATTATGAAATGCGTTGAAAATTATTCTTTTGGTATGCTATCTTTGTGATCCATATCATTTCAAGGTAAGATATCTCTAATACCGAAAAATTGTTCAATATCATATGGACCTGGATTTTTCCAGTAATCGTTAGTAAAACTTAAAATAGTAACATCACTGTTAAGATCCAATATACTTTGTACTGCAATCAATTGATTAGCTTTACTTGGCACATTTTGACCATTTACATCACCATGAGATGGATAACCAGTCTCTGTAATGACCACATTAGGTGTACCACAAGACTTTTGAACAATTTCAACTTGACCCTTAACGAATTCACCAGATCCTGCAGCATCACAATAGACATCAAAATATGAATGTGGATTAATACCAACAAAATCAATCTCTGACTCCGTACATAATTCAGGATGTCTTTCAAATGTAACAGGAGGTTCACTAGTTGTGATTTGACCCATGTAACCAGCTGCTCTTAGTTGACTCTTTACACTTTTGATCTTATTGATCAAATCGCTCACAGTACAGAAGCCAGAGTTAATAGCTTCATTACCAACAGTAATATAGTCAAAAATATCCCAACCATTAGTTTGGCCGTATGCTATCAATTGTTGCAATGGTTCATCGATAGAATCTACACCTGCATCACTGATCCAAAGACCTTGGTTGATTGTTATACCTAGTTTAGCACATGCAGACTCCACAGTTTCAAGTGAGTTACAATCAGTACCATAGATACGAACTCTATTCACACCTTTATTCTTAATTATCTGAAGATCACTGTAAACATCATTAGCACTTCTACAAGAACCATCATTATTGTATGGAGAATAAGTCAAAGCATATGGAATAGAAGTTAGCATAGATCTAGATGGGGAAGATGCCGTTTCAGTGGTCATTTCAACACTGGTGACAACCGTAGAAGTAGTTTCCTGTGACGTATCTGAATCAGTCGAATCAGCATTATTGTTGTTAGTCACAGCATCTGTCGTTGTTGCAATAGAAGTAAAAGCAGGTAATAATGTATATTGTTGATTATTGTTAGATGTAATATGTGTGGAAAATTGAGTTTCACCGTTACCTTGTTGGGTTGTAGTAGATACAATCACTTGAATACCACTAGATTCTATAGTTTCATGAAGATGAATAGTAACCTCAGGTGATTTAGAATTATTATTTTCGAAGGAAGAAGAGGCTTCCGAAGGAGTATTAGAGGGAGTTAAAGTCAAAGTAACTCTGAAAGATGGGACTTGAGTGGATAAACTTTCATCAGTGCTTGTACTAACCTGAGCAACATCTTGGGAGACTGTTGTTTCTGTACTAAGGGAGGAAGGGTTTAAAGTCGAAGTTACAAAACCACCTATTTCTTTTCCTAAATCTTTACGGTTTAAAATAATGGTAGTTGTTGGAGTAGCAGTTGAGTCAACATCACTTGGAATAGCAGTGCTGGTTGAGGTTGTATCACCATCAACAATATAATAAACAGTTGGGGCAATCACAACTTTTGTTGTAGTAGAGTAAAAATCAGTGACTGTATTTGTTGTACTAGCTGTATATATTCGAGTAACTATTTCCCTCTTTTTAAAAAGTGGAAAAGCATTAGAAAAAGTGCCTAATACTGTCACAAAAAGCAGTATATGTACGTAATTTATTAATTGCATTTTATTATATTATAATATATCAAAAGACCAAAAATTTGTATGAAATAAAAATATGTATTATCCAAACAGATGTTATGTGAATAACAAACACTTGAAGTTAATTCAATAATAAAACAAAACACGAATGAAAGCTGAATCTAACTTAAGGAATAAATCGCTGGTGGAGCTTTTTTTTTTCTTTGGATATATTTGTGTTATCCTATAATCTTACAACTAAACGGCTAGGAATGAAAATGGAGTACCTCCAAGAGCCATTAGGAAATTATGGTTAGTGTCATTCTTATATATTTGAAAAACTTGTGAATCTTACTTCAACCCCTGTACAGTTATGCTTGCTAAAAAAAACATTATATCCATTACACCTAATGATCATAAGCATTATACCAGGATTTAATAAACATTAGTCCCGTATCTTTCGTTGTGTAAACATGGTTAATTTGTGAACAGGTTAGGAGGGCCTTCACCACAAGGTGAAAAAACAATACCTATAAACTAAAAGCACAAAGCTCATACACAATCCAGCATTTGAAAAGTGAAAGCAAAAGCAAAGTTTTAATGTTTGCTAAACAGATATTGACTAGCTCATCTTTACTAATTTTCATCACATAGCTCATCGCTAATGTAAACAAAACTTTTATACACAGTTTTCTCTAGTTTAAAGATTTTGTCCTCATCATCGACCGGCTGGCTAAATGCTGGTCTTCTCCATTTCCCTTTCGGACAACGAAGCTTGACATCCAAACACACAGAAAAAAAAACAATTGAGGCGCCAAAAAAAAAATAAAAAACCAAAGGAAATCCCTCGCCAAATAACACGGATCTTCAAACAAATAAATAAATAAACAAACAAACAAACAAACAAATAAACAAACAGAAAAACGGAAATCTATAACGATTATGCCAAGAATATGTTATTTTCATTACCCATTTCAAAGATGAATAACAAGAAAAAACTTGAATCATGATCTTGGGGATAAGAACAGTTATGCAATCGCGAGAAACTAAAAAATACTACAATAGAACAATTTTATTTGGTAAATAATAGCCTAAAAATATAGAAAGTATAATGTTATGGTATATCGAAAGCATGATTCTTGGCTACATACTTGCATAGTTATAAATGAAATATCACTAAAATCCAAGGATGTTTACTATTAAACTGGTCCACCCAGTGAATTGTTTAGCACCAGCTCCTGCCCCATCAAGCGGACTATAATTTTCAAAAACAAATCCAGTATTCCTCCAAACTTTATAGACATTATCTATGAGATTATGCCTTAAATCTGTAAATAATTGTTTAGCAAGTGCAAAGGTGCTGTCCATTTCCGAGGTCTTTGAAGAAATTCCTGGGAAATAATGATTGATGGCATCTAAACATAGATAATTGATATTCAGCCAGATTTTACCACGCCAATAATTCTCATCTGTACCAAAATACTCATCACTCTTAGATAATGATAATAAACCATATGGAGAAAACAATTTATCCTTATCTGCCATCAATCTCACCACTTTATCTAAATGGGATGAGTCACGAGGAATCATCTTAAGGCCAAATGGTAATAGTGAAACATAACCTTCATGACATATATGAACTATTTCTTCTTCATCTGCCTCTTCATTTTCTTGTATAGAAATATCACAGTAACAACCATAATCTTCACTCCAATGTAGATTTTCTAAATTTTCCATGACATTCTGCTCTATCCTAGCGAAAGCCATTTCATCTTTTTTCTTGTTTAAAACTTTAGCAATTAATTTCATAGATCTTGCCATGACTCCAACCCAAGTAAGTGTATCAACATTCAATTCAGCAATGTCTGGTGGTTGCGCTCTTGGATAATCATCTAACCCACTTGGTAGACAATGTTTAACGGTACGACCAACCCATTTATAAAAGTCATCCTTATGTAATTTATCCCACACCGGGTCTTCTTCTAATAACTCACAATATTCCTCAATTAATCCCCTTTGTGTCCTCCTAAACCATTCGAAATGTTTTTTCAACTTGGGGTAAATATCTGATACATACTTAGTAATCAAATCCAATGAATACTTCAATTGTTCTCTATCTCTATTCACCAAAAAACGATCTATATCCTTATTTATATTTGAATTCAATCCATCTTGATTAGCAAGGACTTTTGATATCATTTCACTTAGTGCTAATAATAAAGTCGGTGGATTTGCAATGTGTGGGCTTTGCACCTGAAACTCAGCAGGCACTCTACTTCTAGCCTCTAGGCCTAGGATAACCTCTCTTGCAATCCAACCATCCTCATCAATCATATTAATCCAACTAATTATTATTTCAAATGCCAAGTCAAAATCATATTCCATAATTTGTAACAAATGAAAACCTTCATCCCAATAAAATCCACGGGGAAAAAATGCACGGCTTGGAACACTAGTAAATAAATCAAAAGGTCCTTCTTCTTGTCCATTAACTAATTTAATCTGATCAAATTGATCTTCATTAAATTTGGTTGTTCTATCAATGAGTTGGTTACCGTGAAAATATCCAATACCACCTAAAAGATTTGATAATATTTCTAAGGCAAACGACCTCTTTTCTTCTCCTTCACTCTCTCCAATTGCAAACTGTTGATCAAATTTAGCATTAATATCATCAATAGCAACATTAATCAATCTAGTTACATCTTTTCTATTTAAAATATTTTCTTTCTTATCCTTCATATTGTTGTATACTATATCAAATTGAAAACTATTATTAAAATCACAGGCAAAAGTTTTTTGTATAAAATGGAAATTCCCAGGTGGGAAATTGTAGATATTTCTTAAAGTTAACATACTTGGTGCATATGCTGTATCTATATTTTCACCTTTTATTTCAATGATATTCTTGATAGAGTCAGACAACAGTGTTTGAAAGATATCCTTTGCTTTCCATACTTCTGCATCAGGGACTGTCAGTGAAACATGACTTGTTTTAGTGCAGTCAGATCCGGGCAAGATTTCCATATTTGAGAGACTATTATTTCTAAAATAATTACCATAATTATCTCTAAAAGTAACTGAATATTTGCTTAATTCAGAAGAATATCCTTCAAATACCAAATTTTTATCCTTTGAAACATCAATCAATTTTAAATATGGTTTAGCAGATCCTGTGTTACCACTACCAACATTCTGATTCATATATGTAATAATAGAAATAGCACTATTCTTTTCAGGATCAAGTGACTGCCCAGAGATTCTTGTTACCCAGTTCTTTCCATCGTGACTTTTTACAAAGTTAACCGTCAAATTTACATTATTTTCGTAATCAATAATGGATTCAGTCCCACCAATTCTTGGATCATAGACTATCCAGCTAAACTTTTCTAACTTATCATTCATATCAACCTGGTGTCTTAAATTAGGCATTGCATCTACTCTATTTATATCAAACCACATAAGACCCATAATAAAAGGAGTATCGTTTATATAACGAGGTCTGATACCAAAATAGCATTGTGAACGATATGGTGCCCACAGTAAGGATTCACTGGCAAGATCCACCAATGTACTATTCAAATTCGATCTAACAATAGATACCAGTAAAATTAAAGTGCCTACTATATAAGGGATTGATTTAAGCATGATGCTTTGGTTCAGTGAAACAGACCTATTTTATGTAAAAGTGAAAAGAAGAAAATATTTGTATATCCAAAACTAAAAGGTAATGACTTTTATGTCTTTTTCTTTTTTATTTTCAGAATAAAAAAAATAGTATTAAGTAACTCTGTTAGGAGTTTGTACAGACATCTATTTATAATGTTTCAACTTACAGGCCTTTTTTTAAAATAGATCATTTCAGAGTCATTTGATAATTTTTCAAAAAGATATCTTTTTCTTGCTTTTGTTTCCACTGTTGCATCTAAAGGCACATGTTGAAGCCAAGTTTGCTTAAAAACATCAAAAGATAATTGATTGTAACTCCTCTGGCACATATCTAAACACCTAAACTGAACCTTTTGCACAATTTTTGTTTTATTCAAAAAATCCATGATTAACTTATTACTATTATAGAATTTTAATAATTGGAACCACATATTAGGTGGCTCTATATCTTGAGAAAAGATAAGGACCATCCGTAAAAGATATTGATATTGTTGTTTTGACAAAAGCGTTTTACACTGTTTTAAAATATCGATCGACTTGAAGAGATTCAATTCCCAATGTGAAAGATATAAAATATACAATTCCACAAATCCCATAGTATAAGCCAATTCAGGCATATTATTGATTAAAAAAGGGAATACAATGCCACCTATTTGAACATATTTCTGTTCTTCAAGAAAAATTTCATAAGTTAATTGATAACAAGATTTAACTAAATCAATAAAAGCTGAATTATTCTTTTGTGATTCAAATACAGAAATAATAATTTCTCGAAGTTTCCTTAATCCATGCTCTTTAACTTCAATATTATCAGTATGAACAATGTCATAGAACAATCTTTCTCTTTCTCTTTGGTTTGCGATCAACCCATTTAAACCAGAATTTACTTGGGATCTACTTAATAAAGATGTATCCAGAAGATAGTTTCCTTTAATCCTGTGGATTGATTCTTGAGAAAACTTCTTTGTTCTATTTTCCATTCCAATGATGTTTAATATGTTCTTTTGGTCCTCTTTCTCGGTACTAAGATAAATTATAGAAATGTAATAGATTTAACCATATTCTCTGTTGTATGTTCGTTTTTAAAAGATGAAACATAATTATTTCGATGTATTATATTGAGATATATCCTGATTTAAGAAGATTCACTTTTTTTTATTTTTTTTTATTTTTTTATATGAATGTTATTAAAACATTATTGAAGAAAAACAAGAAAACAAAACATTACAGTAATTAGCAATACTCAAAAAACTTAGTACGTCTTAGTTGAGTATCTGTTCTCTTTTGCTTTTGGGTGAAGGTCAAATAAGAAAACGATCCTGGTTTGAAACAACAGAGGCCAAAATTTAATGTATTTCTTCAAAACCAATATCATCTAGGATATTCTTTAATTCTTGAGGTTTTTTATTTTGTAACAATAAGTTCAAAATATTCTTTATAATTTGTTTTCTAGTTTTCATCTCTTTTGTTAATATTTTTTCACTTTTTTCTATGTACGCTAATAAATCTTTGTTTGTTTGTGGGACATTACTACTGTTTCCGCTGTTATATTCACTACTTATATTTTTAGAGTCCCTATAAATATTATCTTCTTGATTTTTTAATTCTTCTATAGCCTCACACACCTGAACCAATTTTCCTTCTAAAGTTTTAATTAAAGTAGGGAGTTCTTTATTTGAAGGATTCTTCTTTTCATTATTTATACAATCATTTAATTGTTTGAGATCTCTGTTCATTTCAGTTTGTTCTTCTTTTAATTGTAAAATCTGTTCCAATAAAAGTAAAGGATTACTACTAGGCTGATTTCCAGCAATTTCTTCATCTCTTTGTTTTATTGATATTTCTTTAACAATATCTTTGGAAGCAAATATTGAGGTTTTACCAAATGTTACAATTATAATTTTTTCCTTTTTATGTAAATCTTCCAAAATTTTTAATAGAGGTGTCTTTTTAAATTTATTATTTAAATTTAATACCATATCATTGATAGAAAAGGGTTTCTGCTGTGAAATCAAGTATTTTTCAACAACATCTTCATCATTTTGAATTTTATTTGATATGCTATCAATACCTTTCGTTTTTTTATTTTGAGACTTATTTGGACCTGCCATTTTTAAATAAATATATATATATAAATATACAAACGTATACGTCAGTCTATGTATAAAAGATTATAAAGAAAGATCTTTTTCCAGTGTTATATCCTAGATTTTAAACAAAGGAGGAAAAATAAACACACACACACACAAATACACAGACATATACATACATACATATATATATTCTGCACAAAGAAATATTCTAAAATATTGAATAAGTGGGCGGCTAATTTTAATATATACAAAAATTTACACTCGTTCAAACAAAAACAAAAACAAAAACAGAAACAAAAAATAGATTACCAGAAGAAAAAGAAAGTGACCCAAACAACTTTTCTCCGTTTGAATGATCAATATACTTTAATAGATTATTTAAAGATATATAAAGGGTACTATTTTAGAGTATAAAAAGACCCCCTTTGTAATATAAAGACAATACAATCTGCACCTTTAGTAGAATCTATTAAAGAAAAGAAAATTTTACGAAAATGGATTTATTTTGATAGGTTACAAACAACTCGTAAGAAATCTAACTAATATCTGGTAAATATGCAATCCTGCAGGTAATATCTGACTATCAATGGAGAATGATTGGGACAACCACTTATACAAATAGTTTGGATAAGGCATTAAATCTAATTAAGTGATTCATGCCAGGAAATGATAATCACGTCAGATGTTGTGCAAGAACTCTTTGACGATTGAGGGTCATGCTAGAGACAATTTTCTTGCTTCAACACATGTTAGCTCTGTTATTAAAAGGTAATCCTAACCACTATTACAAAATCAGCAACTGGAACGATGTTTGACAAATTAATAATAACACATCAAGATCATTATCTAATTTTATATAGATCATGAGTAAAAATATTTTTATTTATACCAATTGATATAACTTAGTCATTTAACTATAACAACTCATGCACAACTCAAGCAATCATCCACTGTTACTTCTCCGCTGCAGTTTATTTACCTCCTAGAGGAAAAAGAAAAAGTTTTTATTGCAGACGCCCATTTCTATCACCTTCTTTCCCTCATTGTCGAATGCATAGGGATTCAGTTAAATAATACTCACTCGACAGCTGACAATCATATGATACCTCGTCTATGTACCTATGTCTATATATACATATATTTCCTATCATACAAATCTCAATGGGTTTCAATTAATTAATAAGAACCGAACAAGAAGTATTCTGATTACGTAACCAGACTGTGAGTCGAGACCTCATTTACTGAAAAAGGAAAAAACAAAAAAGAAAAAATTTCTTTATTTGACTTCTTTTGTTCTTTGAAATCAGCAATATAATTTTTTTCTTTCTTTAAAGGAAAGTGGGGTAAAATAGAAAAAAAGGAAAGTTTCAGAAAAACAAATTTCCCCTAAAAAATGTACCTCAATTCTCATATTTGGATATGCTCGTTTTTTTCTTTTTTTTCTTTTTTTCGATTTTTGATTATTTCAACAATATGACCTACCTTAATGATTGAAAAACCTGAAAAAATTAAGAATGTTACCATTTTGGAAACATAATTAACCCTACTTAATCTATCACTGCTACTGAACGTGCCAAACAACTTCTTATAAAACCATATTATAAACACTTTCATAAAAAGTATCTTCTTTTTATAAAAACATACAAAAGATATATTAAGAATGGTTTTACTTAAAAACACACATCCAAACAAACAAACACTTTGTACATTTCTTATAGCCTTGTTCATATATAATTAGTTTTGTCAAAAGTTAAAATTTTTGTAGTTTCCCAAAAGTATTCAAGAAAGGTTCAATCCTTCTTTTTCTAGTATAATTTAACAATAACAAACCTATTAATTCATCTTTTTTTTATTTTTTTTTTTTTTGTAACCCTCATATATATATATATATATACATATATTATAATTCAATAATTATCTTCTTGAAATAAAGAATTACAATTATCCACTATTAGATATTTCCACATACACCTGCGTGACATAAGTTAACCCTAAAAATACGTTTTTAGAACAAGTAAAGCAGTCACTCCATACCCTAACTGAAAAACATTTCTTGACAGAAAAAAGTCCGTATTTAACGATCTTTCAAACAATTTTTAGGAGAGGGCGCAATTTCTGCATAAAACACAAAAAAATATGTTATTGCAAGGGAAAAAGAAACTTCACCTAACTTTTTTTCCTCCTTTACAAATTACGTCTTTTTTTTTTATTTTTATTTTTTTCTATCAAGATTAATATGCTAAGATGTTAACAATTCATCAATAAAAGGCAAGCAGATATATCAAAAATTACGTAGAATAATAACATTAATCCATTGCGCTGCTTTAGAGTCAAACAAAAGACGCTAATATTTCCAATCTATTGTGACTTCACTTGAAGTCCTCATCGTATTTGAAGTGCATAAGTAAACAAATAAAATTTTACATTTGTAAAGATATATACAAAGTTGTGTGCTTTTCTGTATTATTAATTGTTATTACTCTATTTTCCCACATTTTATTAAAACAAAAAAAAACTTATATATACATATATACATACACATATAAACCAATATTGAATGACTACGTCTAGCGTTTCAACTGAGTCCAACATTCGTACATATTCAATAAATTCTAGTATTTCTAACAACAACTCGACGTCAAACGAGTCTAAGACTTCCAAAAAGAAAAAAAATGGAGATGATGCACCAAGACCCCATGTCTGTCCTATTTGTAGTAGAGCATTTCATAGATTGGAACATCAAACGAGACATATGAGAACACATACAGGAGAAAAACCACATGCTTGTGATTTCCCAAATTGTTCAAAAAAATTTAGTAGATCTGATGAACTGACAAGACATAAACGAATCCATACTAATCCAACGCCAAAACGGAAAAGGGGTAGAAAGAAGAAAAGTGAACAAGCTAACAATGGAACAAGTAGTATAGTTACAAATGAGTCTACTACAAAACTAGGGTCGACTTTTCATATTGGTGATGATGAATTATCAACAACTTTAACTGCCTCGCCAAAATTCTCTGATACTACAAGATCAGTTTCACAAACATCTTTCGATAATGCGATGCAACCAATAGCCAACTTTTATAATCAACCACCACCAGCACCACCAGCACCACAGCAGCAACAACAACAACCACATTATAAACCAAATGTCACCCAACAACATCCAATATTATCGAGAAACAATAGTAGACTGAGATTGAATGCATTGTCATCTTTACAAATGATGACACCTTTGTATAATTCAAAGGAGAACCAGCCTTCCATTACAAATAGGTCCAGTACTATATTAAGACCAATATATATGGATGTGCCTGATCATTTTCCAACACGAAACCAGCCTTCATATGGATTTCCACAACGACATGAAATAATACCAAGACCTAAATCATTAACAGATATAACACAGTACAGCACTGCAAATAATTCAATGACAATAATTAACAGTTATTCTACAGATACTTTAAAAAGACCTAGTTCCTCATTAAGTTTGAAAGATCTTATCTCTAAAGAGACAGATGTTATCAAGAATCATAGCAGCAATTTCTCATACGGAGACAATTCTGATTCAGATTTAGAAAATGAATTAAAAGAAGAAGACGATTATTTACAAGAATCATCCCGTAAGAAATCTAGACCTTCTACACCAAGTCTGAGTAGATCAACAAGTAGTACAAACCTTTACAATCTCTCTGCATTGACTACTTCTTCTTCAGCAATTTTCCAGGAAGAAATAGATCGTAAGTTACAAGGATTACAAGAACAACGACAACAATCAAGTTTACTACTACAACAATCTCAACCTCAACCTCAGCATCAGCCTCAAACCCGGTCTAAAAATTTATTACCACCTATAAGAAGTCTTCCACTCCAATTTCCAACTGGTTAGGGTGTTGTTAAGAGTGCTTTTTTTTTGTCCTTCAAATATTCCTTAATATGCATCATACATGTTGTTATGAAAACAATATGTAAAATTAGTTCTAATAGATTAATTCCAATATATATTCTATAGACTTTTAAAGACCTTTTTTTCTTTTTATTTTTTCAATATAATAATGTTCATCAATCGCATGAGTATTTTTTTTTTCTGGTTATTGCTATTTTTAAAGATTAAAAAGAAAAGAGGTTAAATCCTAATTTATCTGGTGATATTTTAATCACTTTACGAAAAGAGAAAAGGAAAGAATTCGAGATTATTAGAGCCACATTCGTGACGTTTCAAGAATAAAACTTTATCATTTAATATACGTTCCCATCCAATCAATCTAGCTCTAGCTATTCTAGCTGGCCCAAATGATACTTGCATTGGTATGCCTTCTATAGAAAAGGGACACTTCATAAAATCTATATTTGTTTCGATAAAACCGCATTACTCTTTTAGGGTTGATTATACGTGTTACTATTTCTGTCTAAATGAGAGTAATTATCAATTATTAGTTAGTTCTTGTTAGTTAAACTTGTATCACACAGTGTGTTATATTGTCTCGTTTCTTTTTTTTTTCTGTTTTTTTTTTTTTATTTTTTTCTATTGTTCTATTTTTAAAAGTTCCAAAATGATCTTACTGTTTCTTTAACGTTCTATGAAACGTCACCAACATTTTATAGTATTTTTTTGTTGGTTTGGTTCTATCTTGTAACATGAGATAGAACAATAGCAATTTATGAGATTCGCAAAAGGTGGAGGGGCTTCCAATAAGTGATCGAGGTGTCCTTTTAGACACATGTACGGGTTATTTTTATTATTGCTTTTCAATTTCTATTGTGGTAGGTTCGTTATTCGTTTACACAAAACAACAAGCAGATCTGTGTTACTATGGCAATAACACCCCATTAAATTAGAAGTAGTGGATATAATAGTAATTAATAATAGATTGAAATAGATTTTTATAGAATCGAGGTAGAATCATCTCGAAACAGTCTCTTTCCTTCTGGTTATTTCTATTATTTTTAATAGCAATTATTAAGTACCAGTAACCGTAGCTAGTTGTAAATATAGAAGTAGGGTTTGATCTAAGGGATATTTTACGCCAATCTGGGGGATGAGGTCATATATATATATATATATATATAATTATACATACAATTCAGCTATGATTCTATTTGGCATTGTATTAACTCTATAACTTTCTTTTACTTATATTAAATAAGAAAGCCGGTATACAATTTCCAGCTACTCTAGAATTGTATAAAGGCAATTAGTTATTTACATAAATCAACAATCATAAAAACTCTTATTTTTACTCAATTGGATCTTAAACAAAAAAAAATGGCACCATTCAATAATTATTGTATTATCTGTGATAAACAAATCATACCAAACTCAAATTATGAATTTAATAAGCTGTATTGTTCAGAATCATGCCAATCCATAGACAGATCATTCCTAAAGTCTAATGTAAAGAATGGTAGCAGAAGAAAAATATCTAGTGTAACAAGTGTAAATGATATTATTATCACTACGCCTTTATTATTACCAATCTGGCAAGAACAAAATTTGTCCCACGATACTATTTCAACAAGCCAACCAGATCAATCTTGCTTAATTGCAACAAATAATCGTAACAATAATGTATTTTATAATAATGACTTCATGATACCCAATACTAATGACTGCATAGCAGAAAATAATTACAAAATATGGTTGAACAATATTTAATTAAGTATATCTCTAGCACTTGCCTTCCTTTCAAAAAAATAATTCACAAACATATTCAACTTCACAACAGCAAGAAAAAAAATAAAAAAACATTAAGTTAAAATAAAACACAAAATTCTAAATATGCATTATTAATCTTTATTATCTGAAGATAAAAACTTTTAAAAAACACTATATTCATAATATCCACCTTCTAAAAATTATTTACTTACTCTGCATTACATCAGTTTATTATTTTTATTTTTTTATAAAAATATATATAGATGACTTTTTGATAAACCGAATCAATAAATATAGCATTTCATTCTATTTCAAACCTACCTTATCTTTTCACTCTCAGAAAAAAAATAACTACCATTATAATAAAACAACTTATGTTCAGCTATCATCTAATTTTTCTATACAGATTCATTTGATATAGGACAATTTTGTAGTGTTCATATTAATTTTAATATCTAAATCATCAGTATCATTCTCTATTCTATCAAGACGTTTTTGTTGTGCATCAATTTCTTCACCAACAGATACAGCCAATTTTTTTAATCTTCCACTTAGTTGCTGAATTTGAGTCAAATTTCTATCAATTTCAATTTCCATTTCATCATCCTCCTCATCATTTTCAAATTGATATTTCTTAGCTGCTTCAAGTACTTTTTGTCTTTGATATTTTTCACGGATACCATTATCACTATGCGCATTTGCGTTCAATGCATTCTCAATACGTTGTGTAGATTCCCCCAATTCTCTATTAGTATACTCCATCATCATTTTTTCTTCAATTTTCCTATTTTTTAATCTTTCTTCTCTTTCACGCTGCCTTCTTTTCGAATTGAATGGGTTGGATACGTGAACAGCAAGAATATTACGATTCAATTTTTTTAACTCAGCCACCTTGTCATCTGCTACTCTATTTTGAATCTTAATTAAATCAAGGTTTCTTTCCACATTATTCAATTTTTCACTTTGATGACCAAGCATACCCAACGTATTCATACCTGCCATCTCAGCTTCTTGTGCCATCTTTAAAGTTTTTCTTGTCGATGCTACTGAACTTTGTTTCGTAAACCGGATTTGTTGTTTTAATTCATCCACAGCTTCATCTTCTTCCTTCTGTTGTCTCTCTTCTTCTTCACGTTGGACTTCTTCGAATGTTTTGAATCCTCTACTCTCTAACCTTGGGGATTCGTAATACCCACCATATTCAGTCTGTTTGGAAGTCTCTAAAGCAGCATTATATGGCACTTGTTCCAATGTTTGCTGTTGTTGTTCACGTTGCATCCTTTCCGTTAAATCTGCATTTAAATCGTCTCCACACTCATCTTCATCGACTTGTTGTAAAGGTTTATTAAAATCAAGATCATTATCTTTTTGAACAGAATTTGAAAATACTTCTGATTTCTGATTAGGTAGTTTATCGTACGTTGTTGTTGGCAAATTATATCCAGTACTTGTTGTATTATTAAGTGCTGATGTTTTATCTAATTCATACGGATTGCTCTTATATATGTTACTAGTACTTTTAGAATTATTAATACTATTATTATTAATACCCAAAGCATATAAATCATTGTTTATGGTCCCATATGGATTACTGGAGTTTTTACCACTTGTATAACTACCATATGGCATATCACTCATATTACTATAAGGATTATTTATATGACTTGGAGATGTTTGTTTAATTGTATTAGAATTTATTGGAACACTGCCTCCTATTGTACGAGAAGAGACATTAATCCTACCACTATATGGGGCAGCAACAGCTAGTGAACCTTTAGAATTTTCCTTAATCCCATCTTGATTGGAGGTAACTGATTCAGAGGTCTCCCTCCGAGTATTAATGCCAATGTTATTGTATATGTTACTATTATCCTTTGTATTCTGTATACCATACGGATTTCTCAAAGAATCACTGGAAGTTGTATTATTAAAACTAGAACCTCTAGATAATCCATTGTTCATATTATCATAATCATTAATTTTAGTTGCGTAACTATCATTTCTACTACTTTCATAAGAACGTTCTCGAACATTTTTGTTTAACTGTGAATAAGGATCTGTTATATTATTGTTTGAAACGTTAGAATCTCTATTTTCATTATTACGTTTATAGTTTAATGCAGAGTATGGGTCAGTTATAGGAACGCTAGACCCTCTACTATTGCTATTTGAATAGCTGTAACTAGTGCTTAGGTTGTCGTTGTTAAGGATGGAATAGGGTGCTGCATTTAAATCCGTATTGACTGCATATGGATCGTATTGATCCTTAGATACCTCCTCCTTTTCTTCGTTAGGTTTAGATGATTTTTTCCTCCCAAATATACTTCTCTTTTTCTGTTGGTCCTTCTTGGTAGAATCAGCAGATTGTCCATGGGTTGTGTTACTAACATCAGTATCGCCATTATCATTGCTTTCTGATTCTTCTTCTTTAGATCCAAATTGCAGGGGTCTGGCATATGCCTCATAACCTGGTGGAGCGTATATTTTATCACTAGCTCTTTCTCTAGCAAACTGACCATAAGCCGCAAATTTCTCTCTTTTAACTGCTTTAGAATTCTTAACAGTAATTCCTTCAAGACTCAAATTCTCTCTGTTCTGTTCCACTGTATCTTCTGGAGGTGGTTTGATCTTAAAAAATTTTTTGATCCCCATCTCTTTTACAATTTATTTATAATGATACCTTTTCTAAGTTGAATAGTATTATCAATGTATAATGAAAATAAAATCTAAATAATAGTTATATAAATTAGGACGATTATATTTAAATCAGCTTTGTTAAATTAATATCTTATCTAGACAGTTTGTTTGTCAAATTTTTACCTTCACAATTTTGTGTGTATATATCTTTTTCAATCTTTCCCTGATATGAACAAGGGTTCTATCAATCACATAATTCCACTTAACTTCTGTTCTTCTATTTCGATTTTTTATTCTTCACAAATTTTGTTTTATAAAAACAGTGCCAACTTTTTTTCTGTGCACACAAAAGGGACAAAAGGACTTTAAAAGCTTTTCCTTTCAGAAATTTATAAAAAAGACGTAATAATCTAAGATAGAAACAATACCAGCTGAAGTGCAACATGAGTCGGTATTAGGCTGCTATATACTATTACAAATAGTAAAATTAGCATATATAATGTCTACCTTGTTGAAATAATGTACAGTATGTATTTTATGATATTATATGTATCATCACGAATAATATATATATAGATATACTAATAGAAGAATGATAAAAGAATGTAATTTCATGCTAAAGTGAATAATTTTGGTGTATAACCATCGATATACGATGGGGGAGATATCAATTCGTTTCTTTTCTTTCTTGATTTTTTTGACTTAAATTTTACATACCACGGAAGGTATTTTTACTAGCACTTCTTCTTCCTGTATATCTTTGTTTAGTTCTACCATTATCCTTCTTGGATTCATCATCTGAACTATCTATATCAGAGTGTTTCTTGACTTTCTGTTTTCTTTCCCTCTTCTTTGGAATAAATGTAAGTTCAGCTTCCCCACGATGATTACGATGTAACACAGAGGTATCATTCTTCTTAGCAAGCTTTTCTTTATTGAGCTTTGTAACTTGATCCCCAAATGTAACCTTCTTCTCTATACCCTCATTAACTTTACTGTTAAAAACAGAATTAGAGACACTTAATTGAGTCATAAATTTCTCTGAGGCTTCCTTCTCTCTTTTTCTACGTTCTAATGCTGCAGTTTGTTTCTGTATTTTTCTCTTTGTTTGTTCATCTAATTCATCACTTTCATTTTCTTCGTCTCCCTCATCTTCTTCATCACTTTCATCTTCAGAATCCTCATCTCTTCCTTCTTTTATAGCAATTCTTTCCTCATCAGATTCTTCAGCAGCAGTCAATGCTCTAATGCGTTTAGCTGCACCTTCATCAGTCTCCTTTGAAGATTTAACTGGATTCAACTGTTTGTAATCATAAGATTCTTCGTCAACTTGGAAATCTTCATCCTCAAACATTTCTTTGAAACGGTCATCTTCAATAACCTTACTAGCCACAGAGTCTCCACGTTTTTGCGATAATTTTTCAACAAGATTCTTATTGACTTTAATCTTTGGTTTCTGTACTGCACCTGAAGTTCTAATTCTAGATTCTCTTTCCTTTTCAATTCTACGCCGAATTTCTCTCTCTCTTTCATCTTTGAATGCATTTGGATTAGAGATCAAAGCAACCTTATCATATAATTCCGTATTTATGAAATAACCATGCATATATGCTCTAAGAACTTTAGAGCCAACAAGATGTCTAATATTTAATTTATTAACATCATCTTTAGTGATAAATCTGTAATTGGAATAGACAGAATCACTTGGTTTCTCCTCTAATTCTTCAGTAATGGAATCTAAGAAGGAACACCATTTTGGGGATGGGCCCAGATGTGGGATATAATATGTATGCATTGGGATACCTTCATTTGCGGTGAAAAACATACCTGTACCTGGAATATGTTCGATATCATTAATATCAACACTTGGTTCCATAGATGCATAGGCTGTACCATCCAATCTATCCCAAATTTTGGCAATTCTTTTATCACAGGTAAGTATTTTATTCTCTACACCTACATTATCTAACCAAATAATCTTTTTTATATCAAATCCATAACCTTGATCCTTGGTTTTCAATGGTTCAGATGTACGCAAATCATAAAGATATGTGTAACCATTAGATGTACCACATGCAAAATTCAAACCATCCTGACGGAAACTAGATGTAGTTACTTGAAATGGACTATTATCGAATGGATTTTCTAAAAATAATTTAGCTACTTTGGAACGGGCTCTTGGATCCCAAAATTCCACAATATTCTTCTCCATAGACACTGAGACCAACCCGTTGATATCATTACATGTAACGTGATTTACACCTTCTGAGTCTAACTTAAAAGGATTCAAAAATCTACCTTGGTCCAAATTTAATCTATAAAGTTCGTTACTACTGGCACCTACATAGATGTCACAATTAACTTTATTATAACTAATGCTTCTACCAAACTTGGGGATACGCGTGGTATAGTGAAGACCACCTTTATTCTGAAATTGAATGGATCTATCATTTTGCAAATGTACACTCTTGGTCCAATCATCAGATAAAAATAAGAAATCCACATTTTCTGCATCGGTATGTCTATCAAATTTTAGTGACAAATTTTCAAAATCATACAGATGGATTTGAGGTTTGTAAGTACCTGTGGCCATAACATACTGTTGGTCTGGAGTTACTTTAATCTTGTTCGAAGCTTCACTAAATTCAAAATCTTGAATTAATTCAACTCTATTTTGATATTCTAGATCATTTTTCAAAGATCTTTTACGTTTTTTAGCAATCCAATCTGGTAAGGAACGAGATACGTTTGTACCAGAAACTTGATACACGGATATATCACTAGCAGATGTAGATTTTAATACCATGTTATGCACTTGTTCGGTTGATGTATTAATAGTTTAAGATATTTGCATACGAGTGTTGCAAATACTATATTATATGTATTATATTATCAGATGACAAAAGTCATCTCATCTCATCTCTTGGATTTTGTTTACAAAATTTTTTTTATTATTTTTTTTTTAATTTTTTTTATAGCGTCAAAAAATCCCCCTCCCCATAATATTCACAAAGAAAATTATTTTTTCTTTCTGCACGTAAAACAGTTTTCTTCAATTGTACTATCAGTAAATTAATCATGGATCGTTAGATTCCGTCACCTATTTAAGTGAAAAGAAAGTTTGTGAACGTGTAAACATCCTACTAATTATAATAAATAATGTATTTAATATTTAGTAGATGTAAAACATTTATATTTGTGGATTTAAGATATAATAATAGCTTTTTTTGTCTATTTAAATTTCCCTCCATGATATACTTAATGTGAAACCAAAGTAAGATTTCTATCTTGTTTGCTGGCATGATAAGATTTGCATATTAAGTAAGAAGGCTCCTCTTTCGTCTTCTTACAGAGGTTATGTTGAAAACAATATACGTATAGAAAACTGTTTAATAAAGTAAATCAAAAAAAGTAAAAAGGAAATATAATTAATTGTACTTGAAAGAACATTTATTTTCTTTATATGTAAGTATGTGTGCTATGCCTGTAATTTTGTCACTATATATGATACACACAAGTCTAATGATTAGGATTATGTAAAGGAAAGAGCAATTAATAAGTAAGCAAAAAACAAAAAAAAATATGTTAAGATAATTGTATATTTTCAATGCAAAAGAAGGATTTCAAATTATCTATATTGGGAAATCAAAAGTTAAATATTCTCAAACTGATCTATATGGATGGATTGTGCTCTGCTATTGTTTTGCATTCGATGGTGTCCGCCAAGAATATAGTCTTTGCCTGTATTAACAATCTTATTTTGTGGTGTATTCAAACTCATCGTAGAGGAATCATTCCATGGAGATGCAAACATGACATTAGTTGGAGATAACATTTGAATATTATTATTGTTATTACCTGATAGAGATACGTTTTGAGAAGTGCCCATGAAACTAGATTGTATTGGAAAATTTCCTTGTGTGTTATTATATATTTCATTTTGATTCATACCTTGAAAATTCATGTTCATTGGATTAGAATTATCCATGTTAATGCCATTGAAATTAGATGTCATAGATTGTTGTTGTTGTTGAATGTATGTCAATGGAGTGGAGTAAATATTACTTCCAGAATTGATAAGTTGTTGTGCTTGTGGTGTATAACAACCATTCAAAAGAGTATCATGAGTATTATTGATGTTATTGTTAAACGTGTTATTTGTATTAATTAAGGTACTATTGTTCATACTGTTATTTCCTGAAGGAATAAATGTTGGTGCAGTGTATGCATCGTATTTATTGACTGACATGTAATTTTTCATCCTCTTTTGTGGAGTAGGCTGAATTGTTTGTGGGAAGGAGCCTGGTTGGGTATTGTTATTGCTATTGGCGTTATTAGTGTTAGTGTTGTTGTTACTGCTATAATTGTTAGTTATATTATTTTTGATTATGTCAATTGTCTGATAGGCAAAATTATACTCATTTGAAGGGATAGAAGAGGTATAATCTTTAAAATCCTTTGATTTATCAACATAATGTGTAACGACTTTTTGTTTTTGATTTTCGTGATATTTTATCACTTTATCCAAATTTGGAATCAATTTCTGTAGTTTTCTTAAAGAGACTTTTCCAATATCGACCATTGGTTGTTTTTCATTTAATAGTTCGGAATAAAATAATGTGTAATTTGTTGTACCGTCATTCCAAAGTTTAATATATGTGGAAAGTTCATTAAATGATAATTCATTTTTTTGACATAATGTCAAAATGAAATCGTTATCATTATTATGAAAGAACAAATGGTTCAGAATCTTTATAGAAATTTTTTGTAAAAATAGATTTTCTTGTGAAATTAGAGATATGAATTTAAGCAAATGATATAATGCGATATCTTTATATGATGTAATTAATGACTCAATATATTTTATTGAATTGAAAGTAATTAATTTTTTGATATTGTGTAGTGTGAAATTGGAGTTATAAAGCATTTGGTAGAATTGATCCTTAACAGGCATGGAGGATGAGTCGTTAAGAGTACTTCTATTGCTGTTTTTGTGGATGTTTTCATGAGGATACATGTTAATTAAAGTTAATAGAGTAGAAAAAAGTGGTATATAATTATTTTGGAAGAATTGTTGTTTCAAAAGATATTCTACTTGTACAGTTATAGACTCTTCGTATTGGAATACGTTAAGTTTCAAAGCATAATATTGATCGATAATATTGTTATGTATTATGATTGTTAAATTTAGACATTGGTGAAGGATAGTCAGAATGTCTACCAATGATAATGCCATAGCATTTTTCATGGAGGTGTCGAAAACAAATAAGGATTTAGATATTGGAGGGATATCAGGCAGCATTTCTTGTTGAAACCATCTAGGGATTTTATACAACGGGTCCAATAGCTTAGTTTTAGAATTAACAGATTTGGAGCCAGTATCAGGTATTCCTTTAGAGACCAAAGAGATACTATTTAGAAATCGGGCAATGATGAATTGTGACATATTAAGCAGAGACAACAGAGTCTGTGTGGTACCCAGTGTGGTTAGAACTTCGTGTAATTGTGTAGATGGAACGGTCTTCAATCTTGAAAGAGAGAGGTATAGAAGAATGACGAATTTGGGCATCTCTAGAAGGTTATACTCCGGATGGTCGATCAATTCCATTAGGACCTGCAGGTTGAATTCCACGGAATCAATATCTTTGTCTATATTTAAGAGAGTGGTGACCGTTTGATTATAAAGGTTCCTGGGGACCCATTTTGGATCCAGAAGGATAATCCTGTGGTATAATTTGAGAATTAAATGGTCAGAATGAATAGTGAATTGTAACGGATCGATATTTGAAGACATATAGTTGATAAGATAGAAATGCAGATCAACTTCATTCTGTAGTAAATCAAATAAAACAGGTGCATTAGTAGTACTAATCCCACTTCTATTATTGTTATAATCTTGTAATATTTTGGATGATTGAATCCAATTTTCTAAAACTGTTTCTCTTGAGATATCCCAGTTTAGGAAGGACAACAATTTTTTATCAAATGTTTTAAAATTTTCGATCTGTTTGATGATGCTGAAGACGGTGGGCAAGGGAGAATCCCTTGTGGTGTTATGTGGATGTTTTTGGTCCAATGGGATGATTTCTTGGAAATCAGAATATATTATCAACTGGTCGAAGTCTGGATAGATAGAGAGATATGCAAATAGGATAATAGAGAGATCCAATTTGAAGTCGATGGGGCTTGATAGAATATTTTTAAACACATTATTCGATTGTTTCAAAGTCTTGGAGTATTTGTGAAGGGAAGATAGAACTGTATCATGCTGTAAGTGTCGAAACATCTGGATCAACGAGTAGAGTATATTTTCCAAATCTGTTGCATTGTTGTTTTTGTCTATATTAAAGTGGTCTATTGCTTGTAAGGATTGGATTATTATATATAGTATAGATTCTTGATCATCATCATTTACTTGTACCTGTTTCATATTTGAGAAGGGTTGGGATGAAGGTGGGGAGAAAAACTACAGGAGTAAGATTTACCACTACCACTACTACTACTACTACTATTATTATTATTATTATACTATATGCATTACTAATAGTATGCATTTTATATATATATATATATATATATATATATTTCTGATTCTATCTATTCTTTTTTCTTTTTAAATATATATATATATATAAAGGGAAAAATAAACATAAAAAAAAAATAAAGAAAAATGATGATGATGAGGAAGATTACTAAACGTTCTTACATATACATACAAGACAACAGTAGTGTGTGTGTATGTGTGTGTGTAAAGTAACAAGATTGATTATTTAAAACATGAAAGCTTTATTAGTGATTGATGTACAGAATGATTTTGCCAGGAAAGATGGCAAACTGTATGTGAACAAGGGTGAGGAAATAGTCGAGCCTATAGTTGATTTAATTGAAGACAAAGCTGGCAAGTACAAGTGGGACCTCGTAGTTTTGACTCGTGATTGGCACCCAGCGGACCACATATCCTTTGCGAAGAACCATAACCTACCAGACTTCTCTAGTTACAAGTACTGCGATCCACGAAACAGAACCGTCACCCAGGAATCCACCCTGTGGCCAGTCCATTGTGTTCAAAATACATGGGGCGGCCAACTGGTGGATCCACTAAACAAAATAGCTGCGAAGGCCATAGAGAGGGAACAACAAAAGAAAGAGGGTGTTGATGTTGATGTTGTTGTTGTTGACAAAGGATACTTGAAGGACAGAGAATATTATTCCGCATTCAACGACATCTGGGACGACCATAAGACGGAATTGGACGGCTTGCTGCGGAAACAAGGGATCGAGGAGGTTTTTGTTGTCGGCTTGGCGTTAGACTACTGTGTCAAGAATAGTGCGGTTTCGTCTGCCCGACTCGGCTACAAGACAACAATCCTGACGGATTTCACAAGGGCCATAGCCACAGATCACGTGGCAACAGAGACGTTGCGCAGGGAACTCGATGATTGCAACGTGCGTGTAGAGAATCTGTAAATCTGTCAATATCGTAAATTGGCAAAAAATAATAAAACAAACAAAAAAAAAAAAAAGGGTAGGAAGGCGAGGGAAGGCGAAGGAAAAAGAAAGAAAGAAACGATGAACTGCTTTTTCCTGTCTCCGCCTCTCTTTCTTTCTTTCTTTCTTCTTCTTCCTCTCCCCTTTTATTTTTTTATTACTATATTTTCTTTGTTTGCTTGAATGCTGCTTTTAGGCCCGCTTCTAGACTCGTTTTCCCGCTCACACACCCGTGCGCGTCACTTTGCTGCTTTTTGTTCGTGTCCGTCCCCCTTGCCAGGTGTGTGGGCGTATGGGATCCAGACTGTCTTTTTCCCTGTTTGGGTAAATGGGTGATTTCCTTATTCATACATTTTTTATATATTTTTTCTTACTTTTTTGTTGTTTATTTGTGCTGTTCTGTTTTGTTTTGTTTTTGTTTTTTTTTTTTTTTTTTCTCTCTCTCAAACAAACTTCTTTCATTTGAACAAATGCCGCCTATCTTACTATCTTACTATCTACATGCATACATAGATATATACATACACACGTATATATTATATCATACCTATAAATATATATACAAACTTACATACATACTTGTACACATATGTTTGTACATTTATGCATATTTATTTGTAGGTATGGACGGGTACCTGGTGGTATTAGTTTTGTGTGTGATATACGTACAATTCTTTTGACAGTTATGTCTTGGTATATATATATCTATATAGAACCGGTGTACATAAAAACAACCAATTGACACAAGAAATTAGCCGTAATAAGCTTATTTTAGCATAAACTATTTGCTTTTTTTTTTTTGCTTTGTTCTTTTTCTTTCTTTCTTTCTTTCTTTCTTTAGTTGACTTGAACAAGCTGATCAATAAAATACATAATAGAAATTACAAAATAAAAAAAAAAAAAAAAAAAATAGAAAGTTTTTTGTTATTTGATTTATTTTTATTACATTTTTGATGGTTTCGCTTGGTAGACTGTTTCGATTCAAAAGGTTTAGATCTATCCTATCCTCAGTTCTTATACTGACTATAATAGTTACCTTTTTCCATTTATCAAATAAAAAATTAAATGAACAATTTAGCTGGGTCTCACAGCTCAGATTAAGTAATAAAATTATTTTACCAACTACCTCACATTCATATAATAACAATAACAATAACAATAATAATAATAATAATGACGTTTTAAATTTAAAAACTTTCCAATTCAATTCTTCTGATGCTCAATATTTACATAAACCAAACTATCTAATTGATCTTCGTGAACAGTTGTCCCTACATTTCCCATATGATCCATCTAAACAAATCCCAAGACACATCTGGCAGACCTGGAAATACGGCTCCGACTCCCCCCCAATTGTCCTCCGTTTATAGAGCTTACCAGAATCAATGGAATAGTCAACATAATTGGCATCACTCCTTGATCAGAGACGAAGAAATGATCCCCTTTTTAAATAACTTCTATGGTGACATCCCTTTGGTCGTTGAAGCATTCAAAGCTATGCCTAATATTATCCTAAAGGCTGACTTCTTCAGGTATCTGGTGTTGTATGCCAGAGGTGGTATTTACACCGATATGGATACTTTCCCTTTGAAAGATCTCGATAGTTGGCCTTCGGTAAACAAAAACTTTTTAAACAGTGTTGTCAAATCTAATACTGATAAAAGCAATAGCTATAATTTACCTTATAAGAATAAGGATATGCAAGTGGAGAGTAATGATTTAAGCCCTTTTGGTTGGAATGAACCTGGGTTTGTCGTTGGCATTGAAGCCGACCCAGATAGACCTGACTGGAGCGATTGGTATGCAAGAAGAATCCAATTCTGTCAATGGACCATCCAATCAAAGCCAGGCCATCCTATCTTACGTGAATTAATTCTCAATATCACCGCAACTACTTTACTTTCAGTGGAAGAAACTGCCAGCTTGTCAAAATATAAGGATTTGATCGATCCAAATTATCAAAGGGATTATAATATAAATTATAGAGATAAAAGATTGCTTGATGAAAGTTATAATCATGAGGCTTTGAAAAATTCAGATAACATCGATGGCACAGATATTATGAATTGGACCGGTCCAGGTATATTCTCAGATATTATCTTTGAATATATGAACAATTTGATCAACACAAATAACAATATCGTCCTACAAAATCCTAACTTAGATAATATTGGTGAAAATAACGAGAATGAGGTGGCAAAATCTACGAAAAAATTCTATAAAAAAATCATGGAGTCCCTTCAATCTTTTAACACAATATCATGGGAATTTTTTTCTTTGATGACTAAACCAGTGGTTATGGATGATGTCATGATACTGCCAATCACATGCTTTTCTCCAGGGGTTAATGCTATGGAAGCTAAAGACGATACAGATGAAATGGCATTTGTGAAACATATGTTTTCAGGTTCTTGGAAAGCTGCTGCTGACAAAAATGCAAAGAAAAATTAAGCACATTATATGTATTAAAAATTACATATATATAAACACATTTATATATATATATATATATATATGCATGTATATGTATTTATTTTATATTCTTGATAGATTATTTATGGTGTATGCCATTATACTTTTCTTTTTCTCAACGGAAGGATTTTATATAACTTACTAGTTATGGTTTGTTTAAAAAAAAAAAAACAACAGTTTAATTTATGGATATTGGGATATTCGTTAATTTTGCTTGTCTTTTTTCCTCAAATAAATTCAGAAATAACACATTTTCAAACAAAAACGTAAAGCTTCATTTGTATGAAGTTATCTAAAGCAATGTATTAATATATACAAAATAATTATTTATAAATACTTAGAAATTAAACAATCGTTGATTCTGAACTGATATTCCAGTTGAATGATTTTTGTTGTTGGTATTAAGATGATTGTCAATGTTAATGGTTATCTCAAGTAAATTCTTTGAATAGTCAAAGATTCTCCTAGAGAAATTTCTCAATAATTTACCAGCAATGATAATTTAATGATCTCTCAAATACACCCAAAACCTGAACCCAGAGTTTTATCTGCTCTAACTTCTTTGTTGCTACATTCTGCATTATCCTTGAAATACATACTCCAGGAATTCCTGTTGAAACTTCTTACACTCAATTCCCTACAAGTGGAAATTGGTAACCTATTATAACATCACCTAATACACCCATTAAATTGCACATTTAATGATTTCCCATCCTGGTTATTCTTCAAAAATTATAAATCTAACTTTAAAAAAACACAAGAATATAAGATAAATTTAATTATCCTATCATGTTATTTCAAATCTTTGAATTCGAAATATAAAACCATCTATGAAGTAGTAATTATTTTAAAAAGAAAAGAACAATTTGACTTGTTGCTTTGTTTTTCTACTGTATTTTGTTATTTATTTAATATCAAGTTTATATAATTTTATTTTATCTTCTTTATTTCTTAGAATGCTCCTTCACAAAAACAACTAACTATTTATATACAAAATTAATATGAAGGCAATGATGTACAAGCTAGCCACCAATTTAATATAACATTACCAGCAGCCCTACTACCTCTTGTAACAAATAATTTACTAACAAAATTCTCATGAACTGCGGGATTATTACAAATCTTAGGTAATACGTCAACCAGCCATCCCTTTGTCTCTATTGGAAACTTAGCCACCAAGGATCTTAATAAATCAGTGTAACTGTTCAGATCTGAACGTTGTGTATGGTAAATACCATACATAGTTTGATATACCAACTCATGCCCCATCATAGTAATCTGTTGTCTTGTTAATTGTAAATCTTCTTGGGTATACTTTCTATTATTAACTACTTTAGTCCAGAATTTAGTTACGGCAAAAATCGTGAATTTTTCATTAGATGGCAATAATTTAATAAATGTTGGTAAAATAAACTCCACCCATACTGGGCAATTAATCACCAAAGATGGTTTAGTATCCACAACACTAACGACGAAATTTATCATTGATTGTAGTAAATCTGGATCATTCACAATTAATTGCTGATAACATTTCAAGAATATTTCTTTAATCAAATAATCCAATTCATTTGGTGTTAAACTATCTTTATATTGTGTAACAACTTTTTCTAATAAATAGACAAAGAATGGTAATGAAGATGTATAATTATTTTCGTTCAAATGTTTTAAAATAAACTGAATAATATCAGCCATACTAAATCTTAAGAAGTGTGGTTCATCATCTGGTAACAATAATGCTTTCCCGAGCAATAAACACGAAACTTCAATAAAGCTAGAATTACGATTATAAATTGGATTGGTCAAAATTCTTTCGATTAAGGATAGTACTCTAGAGCGACATCCTAAAGGATCTCTAGTCCAAAATTCTTGATACTGTGGCAATTGCTCTAACAATTTTGTATTCTCCTTTTCTTCATTATTAATCATGGAAGATCCAAATTCTGATATACATTCCAACATCGTGTGGATGTAATCCACTTGTTGTGTGGAAATTGAAGATGGACTAGAATTCAAACACGTATCGACATATCCATTGATCATATCCAAAAATTGAACAATATATTTTGCCTGATTTTCAGGTCCCAAATCATACTGACATTCAATAATATAACCAATACATCTTGCCAATTTTCCTCTAGTAAATTGAGATCCGTTGTTTTCAAACTGTAACAGATTATTAAAAAAATTAAAGAAATGAACTAAATAATTACTCATTTGCTTACGGCAGACATCACATAGGTTAGTAATAGTTCTAACCACAATAACTTCTAGTTTATCATCTATATCCCGAACCTTCACATCCACGTTAGAGTTATTATTAGCCGCAGTTCTTACTGTACAAGTTTCTAAGCCATGAACCAATATTTCTATACATGAATTCAACTCTTTTGGATCACGATTAAAATATTTTGAAATGGTACTAATCAAATCAGAAGAAGATCTGACAAAATCCAATTTTAGAATAGAATTATTTCTATTATTTTGTTCAATCACCATACCCGTCTTAAACAATAACAAAATATTCTGGATGAAATATTGATTTTTAGACAGTATATTAACAATCCACGGACTCTCACTCAGATCCATATCTACTAAAAGTTTGTTTAGAACAGTACACATGGCTTCAATCTGATAGAAACTTGAATAATCGTTTCCATTTACTACGATCCCAGAGGCGTCATTAAAACCAATACCTGTGACAAGAACATTAGTTAAATACTCATTACCTAAAATAGACCATAACGATTGTGTCAAATCAGTGACTGCTGCTCTAAAGTCGTCAAATTCATGTACTAAACTTTCGTCATCCCCACCTTGAAGGATCTTCTGTTTATTATCCAAAGAGATCTTTGGCAAATATATATTGATAATTTGTTGGAAAATGTCTATTGCAATATTGACAGCATTGGTTGATAAAATTTCGTTTGGTAAATTAATATAAGAATCTGCCAAATCTAACCAGAAATCTACCATTCTAATCGAAAAAGATTCCTGTAACACAGGTAATAAAGGAAAGTTCGTCAATTGTAATAACACTTTAATGTATTGTTGAATAACTACTTCATCATGTGCTACTTTAGTAAAAAGTTTATTACAAAGATCTAGATTATTTGTTTGAAGAAAATCTACAATACAAATAGACAATTCTTTCAATTCAGAAATCATTTCATTAGTCACTAAATAGTTCATATATTGCAAGAACCATTGATTCTTTGAACTATCTGCATTCCCAGCTCTTGTCACACCCAAAAATGTGACCTCGATTTGTTCCCTTAAATCATGATTCATGATAGCTGGATCGTTGGCAAATACATATCCCCAGATTGATAAAATCTTTTCCGCCACATGAAATGAATCAGTGCTATCATTTGATTGATACATCATATTAATCAAATTTTGAAATAGTTCAGAAAGATCCATACTGACACTACCACCTCTAGTCAGGGAAACATATGTGATCCAAGCCATAGCTGTCTTGAAGATTGTGTCATCAACTTGATCAATTGGTGTAGAAGTTAAATTTACGTTTAATAAAGACATAGTAGTAATATATACAGAATTACGTATAATTTCATTGATTCTTGGAGTAGAATGTCTCTTAGTTTGTAATTTAGATAGATCTTCTACAATGATTTCTGTAAATGTTAATAATAATTGGTTATAATGAGGATTAGACGAAATAAATTTAATTAAATCTTGATATGGTATTTGAGCATTTAAAGATTGAATGATAATGCTATCTCTTATCTGTTCATCTGCTTGAGATAATTCATCAAGATGATTGGCCTGCGTTAATAATTGGACCAAAGTATCAATAGGGTTCCACCATTGGTTAATCATCCCAGAGTTTTCCTCATTTGTAGTCAACTCTGGCTCAGACTCATTGATATCATGAAATAATAGAGACAAATTTGACATTAATTTTTTAATAATAATATATTTACCTGAATTCTGGGATGAATTAAGAACATATCCACGAACGAAAGTAGTTAAATGTAGAAGATTTAATTTCAGTAATTTATTACGATTAGCTTTAGCAGATTCCAAATTAGATTGTACAGTCAAAGTCAAGGCTCCAAAATAATGAACATTGTTATCATATGATGCATTAGATAGCAATTCATTCGCTAATGACAATCCATCAGGGGATTTTTGAATTTCTTGTAACTTAACTTGAATCTCGTTAACATCTATTTGAGAGGCATGTTGTCTAGAGTACAATGCACTGATCAATGCAACAACTTCTTCAATCGAGCTCATAACTTTAGTATATTGGAAATTGATATAAATTAATGGTTTAGAAAACCTTTAAATTTTGAAAATTAAGATCGTTTATAATTCTTCAATAATACGTAACTCTCTCAAAATAGTAAAAAAAAAAATACACCTCAGTCACAGGTCTTAACAAATATGTAAACCCCAATATAGCTTACCTACTAATAACCAGTACTCTTAAATCCTTGTTCGAGATGTTGCAAATGTGATATGCAATCTATAAATGGTTTAAAATTTTATTTTTGTTTAAATTTTGTTCTCGTATTTTTTCAGTTTTTCAAATATTCAAAAATTTTTTCAGTTTTTCAATAAAGCAGTAAAACAAAAAGTAAGAACCCAGACGATAATAATAATGATAGTAATAATAATGGTAATAATGATGGTAATATTATCACTGCAAGATTAATAGATAGAGCAGTCTAATAAACAAATTAATAAAAAATTTGATTGAAAACGTGGTAGGTATATATGACGAGGATTCACTTATTACGACAAACAATTAATCATTAAATCTAATAATAATATTAAGTGCTACGATATAGTTAAATCAATTATCTGGATTGAAATCTAATACCTAACGAATCGTTCTAATTAAGAATAACCAAGCATTTTTTTGCCATCTCTAATCCCAGGACTCTGACTAAATTGCATAACATGGTAAGAATCTCAGGGGATTCTTCAAGTATATTGAAAATAGGCCTGATTCTATGCACTGCCAAATCAAAAAGAAATAATCTACCATTTAATTCGCTGAGTTTATTTTCCTTTATCATGGTTAGTAATTCAGCCAACGGAATCAACCCAGGGACCACATTAGGAAACTTCAATCGAGAATCAATATAATTATGTATCTCCTCTTCTCCCACTTCGCTTTCCCATTCTTCATCCATTTTATCTTCTATCTCATCTCTATATTTGTCTAATTTATAACGTCTTACAAATTCTAAAATATCATCTTGCAAATCTAATGTATAACAGACACCCAATTTTTTTAATTCTTGAATGATCTTCGATAAATCGTTAAATTCACCACTACCAGGATGCAGCCCATATAATTTTTCAGCTACATTATTTAAATTATCTAAATCTTTCATCGTTGGAAATTCATTCACACCAATCTTATCCAGTGACACATTCATATTGATTGTATTTTCAGATAAAACGTTCTTATCAAAATTTCTCATAATGAAAAGTTTACCACCATCTATAATTTTTTTTGTCTTTAAATAGTTTAATGGTACATACTTCAAGTTAACAATGTCTAACAATTCACCACCATAACCTGCTTTATAATTCATCTTTGGACAATCATCTACGTAATAACCTAGATAATAATAGGGTAATCCCATCTGTGACAATAATGTCAATTCTTTTAAAGCACTTAGTTTACCTAAGGACCAATGTTTGTAATCCGGATCCCAAATAAAATAGACCGAAGAAATACCACTTGGCATGAAATCAAGAACCCCAATGGCAATTAATTTATCATCAAAATAATAACATTCATGTACAGGACCTAGTCTATATGCCTTTACCTTAGTCTCCTTTGAGGTGAAGATACTATTTAAGGATTCCCATTCCTCATTTGTACCTTGAATTACATTATCATCAAATGGGGCATCACATAGAAATCGTTTAAACCCACTTTCGCTGTGTTTAAAGTCATTGTGCACCTTTTCTTGATATTTGGCAAACAATTGATATTTTTCCTTAGTAAAAATGGCAGGCTCAAATCTTGTGTAAAACCGTTTAGATCGAATCTGAGTATTCAATATAATATCTATATAATCAAACGGCTTATTTTTCCTTGAAGTATTAGCATCAGCCGAAACACCAACATATTTTTTAAACCTCTTCACACAACTTTTTAATTCCTTGGTTAGAGTCACTTGATCTGGTGTAGTTCTTATTGTAAATAGTCTACAACACGACCTTAATAAATCAGGTTTATATAAAAAGGTACCAGACCGTCTAAAACCATTATTACATAGTTTATCATACATCTTCACAGACATAGATTCACAATGGAATCCCATAGTGCAATTGTAGTGAGTATCCCCAGTTTTTCCTTTACTAGTCTCCCATGAATCTAGTGAATAGTATTGAGAATCATCTTGTTTGACACCTTTACAATATCCACAGTCCCTAGAAGGTTCACTGAAATACATTGGTTGAGTAATAATTAATCGTTTAGACAAATCCATTGTGAGTTGCAATATCTAGTTTTACTTTGTTGACCGACTCTTTTCCTCTCTTTCTCTTGTATATACCTTTCTTTATTCAAAACCTCGCTGTCTATAAAACCTTATGTATCCACTGTTTCTCTTTAATCTCTTAACTTGACAAATTTGTAATGATATTGCTGGGATACCAATAACCTTACTTCCGATAAGCATGCACGTATAAATATATCTGTATATATATATATATGTGTGTGTGCAAACACTATCTCACAATTACTCTTCAACAATATCTTGATAGAACAGCTTCCTCTTTCTCTGCTCCATTCCTTCTGTTATTAATTCTTTGTTATAAATATATACTGAGTGTTCAAATTGGACCGAAATGGATCAAAAGGAATTTAGTAAGAAACAACAAATACACAATACAAGTAATTTCACTCTTCTTTACGGCGGTGAAAGTTTAAACTAGGATCACACAGACAAACACATTAGTCTGATAACTTTACTACATACTCAAACTGACAGAGACTCGTACATATATTTCTAAAATAGTTATTTACAAAGTGAGGAACTGGAGTGTGAAAAATGTTGACTAGAATAGTTGCACGCAGATGGATGACAAAGATGACATTATTCCAATGGTTTCCCAAGACCTTTCCTAACGGGGAGCCACAATGGAAAGTTGACACATCATTATTAAGAAAAGAATATAGACAGTTACAAGCACAAGTGCATCCAGATGTTGTCAATTCCAAGGGGAACAACGAGGACCATTCTGCTCAATTAAATAAGGCATATCATATCTTAAGCCAACCATTAGCAAGAGCCCAATATCTGATTAAATGTGTCAAAGGTGTGGACTTAACTAACGATGAAGTATCTAAACAAATGACAAATAACGATCCCATCTTGCTATCTAATATTATAGATGTACATGAATCCCTAACAGATTGTGAAAATGAGAATGAGATAGCCATAATTCGTCAAGAAAACAAGAACAGATTGAAACAATTGATACAAAAATTAGATAAGGATTTTGAATGCAATGACTACGATAAAGCAATATCCACTACCGTAGAATTAAAGTATTGGACCAACTTAGCTAAGGCAATTAACGAATGGACACCGGGATCAAGATTTGAATTGCATCATTAAAAAAAACATATATATATATATATATATGTGTGTGTGTGTATGTAAATATTAATATACATGAATAAATTTAAATATATTCTATGTAACTTACAAGGAAGATTCATTTTCATTATTTTACTTTTATTTCTAAAAATTGACAAAGAAGTACCTGTCAAAGACTTTTTATTATACTGAAGGTAATTCGAATTCACACTTTTTAAATTCTTCCCATTCAGCCTCAGTAGAAGGATATTGTCTTAACCATTTCATACGTGGACCAGAAACAGCTTCGTCACTAATTCTAAACCCAAAAACTTTCAATTCGTAAGATTCTTTACTTTTACGTTCCACATAATCCTCTAATTCTTTAAAATGCTTTAAAAACACACCTGGAAAACTTGTCCCCCAATAGGCACCTTCCAAGCATAGAAATCTAGAGAACTGGGGAAGATACAAATCTTGACAACTTGGGCAATACAATCTAACTGTATGTTTCCCAATGGTATCACTTAATCCGCATGGTAACAACTGCATCCCAGAACAATAATATCTTGGACATGTACCAAACTCTTTATGATCAAATTTTTCTGCCATTGCTTGCAACCCTTGTTTAGTCAAAATGTATCTTGCGTGGATCAACCCATATAATTGTTCTGCAGCATGTTCGATTATACTACGGTTCGCTAGTTCACCCTGTAAATCATCTCTGTTACCGTTTCTATCCTGTCCAAGATCATCCTCATCCTCACTCATGGATTCCAAATCAAGAATCAAATCCAACGCTTTACGATAATGTGGAACTTCTTGTGACAAAGAGGTCATGTTAAAATCATCCTCTATAAATTCTGTAGGAACTTGACAGAAATAGTCATGACCAAAACGGGAACAGAAGGACGGGATCCATTCATCATAACTGCCACTATCTTCACCAGAGGACATTTTCTTCTAATAGATTTGTTATATTCTTTCTTACTCTTACAACAATATATTCTAAATTGAACAATACAAAAAAAACGAAAAATGGAGTTAATTAACTTTCAGAACGTCTTAAACTTCACAATCAATCTTCCAATTCTAACCGTGACACCCACGTTGACACTGTTTTAGCTTTGATAGTGTATGAAACCTCACCAACTCCAAACTATCTATCATAACTTATGTAAAACAAAAAGGATCATCGATCCTCTTAAACTTGTTTTTCTTTCTCAGGTTTAAAAAAAATATTAAAAAATTTTTTTTTACATTCCTAAACATACATCAACACTACGAACAGCAATACTTTAATAACAGGGGCAACTGATCAGAAACAAGAAGTTGTGCAAACGTAGGTGCTAACATTATTAGTGAATAGAGTTGTACACACACACACCCACATATACATATACATACATATATATACATATATATTCTTTTCAGAATGGATAGTTTTACAGTCGTTATAATTGCTTTGGTGTTTACTGTGTTATTACAGTTGAATTCTTATTTATCTGATGATTTAAAGAACTATATCTGTAATAAATTTAATCCATATTTTCCTCCATTATCAGCTAAACTAAAAGAACAAACCAGTTTAATTGAAACTAACAATTCAATTTCTGCACAAGACAATTACGCTCAATGGACTAAGAATAATAGAAAATTAGACAAATTAAAGAAAGAAATCAGTGAGTTAAAAGAGAATCTATTACAATTCAATAGAAATAAAATTAGCCAATGGAATAAATTGACTAAAATTGGTATCACTTTGCCTTTTATCCTATTTAAATTATGGAAGGGGAAACAGATAGTATACGCCTTACCATCAAATAAAGTCTTTCCATCTATGATTAACGGTATTTTGAATAATGGGTTTCTCTTCCTTGTTCTAGGTCCATTAAATTGGTTAAGATATGGTCACGTACATCATAATGTTTTATCATCAGATAAGATGGTAGAGGAAAATGTTTTATCATTTGGTGTATCTCTGGGTATTTGGTGCTGGGCTTTAAATACTGTTATATCAACTGTTGAATTCATCGTCAATCAATTATTTTTAAAGCAAAAGGAGGTGGCTCCACCACCATCAAAAGAAACAACTACTACAGCAGCCACAGACCAAAAATAAAGATTATCCAGAACAAAAGAAAAATAAAGATTAGTGCAAATAATTGAAATATTATGTTTGCCTTATATTAATATTATATATATATGTGTATGTATTTTGTATAGATAGATATATTTGTATGAGTTTATTACTTAATAATAATAAAAACGAAGAAAAGGAAACTAAATAAGACTGCAACAGCTTGGAATCATTAAAGTAGATATCTGTCCCTTTGTCTCGTTTACTTTGTCGTATTTTTATTTTTAACCCAAAAGACTTATTTCAAATACGCAATTCAGAAGCATCTAATAACGAATATTGTTGTCTTCTTCTTCTTCTTCTTCTTCTGGAACCGTCAACTCCTTCAACGTTACTGTTGTTATCATTTGCTACCGACTTATTCTTGAATACAGAAAATTCACTATCTCTTCCTTCATTATCTCTTTCATTCAATTTATATATTCTAATCATCCAATTCTCACTGGTAAATACTTCATGAAATCTTTTCAAATCTCCAACATCTTCCGGTTTAATCAATTGCTGTCTAACATGATCAACACCACCAGAGTTTTCACCATACAAGTAAGGGAAATTATGGTACGACATCTTGTACATAATAGAATCTTTCATCACTTGAGTAGCTGAGGAATCCACTCTATATTCTCCAGTAGTACTGAAAAAGGATCTTTCATTGACTTCGTCTGGCCAGATCCCCTCACTGATACGAATCATCCATAGGAACTTGTTTAGATCATCACCACCAAATCCCAAGAGCCCGCCAAAAACAACAAGAACATAGTCCACATCCAATTCGTTAAAGATCTCGTATGCACGGTCCTCGTTAGAAGCCATAGCTTTACCTACAAGCGCAATATGAGTGTTATTCCATGTATTATTGTCTACCAATGTAGTACGATCGGCCATCCCACCGATTTGATACCCATAATCCCACCATGCGGCAACTTTACTGTCCTCATCTGTGTTCATACGTAACCAATAGTAAGCTTCTCTAAAGTCATCAATTAGAGCCATTTTTCCATCAGGGGTCTGCGATGGCAACACCACACTTGGCGACGAGTAAGCGTTTTGAGTAACCCACGTACAATGGTAGACAAAGATATAAAGGTAAAAGATGAATGAACCGGACACGATAAGTTTAGATAAGAATTTGAAAAAATTCAATTTAGTGTCTTTGTTTGTAGAGTTTTGCCTAGACGAGGACCCATTTTGCCAAAATTTGAATAGATCATAGAAATTCAAATATGTGTCGAATAATTGAGATAAGGCGACGGAGGATGCGATACAAATAACTGGGGTCAAAGTCAGCATCAATCTAACCATAACACCAGCGAAATAGGAACATAGAACTGAGTAGACGATAATAAAGACATGTTCGTTTTTCAATTCTGAGAAGAGCAGAGTAACACCTACAGGGAACAACCATATTAAGAAATGGGTGTCGAAGAAAAATGCAGGCCATGCCACTGGTTGATGTTCAGAGACGGAAGCAATGATTGGGATATGGATCTTTGCGTAGTTAGTGTCCCAAAGGGAATAGAATCTACCTGTCCATGGAGCAATTAAACCAAAATAAGTGGCCAAAATTAATAAAAGGATACCCAGGATGCAAACAGCCAAAAATGAAAAAACCATAACTTTTTTCAAGTTACCGTTAGAATTACTATTATTATTATTTTGCGAATAACTTTTTTTAATGAAATTACCGAATGCAACGATTTGTAACAAACCAAAGATACCTAGAGCACTCATATGGTCGTTTGAACGAATAGGTAAGAAGCCGACAAAGGGAATTTGCATGGATGCAACGGTACCCAAGACAAACCAAGTGGTATAAGAGACATAGATTTGATTAGAATATCTACCCATTAGAAGCAAACAAAAGACATGGAAAGGAATCAAATTGGTAATAAAAACATAACCACCCCATGCAGAGACCATATAGAAATAGCACAGGGAGGCACCGATAGTATGAAGGATAGAACCAGTCTTGATAGATTTAATCCAAAACATGAAAGTTAACATGAGCAACGTGATAGCAATGGCTTCATTATCATAAGAACCTGCTACAGAACGAGATATATAACCCGGGACTATAGCAATGAAGGCAGCAGCTAAGAGACCAGTACGGGTATCCTTGATGTCTGAGGCTAGTTTATAAGTAGCCCATGCAGTGAGCGAGGAGAAAATAGGAGCAAACAGGACACAAACGTTTCTAATGTCGATTGGAATACCTATCTTATGTAAAATGTTCCAAATCAAAGACGCAGTAGTCATCAATCCAGGGTATAAAGTGCCCCCTGTGACTCTGCCTAATGGATACCAAGTACGTGAATCAAACCAATTTAAGAAGTTGTAGAATGAGGTCTCAGTAAGTAGCTTAGTAGCTCTAAAATTGAACCAGGGATCAAATTCATGAATAATAGATTCGAATTTAACGACTGCAAACAATCTCGAAGATATGGAAGCCACAACCACGAATATACAAATCAGAAGTTTTAAAGCTCGTAAAACCCAGTTAACTACCGTCTTCTCTTTGACGGAAAGCGACATGATGGATTGTGTTATAATATATATATATATGCGTGTATATATATATATATATATGTATATCTTAGTCTGTGTTGAGTATATTAGTACCTTACCTAAGTGAGGGGAGGAGGGTGTATAAAGTATGTTATTTTTAAATCAATTAATATTCTATTGAGATATTAATAGGACTGTTACCAAACTAACTGATGTTCAAAGAGATAGAGGAAAAGCCAATGCCAATAAGTCTGCTAAGGATTGGATTATTCATTCAGCAGCTTCATTTCACTGCTTTCCAACCGTTTCCTACCAGCTATTTTATTTTATTTTATTTTATTTTGTTTTATTTTTTTTGCTGTTTATTTCTTTTTTTTTTTTTTCATTCGAGATTCTACAAAAGGGTGTATGGGTCTTGTGTAAAACACGGAAAAAACAAAATCCGGTCCTCGGAATATTACGAAATAATACGAAATAATACGGAATATGGCGGAATATGGCGGAGGAGACGAAGGCAAGTTTTCTGCAGAGAACCAATTTCTTGTAAGAAGAGAGTCACATTTCAAAATATGAGCTGTCTTGCTTTTGCTCAATGAGGTGATGAAGACACAAGAACAAGAACGTTGAGATGAACAAGCACATTGGTTTGCACTAATGATTACTTTAATTGGCTTATAATGGACTATCCACGTTGCTTTGCAAATCCATGTATAATTGGCAATTACATTCTATAATAACATAAGATATTACCGTATGAGACTAATACTAGTGCAACACACGGATATATCTATATACGAGGACTGAGATGATATTGATTGTACAGATATGAAAGAAGAATTCCCTAATAGCAATAATACTCATACCCATTCCTCATGATACATAGTTATAATAAATAAACAACTGCTCCTATCACGGTTCGATCCCGTTTCCCCCTGCGTGTTTTTCTTTTCATTTACCACGTATTTTTTTTTTTTTGTACTTTTTATTTCTTGTGAGGATGACTAAGCAATCATTTATATGTCAATATGTAAAATAAGTAAATTACATAAATGATCATCCCTCTAGGATGTTGTTACTGTTGAAGAACCCAGCTAACACAAATACTCATCCCATATACATATATATACATACATACATACGTAAATATACTTATAGACCAACTATCTGCCTTCCCTTGGCTCTTTTTTTTTTTTTTTGGAAATTTATACAATGAATCAAGATACATTCGAAAAAATTTCTTTTGATAAAGTTGTGCCTATTAGAAGAACATCTGAACAAAGCATATTATCTTCACTTTCTTTGAAAAGTAATTTAATATCTAAATCAAATCGTATAACAACGACAACGATAACGACGACAACGACAACAACAACAACTAATACTAATAATAATGCAGATAATGAAAATATTGGTGTTAAATTACCTTTTAATTCGATAAACCATAACGACAACGACAACAGCAACAACAACAATAATAACAACAATAATAACTATAATAATAACACGACAACAACCACGACTATTACTGCCCATAATAATGACACGTCCAATAATTTTAGTATACAAAGTTTAGATACTGTAGATGATGGCTATGATAGTGGGGAAAATAATAGTTCTTCTTCTTCTGCTTCCACTGCCACTACGACCACCACTAATATCAATAGTACAAACAATACCTCTGACGATTTAACTAAACAAGCTTTAAGAAAACTATCCTTTTTAAAGATCACCGGTAGTAACAATGATAACATTCAAGAAGCTTCCAATGACAACAAAGTTCAAGATGATATAAAACTTAGTAATTCTTCATTTTCCCTTCAATCCACCGATTCAAATTTAACTCCCAAAAAGACTATCAAACAAGTTTCCTCCTTTTTGAATACAAACACTCCTTATCAAAGCATCACAAAAAACTCTTCTTCAAGCTCTATTTCCTCTGTCGACACTTTCAGAAACCCTCAAAACACAAATAATTTGAGGAACTTACATAACAGTACTCCAAGATCTATAATGAAATCTAATCCATCTTCTTCAATGCTTTACAATAAATCATTGTCAACTCCACCTTTATCTGTTAACACTCTTCCTAATTCCATATTTAATAATACTAATAATAATACAAGAATATTATCAAAACAATATATCAAGCAGATCAATAATCCAAAAAGACCAATGTATATACCCGCCGTATTAAGAAATGTATCAGAAACAAATTTAACAAACGATGATATACTGACTCTAAATTCTTCAATATCTCAGATACCAACTCCTTTATTAGCATCCACACACTCTCTTTACAATCACACTAACAGTATAAGTGTAGACTCTTATCTCACTAATCATAATAGTAACAATACTCACAATGCTACTAACTTTTCTAGAACACCTCTTTCAATTAGATCATCTTCAATATCCTCTAACTCTTCCATTACCACAACTTCCTCCTCCTTCTCTAATTCTATTAGACACATTAAAACATCACATTGGATACCAGATTCAATGAGATCAAATTGTAACAAATGTAATATCCAGTTCACTCTATGGGAAAGAAGACATCATTGTCGTCATTGTGGTGAACTTTTTTGTCGTAAAGATTTGTTGAATAAATTATATTTGAATTGTGACGCTCAATTTATTAACCCAACCAACTTCACCGGTAAGAAATTCTTATCAAAAGTTTGTGATTCTTGTTACTATAACTACAAACAGTATTTAAATATAAATAATACCACATTCACTACTACTGGTAGTAACCAGGATTTACAACCCAAACAATTGATCATCCAGAATAATCAGACTTCTCAAACAGATTTAAATTTTTCACAGAATGATGACGGTAACGATACACTCACGGATATGACTTCAATGTCAGCAATTAATAAAAAGAAAGTTAAATATAAGAATGACACTATTGTTGGATCGGTCTCTAATTGGAATTGGTCAAGTTTTTAATATAAAAAACAAAAAAAAAAAAGGAAAAAAATAATAATAATACTTAATAAACAAAACCATTTCTAATCCTAATTTATTCATTCATTTAATCATTTATTGATTTATTTAATTGTACTTATCTATTCCTATTTTATAAACATTAAAAAGAAACTATTAGTACATGTATCACTTTACTTCTCTTTAATCTCTCTCTCTTTCTCTCTTTATCTATCTTCACATATATATTCATTTTCAGATCATGTTTACAGACTCACATATTACATGAAATATTAATGTACATACAAACATACCTATGCATATAGGTTGTTGTTCCTATTCATGAAAACTTCCATCTATTACCACAGGCCTCACACGTACAAAATGTAGTTAAAGGTTCATCAGCAGATCTCGTCTGTAATTGGTAATATGACACTTTTCTTTCTTTACATTTACCACATTGGAATCTATCAGTAACAGATCTTTCGATTGTAGCACCTTGTGCATTAAATAAATTTCGTTCGTGAATCGCTTTTAACTCCTTTTGTAGATGTTCTGGCATCAATTTTTTAGGGTCACAATTCACTAAGAAATCAGGTTTAATGTCACCATCAACTATCTTAAATTTCAAATCTTTATTATTTTTAGAAATAATGTTTGAATAAATAATTCTATATTTTTCTTTATATCTTTTATTTGTTAGGTCATTACCATTATATTTATTCATTTCCTTTTCAATTTCAATACATATAGCTAAAATATGGCCTGGCTGTTTATCGCTCTCTTTAGCCAAAGCATCGTATAAGGCCCTAATCACTGAATCTCTTAATTTATCATTATATATGCTAGTTATAACACCATCGTTTTTACTATTACGAATCTTATTAGTATGATATTTATTATCCTTTTCAGTTGGTCTGTTACCATCATCTACATTGGAATGATTCCCTGAATCCTTTGTCAAATTATTCTCATTGGTAGAATTTGTAGTGCTTGAAGTGGTATCATTGACTAAGGATGTAGATGCATTTGTCGAGGCATTGTTGGAAGTAGTAGAAATAGTACTAATCTGATTTTCACCTGCTGATTTCTCTTTAGCAAGCATTCTAGCTCTTTGTTTGTTTTTATTAATTGCATCCTTCCAGGAAGATATAATTTTTTTAACCAACTTGGCGATCTCCACATTCTCTGAACGTTTAAATTTATTGACTTCAACACCAACTTTGGTCTCCCTTAACAGTTTTTCAGTAGGAACTACACCAACCTCCAATTGCTTTAGGATCTCGATTACTGTTGCGTCATTAGTTTTATTTTGTTCCAAGTTCTTTACTAATGTTAAAACTTCTTTTGAATCCATTATTCTATTCGGTAAGACTATCTTTTTATATTTCTCTCTTTTCTATTCTTTGAAAAACAACTACGCAGTATATTCTCAAACACACCCCAATATACTCTATATATACAGATATTTCAAAGTTAAGAGCACAAACTGTCAACAAAGTACTGTTGTAATTGGTGGCTGAATTCTTGACAATTAGCTATTCAACTGAGCAACGACACATCTTGCATCGAACATATGTACTATTTTTATATACACTTCTTCTACTTACACTAAACAAAAACCAAAACTCAAAAATCGCTCTTGTTATTTTTTTATTTTTATTTTTTTTTCATTTCTTCTCAACTCCCAAATAGGTAAAAATAAAAAGAAACGACAAAATTTCCTAATTAGGCATTTAACGGATTTTACGTATCCCGTTGGAGGGAAATTGGAGGGTTGTTCACATTCCGCTGAGGTTTTCTCTCAAAAAAAAAAAAATTGTAGGAAAGTTTTTGATTTAAAGATATGCCACAGTGAGATAGAAAGGATATACAGAGGGAAACAGATCTCAGAACAAAAGAATAAAAAGAATACGTTATATTTCATAATATTGAGTTAATTTAATCTCTTTACATTTTAACAGACCCATATTCATGATTACTTACTTCTCCAATAAATAAAAAAATTAGTTATAAAGAAGTTCAATACCCAACAAACTCAATATACACATTTATTTTGTTTTTTGCTTGTCCATATTGATAAAATAAAATGAGTACATCAAATCAGTTTAATGCACCATCAAGGATAGTTTATTTAGGTTCTATTCCTTATGATCAGACAGAACAACAGATTTTGGATTTGTGTAGTAACGTTGGACCTGTAATGAACATGAAAATGATGTTTGATTCTACAACAGGGAAATCTAAAGGTTATGCATTTATTGAATTTAAAGATTTAGAATCTAGTGCATCTGCGATTAGAAATCTAAATGGTTATCAATTAGGTAATAGATTCTTAAAGTGCGGATACGCAAGTAACAACGATATATCTAATTCTAATTCTAATTCCAATGCCAATAATAGTAATAATAATAACAATAGCACAAATGACAATAAAAATAACAATAACAATAACAACAATAGTAATAATAATGATAACAGTATAGGTAGCGAAAATAGTGATAATTCAACCAAATCAATGATATTCTCAAATTTACCACAAGGCATAGACGTTAACATTAATATGACAACCCCTGCTATGATGATATCAAGCGAATTATCCAAATATGATAAAACTAAACAGTTAACACTTTTGAAGAAATTACAGGATTTATGTAAGAAGGAACCTGAATGGTCATTACAACTGTTGAATGAATATCCACAATTGACTTACGTGATTGCCGAATTATTATTGACTAATGGGATATGTCAGGTTGATGATCTAACACAATTAGCCAAACCTAAAACAGATAATATGAATTCTCATAATACCACTATTAATGGTAACAACACAGATAGTATTATATCAAAAACAAATGAAGATAAATTATCATCTGATCCAGAACAACTACTAAGACAAAAAGAATTGCTGAGACAGGTTCTACAGTTGACTGATAGTGATATTAGTATATTACCAGATAATGAAAAGTCAATCCTGTGGGATTTAAAACAAAAAATGATGAAAGGTGAATTTGGTATTATATAAATATAAGTATAAATATATATATATCTATACATCCATATACAGATTTATAGTTGCATGACGATCTACATCTCTATAAACTTACATATTTGATATGAATCGTATTAATTGCTGTTTTGACACTATGATTTTCTCCTGACATGATTTTATTATTTCACTTAAAGGTATAGAATCATCATAATCATCTGATTCATTATTATTAAACTTATATGGATCCTTCCAAAGGCCCAACAACTGATCACCATTTTGACCAAGACATACAGCAGTGTGATTCAAAGTAATGGCTCCAATGATATCAGTTATTTCAATATTTGCATCTATTAAAGCAATTATACAACCAGAGACTAAAGCTGGAATATACTCAACTAATTCATCTTCATCCTCAATATTAAAATTAATAAAAATATCAATACCAGATTTTGGATAGTTCTCCAAGCAGACACAACATTGTAATACAGATATTAAAAATTGGCTCAATTCTTTCAAATTCTTTGTTTCGAATTTTTCACTTTTAATAATTATATTTATTTTACAATTTGGTTGGAAGGATACATCTCTCGTTGATCTTGGACCATAGACTAAGGTTAATAAAGACATCTTATTATTTTCTACAATACTTGATCCATTAGAATTAGAAATTATGCCATTCTGAAAATTGAGCTCATCATTGTTTAGTGCAGATAAACTTTGTTTTTCATTTGAATTAGCAAAGACTAATGGCTTTGCAGAAGCTGGACCTAAAATTCTTCTTCTATCTTGAACATTCATTTTGAACAAATCTTTCAGGCTTTCATAAATAGAACAAAAAAAAGTATATAACTAAATATAGAGACACTTTCAATAGTCAAACAGTTATATGCATATACTCAATAGTATTATGACTTAAGTAGTTTACTAAAGAGTTGGCTCTTGCTGTTCAAAGAGTCAAAGGGAAAGGTGTGCATATATAAAAGAATTATCAATAAAATTTTTTTTTCAACCCATCACTATTAGCATTCTTATGGAACCAATCTTGAAATGAAAAGAAAAATATACAAAAAAAAAATATTGAGAAAAAACATAATTGATTATAACAGAAAATATCAGATCCTAAAGCATTTTGTATGGAAGCCTGTTATGCTCTATATTTATACATATATGTTGTTAGGACAATACTAAAAACTGTCAACCAAGCTTATTCACACTGATAGAATAAATATGTGGGAATTAACCAATAAACTAGCTTCATAGAAGATAGTCAATGTATATTTACGTATATATATGTTTACATATGAATATAGATGATAATTAAATCTTACTAAAATTCAGGTGGCTCTGATTCTAATTGTTCTAATTGTTGTCTTTGTAAATCTTGCTTATCTTCATTGAGTCTAATGGATTCATCTAATAAAATTTGGCGATTAGGATCATTTGATGGTGTATAGTCAGGCAATTCCTCAAATATCGGTGCTTGTTGTGTCGATTGATTTGGTATTGTGGCTGCTAATGGCTTAACATTTTTAACGTTACCAATAATTATTTCAATGGACATTCCTGTAGCATTCCTGTGTCTTTTTAAGGTTTCAACATTAATCATATCTTCCTCATTATATATTGTTTGATCATCACTTATAGCAACTGGGGGTAAAATATTGCTATTGTCTATAGTAGAAGCCATAATAACATTGTGGTAATCATTAGTATCTAATGCACTAGTAATCCTTGTATTAACACCATTATTGCTACCATTTTTATTACTACTGTTATTATTGTTAGTAATACCTGTCTTCATTTTATTAGATAAGTCAATTAGCACTTCGATGTAATAATTAAAATGGAATAGTCCATCGTGTCTTGACTTTGTATTAAAAGTAGCAAAAACGTCTAATGGAACAGTTAGTGGTATAATTTTATTGAATTGAAAATTTGTTGATTCATCTAAAGTCAAAGGAGACACTGTTTGACAACAATCCTTACGAAATGTCTCCGTATTGATATCTTTAATGGATCCGATTCTACAGATCCTAACCAATGTGATAATAATACCTGAGGAATGGAAATAATTTTTATAATGTTGAATATTAATATTGATTGGTATAGTTTCGCCTAATATATACCCAGATTGTGGTATTGATACAGCTAATTTAACAGTTTCAGATACGCTTGGATTCAATGTATCGCTATTTATGGACACAAGATCCCTTTCATGTGAATCATATCCATCTCCACCGATCCCTAGATAACTGCTAGCACTACTACTAGTACTAGTACTACCGCTACTTATACTCTGATTATTACTAGCATTGCTAACACTGAGATTAGCACTACTGCCAACACTATTATTTCTGGTGGCTACCAGACTTGAATTAGTAAAAGAATTAGCTGATAGTTTATTTTTATTTGCTATGGAAGGAAAGGCCAATGCAGACGAGGAAGATTTTAAAACAACTGTTTTGTTTCTTGGTTTATTTAAATAAGATGATACATCCAATGCGACAAAAATATGAAATGAGGTCTTACAGAGTGATAAAATTGAATCTGAATTAGATACTTTCAAACTTGATTGTAAATAATATTCTACTGAGCCTCTTTCAAATTTAATTTCGTTATAAAGTTTCCTTTTAGAAGGTAATTCTAATCTGAAAGGGAATTTATGGAGACCCCTTGATAAGCCTATGGAATTGTTATTATTATTATTATTATTATTATTATTATTATTATTATTGTTGTTGTTGTTATCATCAGGGTTTCCATATAAAATAATTGATTTATTTAAAAATTCCACTGGTTTCAAAGTTTTCAAACCTGTACCAGTAGAATTTTTAACTTTAACTTTAATAGATCCAATTAAACTTAATTGCAGGCTAACACTAGAAACATCATATTTCAGTTCTAATACTAATTCTCCATTAATACTCTGTCCTGGTTGATATAAACAGTGAGGGTTATCCTTTAAAACCAAATAATGCTGTTTCACACAATCTGAATATGAATTTATAGATTTTCTTCTTTGTGCAGATTTAAAAGCAGATCTTCCTTTAATTCTTTCTATAAGATTTCTATTATTGCTAGTTGTAGCACTAGTCTTACTATTGGTTCTGGCAATATCTGATGTGGATATATTCTCTTCAGAGTGATTCGACGTTATAAATCCACCACTAGTACGTTTCCATATATCTAATAACACCATATTTTTCTTTCTTTCTTTCTTTTTTCCTTTTTACTTCTCGCTCTATTAGTTGATATAGTATGATAAAAAAAAGTATTGAAAATAGCAATAGCCCAAAACAAACGGTATAAATATATTCTATAAAAATTCTTGTAATAATAAGAACACACATACAAAAAAAAAAAAAAAAAAAAAAAAAAACAAAAAAAGAATAGCAAAACGAACAAAGGAGTCTAGTTCAGTTATGTTTTTATGTTCAATATGCAAAGCGAGGAGAAAAGGGGATGCAGTTAGTTTTAGAATTATTGATGCATACAATTTAACAGATCATTAAAACATAAATAAAAGCAAAGAAAAAAAAATAATAAAAAAGACACAAAAAGGAAAGATCAATGAAATAGTAAACAATCTAAAGACAATTTTAACTTGATCTACTTCATAAATGTCTAATCTTTAACTTTTTCCTAGGGAAAAAACACACAGATACACACATAAAGATCTCCCAATAAATAACACATGCCACTAAATCTAAGCTTCTCTCTGCATCTTACTTTTTTATTCACATTCTCCGCTCGATCTAACAAAAAAACAGCCAAGCAAAAAAAAAAAAATAATAAAAAAATAGTAAAAAAATAAAAAAAATCGAAGTTTTTCGGAAAAACGCAAGTGAAGTGGGGGCGTGGGGGGAAAAAATAACAGGAATTGCCCGTGTTTCTGTTTCTATTTTTATCGCAAGAACCCTCTCCGCTTTGCAAAGTTTTGCTTGTATTATGGCAATATTAATGTTAATGTTAATGTTAATGGTAAGTGGTGGTGGTTGCGACGACAGTGAGAAGGGAGAGGAGGACGAGGGGGGAGGAAGGAAGGAGGCAGCAACACTTTGTGCATACTATTGATAATAATGTTATATTACAATGTGTATTATACAAGTTCCAAACCTACTATATATATATATCTATATATATATATAGATATATATATATGATTATGTATATGTATATGTATGAAGATATGAAAAAAAAAAACAAATATTTCTGCATGTGATCAAACAACTTTCTTTCATTGACATTTGTTTATATATTATTATGTTTAGTCAAATGTTTTCTTTGTACCGGCAAAAGCAGCAGTATTTCTTTGTTTTCCTAATGGAGCATTATTTGCACCAGATCCACGGAATTCACGACGTGGACCACTGTTACCTCTGTTGTTATTACCTCTGTTGTTACCGTTGTCTCTTGGTGGTCTTGGAGTAGAGAAATCCAATCTTACTGGTCTGTTTTCAATGTATTCACCTTGTAAAGCATCCAAGGCCTTCTTAGCATCATCTTTGTTTGTAAATTGGACATAACCGAAACCCTTTGGTTGTTCAGTCTCAGGGTGGGTTGGGATTCTAACGGAGACAATTTCACCGTATTTACCGAATAAATCGTATAGTTGGTCTCTGTTGACGTTGAACGATAAATTACCTAGGAACAAAGTGTCACTTGGTTCACTTGGTACATCCCCATACTTCTTGGCACGTTCACCGAAACCTGCACTTGGCCCAGATGGTTTTGAAGTGGACATATCACAGTTGATTGGTCTGCCATCGATTTCTTTACCATGCATCTCTTTGATTGCTTTTTCAGCGTATTCGACGCTTTCAAAATCAACGTAACCGTAACCACGAGATCTGTTGCTACCTCTTTCCATTATCACACGAGCACCAAGGACACCACCAATGTGTTCGAATTCGTTCTTTAACCATTCATCATCAATGGACCAGGATAATCTGCCTACGAAGATTGTGGCTGGTTCGTTAGATTTACTTTTCTTGGAGTTTGAGGAAGATTTTTCGGCAGATTCTTCTTCTTCATCTTCTTCTAATTTACGTTTCTTAGATTCTTGTTCAGATTCAGATTCAGATTCAGATTCAGAGGAAGAAGAGGAAGAAGAATCAGATTCATCATCAGAAGAAGAGTCAGAGGATGATTCGTTTTGTTTTTCTTCTTCTTTCTTGGGTTGTTCTTCATCATCATCAGAAGATTCAGAGTCAGAAGAGTCAGAGGAAGAATCATCTTCAGATTCAGAAGAAGAATCTTTTTGCTCTTCTTCTTTTTTAGTTTCTTTCTTGGATTCTTCTTCTTCTTCTTCTTCTTCATCAGAAGAATCGGATTCGGATTCGGATTCTGATTCTGAGGAAGAAGAGTCTGAAGAGGAGGAGGAAGATTCGGATTCGTCATCAGAAGAAGAAGATTCAGAAGAAGATTCAGATTCGTCATCAGAAGAAGAAGATTCAGAAGAAGATTCAGATTCGTCATCAGAAGAAGAAGATTCAGAAGAAGATTCAGAGGAAGATTCAGAAGAGGAAGTAGCGTTGGCCTTTTCTTCAACTATTTCTTTAACATCTTTTTTAGCAGACTTCTTAGTAGTAACCTTAGCCATTATTTATTTATTTATTTAGTTTTTAGTTTCTTTATGAGTTTGGAAAATTAGTATTATTATGTCTTTTCGTAGAATACAACAAAACAAATATATATATATTCATGCACATATATAAAGGAAAAAAGATGGTTATAAAAATATTAGGATCAAACAATTGAGTAGATAGAAGAAGTGAGTAAAAGGACTGAGAGAAAAAGAGAAAAATTGAGAGAAGAGCTTAGCATATAAAAAAAAAAAAAAAAAAAGTTCAAAAAGACCAAAAGCTCATCGCCATATTTCCAGAAGAAGAAAAGGAAAAACTTTTCAAATCGTCTCTCAGTTTTTTTTTTCTCCTGTCTGTTCAACTTTTCCTCTCCATTTTTTTCTTCCTGCCCGGCCATCGCCTCCCTCTTTTTCTTTCTTTTTCTCTCTTTTTCTTCCTCTTTTGAAAAGAAAAAAAAAAAATATTACACCGAATAAAATGACCCAAAGGGGAAATAATGTCAAAACAGAAAAGAAGAAAAGAAAAACAAAATTGAAAGAAAAAAAAAAGTAAAACAACAACAGTGATAATACTAATAATGAAATGATAACAATAATGAATATACACAGAGTCTGGATGTTGAATTACACTCACTGATAAGTACTGTTTCTTTAGTGTTTAGATACAGCAACTAGCATTTCAGCAAATTGTTCGTTGTATGATTGTGGAAATGGTTCTAATTTTATTTTATCCGTCTCTAAATCAGAAATACCTTGCATCAACTCCTTAAGAATCATGCCATCACTATGACATGCTATAAGATACTTTCTTTCAGAAAACTTATTTGCTATCTGTTCTTGATGATTATCCATTAACTGATCGTTAATAACAACAATCAGCGGTATCGACACTCTTCTAATATTATCTTCTTCACCAGCATTTTTATTATTATTATTATTATTATTCTTTTTCTTATATCTCAAAGTGTCGAGGATCGATCCTGTGCCCGCGTGTGATATAACTAAACGTGATTCAGATATTAATTCTTGCACATTATTAGAGTATTCTAACCCAATAATAACAAAATCCCATTTCATTATCTTATACTCAAAATAGAATCCCCCATTTACAATCTCATTCCCATTTCCATCTTCATTATCATGGCTATTATGTTGTCTATATTCATGATTTGTCCTCTTACATATTATATCCTTCCCATATAACTTAGACATCAATCTCTGGAACTGCTCACTGTATCCTAACCCATACTGAATAACAAGTTTATTGAATTTATAATCTTTTACAATATATTCCACAAATTCATTAGATATTATTGATTCAACTAACTTAGGGAATGGAACCGTGGCTCCGCATGTAACAAATATACTCCTTGGATTCATTATTTTTTTTATCTATGAATACGAACATATAAACTTACACATATCACAATACATATATACATACATACATATATATATATATATATCTACCTTCCTGTTTCTTTGTATATATGTGTATGTGTACGTTATTTAAATAATGTTGCGGAATTCTATTTCCGCCAATTTTCCGGATAAAAGTTTTTTTTTCCTTCTAAAGGGGAAAAACAAAAAAAAAAACAAAAAAACAAAAAAGTGGCAAATAGTTTGAACGCAAGTGTTTTTTTTATTGTAAGAGCAAACAACGGAAGTTTGAATCAAATTGATATATACATACACACTTGCATATATATATATACATACAGACTTATATACATAGTCATACGTATATTAGCCGTCTTTAAATTATTTCTTATAATAAACACAACAACCCAATAAGAAACAAAATCAAGCTTTGTTTGTTTTATTTTATTTTATTTTTTGTTGTTTTCGTTTTTCCCTTTGACAATGAGTGCTACTTTAATCGCTAATAATAACAGTAATAATAATGACATCCCAGACCCTTCTGTCGTCCATGAGAATGGTATTAAACCTTATTTTGAACAAAAGATCCAAGAAATGGAATTAAAAATACATCGTAAGACCTCCAATCTAAAGAGACTGGAAGCACAAAGAAACATTCTTAATGATAGAGTCCGTTTTATCAAAGATGAATTACGTCTACTACAGGAACCAGGTTCCTATGTCGGGGAGGTTATTAAAGTCATCTCTGATAAAAAAGTCCTGGTCAAGATCCAACCAGAGGGGAAATACATAGTCGATATATCAAAAGATATTAATATCAAAGATTTGAAAGTATCTCAACGTGTATGTTTGAAAAGTGATTCTTACATGTTGCATAAGATATTGGAAAATAAATCAGACCCATTGGTCTCATTGATGATGGTGGAAAAGGTACCTGACTCCACATATGACATGGTCGGTGGGTTGACTAAACAGATTAAAGAAATTAAAGAAGTCATAGAATTACCTGTAAAACATCCAGAATTGTTTGAAAGTTTGGGTATTGCACAACCAAAAGGTGTCATCCTTTATGGTCCACCGGGGACAGGTAAAACACTTTTGGCAAGAGCCGTGGCACATCACACAGATTGTAAATTCATTAGAGTCTCTGGTGCAGAATTGGTACAAAAATATATCGGGGAAGGCTCTCGTATGGTCCGTGAATTGTTTATAATGGCACGCCAACATGCTCCATCTATTATCTTTATGGATGAAATTGACTCTATCGGTTCAAGTCGTGTTGAGAGTACAGGCGGTGGGGATTCAGAGGTCCAAAGAACAATGTTGGAGCTATTAAATCAATTAGATGGGTTTGAAACATCCAAAAATATTAAGATTATAATGGCCACAAATAGATTAGATATCTTAGACCCTGCACTGTTAAGACCAGGTAGAATTGATAGAAAGATTGAATTCCCTCCCCCAACAGTGGCAGCAAGAACAGAGATTTTAAGAATCCATTCACGTAAGATGAATTTGACTCGTGGCATCAACCTAAGGAAAATTGCAGAGAAAATGAACGGTTGTTCTGGTGCAGATGTTAAAGGTGTATGCACAGAAGCTGGTATGTATGCATTAAGAGAAAGAAGAATTCATGTAACTCAAGAAGACTTCGAGTTGGCTGTAGGAAAAGTTATGAATAGAAATAATGACACTACAATCTCCTCTGCCAAACTATTTAAATAAGCATATACACAGTCATATATATATAATTTTAATTTCAATTTATAGTGTAATTAAATCCTTTTACTGTTATCAATTGTTTTTTATAGAAAGAGTATCAAACCATATCTTATTTGTTTTGGAAGATTTTTTTGCGGAAAAAATATCTAAACCATTATTCACTGAGACCCGTGTTAGATTTTTTATTTTGAATAACAATAAATAGTGACCAGTCGCCTAATACTTCTGCTGGTTCTTCTTACCAGTTCTGTAACGTTAATTATTTGTAATGTAATCTTTATTTTCTTGGCCGCTACCAAACCAAAAACAAAAATCTCGAATTAGTTATTTTTTTTTTATTTCCCTCACAAAAAATGAAAAACCACGACGACAACATTCTATTTTTTTTTCTTTGTTTTTTGTTTTTTGATTTCTTCAATTTTCGTTTTCATTCTGAAGAATTGAGGCAAACGTCAATTCAATAGAGGAGACACCTGAAGTAAATATAAGGATAGTTGAATTATTTAGCAAAACATAAGGAAACTCATATAATTAAATTAATTTGGAAGAAACATAACACTCCTTTGGTAAGGAGAATTATTCGTATCGTTCCCTTTTTTATATCATAGTTTTTTTTCGTCTGCTTTTTCTTTACTGTAAATTTTTCTTTTGATATTCTTTCTCCTTTTCTTTCAACTAGAAGAATACAAATAATATAATCAATCATACTTTGTTGCTGTATACATCATTTTTTTATAATTTAAGTTTGTTCAGTGTTAGGTATGACTGAAGAAACGACAAAACCTACAAAGACTCCACCGGCAGTCACGCCTATGGATATGTCTACCCCTACTTCCACTGTAAGTAATACTTCCTCAAACTCTAGTTCCAACCATAACAACAACAACAATAGCAATTTTGCTCCAAGACAAAACAATAATAACACTAGTAACTATAACAACTATAATAATAGAAATAGGTCATATAATGGATCAAGACAATCTTATTCAAAAAATTTTAACAACAGTAACAGTAGCAATAACAGTTATAATCATAACTATAACAAGAATTCACCTAATGGATACTCCCGTTATACTAATGTGAAGAGTAGATCAAATAGTTATAATAATAGCACCTATACTAGTCCAAAAAACAATACAAATAGATTTAATAATGGTAGCAGATTTAATAATTTACAGTATTATAATAGTAATAATAATGGCAATAACGCTAGTCCAAATATGATAATCTCGGGAAGTGAAGATATGATGAATCAACCACAAACAAGTATGGCATGGTCAGGTTATTATATACCTCAAATGTATTATATTCCACAACAAATGGCTGCAGTTGCAACTGCCATGGTCTCTGCAAGTACAAATAATACGAAAAATAATAGAGGACAAACAGATCTTTCTGAAAATAACAGTAATAATAGTTCCAATATTTCTTCTCATGCAGTATCTCCACAACTCAATGGTGCATCCTTGAATTCCGTGGTTCCAACAGTCAGATCTAGTAAAGCATCACATCTAATGTCGAATAATAATAATAATAATAATAATAACATAAATGCTAATATCCAAAACATTTCATCAAACAATTTGTCATCCCCTAATTTGTCTAATTTTACCTCTTTTGCTTCCCCACCAAAGAAAACGACCATTGAAATTACTACAAAAAGTGGCCAAAAATTAGATTTGAATCAAATTCATAATCAATATAAGTTATCATCTTCCTCTGGAACCAATAATAGGGAAAATTCTAACTCTGGCTCTATTGTAAATGAATATGAAAAGAAGGATACTAATGCAACAAATGATAATGCCCATAATACGGAAACCAACAAAGACATGCAGGATGTAGAATCTGAAGCTGAGAAAAACAAAAAGGCATTTTTGGAACAAGTTAGATTACGAAAATTGGAAATGGATAAAAAGAAACAACTAGAATCACAGTCTCATCCAGGGACAAAAAGTAACGAAATTGAAAATGATTTAACTCAAGATGATGAGAAGTCTGAATCAACAGAAGATAGCCAGGTAGAAGAAGGTAATAAACTTGAGGAACAAGAGTCTGAACATGTTATAACTTTTGCTGAAAGAATGAAATTAAAAAAACGTACCCAAGAGATTGAGCATACTAATTCTAATATTACTCACTCTTCTAGTAGAGATATATCAACCAAATCAGATATAACCACAGAAGTGGATTCTAACCAATCTCGTGAAAAACAAGAGGATGCTATGATAAAATCATCTGATGATAGCGAAACCAATAAAGATATAAGTATCTTACAAGATAACCAAGAAACTATTACTAATGATGAAAGTAATGATGATGATAATGATGATCGCATGAGTATAACTGAATTTATGGAAAAAATAAAAAATGCAGATCCAATTTACGATATTTATTCATTCAAATATCCAGAAGATATTGAGACACCAAGTGAAAAATATAAGAAACCACATATTAAATATACTTATGGCCCCACTTTTCTTTTACAATTTAAAGATAAAATCAATTGTAAGCCAGATAGGGAATGGAGCGAGGCTACAAAATCTAAGATTGTAATTTTACCAACCATGGCGAAACAAAGAACTAGAGTAAACTTTGCTGGTGGTTCTGAAAACACAAGAGCTGGCTCTTCCAGAAACTTAGAAAGTAGGGCAAACTCTAGAGTAAACCCTAAGAGGCAATTGTCAAAGAGAGGAGATGATAGAAGATCGAACAGACCAACATATACACCAAGACGTGAAAGAATGGAGAATCCATCCAGGCACGATACAAGAAGAGAATCTATGAACATGCCACCGCAAGAAAAACCAGAACAACCAAAGGAGGAAGTAGCACCATTAGTTCCCAGTGCTAATAGATGGGTTCCAAAATTCAAGGCCAAAAAGACAGAAAAGAAATTGGCTCCAGATGGTGTCACTGAATTGTTTGATAGTGAGGAGGTGCAAAGAAAAATGAAATCATTATTGAACAAATTGACACTTGAGAAGTTTGATCCAATTTCCACGGACATAATTAATATTGCTAATCAGTCGCAATGGGAAACTAACGGTGAGACTTTAAGAAGTGTTATTGAACAAATATTTTTAAAAGCATGTGATGAACCATACTGGTCTTCCATGTATGCTCAACTTTGTGGTAAGATTGTAAAAGATTTAAAAACAGGAATTAGTGATGAAAATAATACCGGTAAATCTGGTCCAAAATTAGTTTTACATTATTTAGTAGTTAGATGTCATACTGAATTTGAAAAGGGTTGGACAGATAAGCTGCCTACAAATCCAGACGGTTCACCATTAGAACCAGAAATGATGTCTGATGAGTATTATGCCTTGGCTGCTGCTAAAAGAAGAGGTCTTGGTTTAGTACGGTTCATTGGGTTCCTATACCGTCTGAATTTACTGACTGGTAAGATGATGTTTGAATGTTTCCGTAGATTGATGAAAGATCTTACTGAAAATGTAAGTGAAGAAACTTTAGAATCATTAGTAGAATTGTTAACTACTGTCGGTGAACAATTTGAAAACGATTCATTTAGTACTGGCAAAGGGACATTGGAAGGTTCTGTCTTATTTGATAAATTATTCCAATTAATACAGTCTATAATTGACGAAGGAAAGATATGTAATAGAGTTAAGTTTAAATTAATTGATGTTAAAGAGTTGAGAGAAGATAAAAATTGGAATAGTGAGAAGGCAAACCAAGGCCCTAAGACCATTCAACAAATTCACGAAGAAGAAGAAAAAGCTCGTCAAGAAAAAATTACAAGTTCAAGAGCCCCATCCAGACGCACTAATACATCTAATTACAACCGTAGTGAGAGGTCAGGTGGATTTAAAAGAGATATGTCTAGGGATAATTTCAATAATAATTATTATTCATCTAATACTATATCTAGTAATTACAGCAGCAGAAATTCACAATTTTCTAATGTTGGTGGAACTCAAAGATATAATACAAGAAATATTATTAAGGAAGAAAAACCTGCACCTACACAACCAATCAATAGATTTGATGCTTTATTACACGCCACTGGAGACGAATAGTGACAAAGAAAATTGTTTCCTGCCTAAGAAAAAATAATACCAGCATAATACATTACTTTTATTACTTGTTCATTTTTAATCAGGTATCACATTTCATTCACTAGTAGACAAAAAATTGGATTTTGTTTTAATAGTAGTACAGAAATCCTGCCATATTCAATATATAGATATATATAGTATTAGTTATTTATTATGATGCAAGTAACAATTTCGTCATTTTATAGCTATATGTATACTATTTTAATTTTTTTTTTATAAATATAAATATAATTAAAGTTACGCATTTTTATCAGACATTTTATTTCTTAATTGGCGTTGTCTTTCTAATCCTTCTCTACGTTTCCTTTCCCTTCTTTCATCCTTAGTTTCTTTTGATTCTGATTGTACATTTAAACTGGAGATGATTTCTTTGTCGATAGTAGCGTATAATTCATTCATTTTCTTTTTATTTTCAATAAACTTTGACAAAGTTAATTTGTTCAAGATATTGTTAATATATTGCTTTGAAACAAAGAAAGTTAGTGTGTTGTTATTTTTCGTATTTATGAATCCAATAGGTACATCTAATTTGATATTAATTCTAATTGCAACAATATTATTAGATCCAATACCACTTTCTCTAAAACCGCAAGACATAGCAACATTAAGTAATTTGCTCGCCATTTGAAAGTCTCTACATTTAACGTGTAAAATGAAGGGTTCATATTTATATAAAACATATCTTACAGAATTATCAAACTCATTAGTTGTATCATCTGCCGGTAAAAATTGGATCTGTTCGGTGTCTGATATTTTATCCAACCAATTTAGAACCTTATCTTGTTCATGTGTTACAAATAACCATCTACCACCAAGACCTTTGCCACCACTCTTGGCTTCTTCTCTGTTGATTAATTTTTCACCCTCTACAAAAACACTAATTCTACCAGAACAAGAAGATGTAGTGACCATATCTTTGTGTGAGTTAATCAAATGCATAATAGGTAAACATAATTGATCGATAGTGCCCTTTGGTGATAAATCTGGTTCTAAAGAGTTTATTTCTTCAAGTATGGCTTTCTTTTTTTGATCAAATGGGTTCTGTTTTGACATATTTCACCGATAAAGACATCAACTAATGATGTAGCTTTTTAAACAAAAGAAGGAAATGATCTATAGATGAGAGACTTCTTACATACTCTAAACAAACTGAATCATCTGGTATATACGATTTAATGATAGCGTTGTAAATTTTGCAGTTTCAACGTTTTAATCATTTTTAAATAATTTTTCTATATTTTTTTTTTATTATCACTTCATTCGTAGAACATTCAGAGCTATATAAAGACAAAATGAAATACTTTTTTATCAAAAGAAAAGTAATTAGTACATATAGTTCTTGACAGAAACATAAAGCTAGTTCATTCTTTTGTATATAATACAACTGTACTTCTTTGGCTTTTCTTTTTTCTTTTTTTAACTTAGAGTTTTAATTATCAGTGAAACAACCATATTTATTCTATTTGTATTGACCAAAAAACTGAAATAATATTAATGAAAATCCAAACATCAATTGAACAAGATTAAATATATATCTCTTAATTATACAAGAATATGCTATATTACCATATCACAAAAATGTAGACTTTAATTGACTATTATTCTCTTGTATTTGTTAATTAGATAGGGATTATGCTTAGTCCTATTGGACAAGGCTATATTCGATAAGCACTATATTGTTAGTTGAAAAGTGTTATCAGCAAATACAACTCACAAATAACTCTGTATATAAGCTAGATAATCATTTTTATCTATTGTGTATATGATAATGATAATTCTATATTAATGCAATAAGATTGTAACGGCTATTACTAGGAATTTTCAGTGATATCTCGTACATTTGCTAATTGCAATCTCAAAAAAGGAAAAACATGATAAAAGTAAAAACAATAATAGAAAAACAATAGATACATGCAAGATATAGGCATCCCTGATCTAGTATTATTTTACAAAATCTGGTACTATTTTCAAAGACCTTTATCTATCTATATTAATGTTATTTCTTTCCCATTTACACTTATAAATATGTGTTATTCGACGTCTTATTTGAACTGGTTATAATATAAATATCAAAATATTACTCTACAGCTAAGTTTGCTAACTTACACGGCTGTTTTAGTATCAATAATTATGACTGGGAAAGCTTCAAATAAAACTCCAAGTGTACATACAATATGAAACTTTTGACTACAGAACATGAAGTATAATTCAAAAATATTATAGTTAATCAGTATCGATGTGTTGATGTTGTTGGAGAAAAACTTGGTGGTAAAGTCTTATCTATATCTGATGAATAGTTTGCTGTTACCAAAAATCTTATTAAACCTACACAGCTCATCAGAGATGCAAATCGATTTACCTATACTGGTGCATGATATGATGGTTGGGAAACCAGAAGACACAATAAAAATAAATATGACTGAGTTTATTTTACAGATGGGTATTAATGCTGCTCAAATTGTAGGTGGTGAAATAGATATATCGTTTTTCAACAGTAGTCATGCACCATATGTGTCTATTGAAGCATTATGTGATAAAGATAGTAGATCAGCAAACAAAAATGGCAATAATGAATTCATTAAAGAAGATGCTTCTAGATAGGAAACAGTTATTGATAAAGTTGAATGTTGTCCATCACAAAGACATTTTTTCATAAGAGACACAGGATTAACTGATTCCTCGTACACCCATGTAAGATTAAAAATGTATCAAGATAGTGGAATTGCTCGTTTTAAACTATAAGGTAAAGTGACTCCACCATCTATCCGCTACAACGAAGTGGAATACATTGATTTAGCTTATATAGGTAATGGAGGTGTAGCTGTCAGTTTTTCTGATGAACATTTTGGCAGTGCTGAAAATCTTTTGTTACCAGATAGAGGAAAAAATATGTTGAATGGTTGGGAAACGAAAAGATCTAGGGAACCAAATCATTCTGATTGGATCATCATCCAATTAGGTTATAAATCATCGTATATTCATAAAATAATTATAGATACAGCACATTACAGAGGGAATTTCCCTCAATGTATAATGGTACATGATTTATTTAAAGAGGGTGGATGGATTGAACTTGTTAGTAAATCCAAAACAGGACCTGATAAAATCCATGAATATATTATTAGTAAAAAAATAACGATTAGTAAAGTTAAACTGACTATTATACCTGATGGTGGTGTTGAGGGGATAAGAGTTATGGGTAAATAGTCAAATAGCGTAAGGTAACAAAATTCAATTTTACTGCCTTTTTTATTTTTTTATTTTAAGCAAAAATTAAATAGATATTATCCGAGCTGTTCTTAATTACAAGATTATGCATTAGTCTCTATATAAAAGGTATGATTACGTAAATGCTTTATATCATAAAATAGTGTAAAAATAATCTATAATGTGTACCTAAAGTTTGGATTTTCAAAATCTGTCATGTCTGCAAACTCAAAATTGTCAGATTTTGCTATACCTTCCTTTGATTGCAATTTGTCGCGTCTTCTATTTTCTCTAATATTTAAAAATAATAAAATTAATAAAAGTGCAACCTCAATTGCATAGCAAACAACCATAGATGTCTTTGCACCATCATAACTAGGTGCTTGCTTGGCAATAAAACATTGTGGACCTGCAATATTGGCAGCTGCATAGCCAGCCTGAATAATCGATGATACAGTCCATTTTTTGGTATAACCTGAAGAATTTGCACTAATATTGGCATAAACACAAATAAGAGCAACTGGTGTGATATACCATAGATAAGCACCCGCCAATTTAGCATTTTCAGAATCATTGGCATAAGCTAACATACAACTGGAGACTAAAGATAAAGTACCAGTGAGTATAGCCCATGTTAATCTATATCTCCAAATTGGAATTTTCTTCTTATCGCAGTAATATGCAAGAATACCAAATAATGAACAACCGGCCAATTCTACTGCACCAGCCGGCATACCCATTAGTAAAGAATCCTTTGTAGAATAGCCAAAATCACTATGTAACAAAATATTGAAAAAATTGGTAATACCACCATTTGGAATATTAGAGGTGACTGCAATAAAGAAGTATAGCCATGTTCTAGGATCTCTTAATGCTTCCAAAATTTGGTATATTTTAATCCTATGATTACCAAAACCTTGTTGGTTTGATCTAATTCTTTGGACAACCATTAATTTTTCATTTTTAGTCAAGAATCTTGCATTAGATGGATTATCTGGAATCCAATAATAAATTAGTGAACCCAAGAATAAAGTGATAACACCAATGATTATAAATAATACTCTCCATGCTGTAATGGTATATATATCTTTATGAATATATAGGCCATATGCCATGGCGTTCAAAAATATAACACCTAGCCCATTCATAGCAAACCAGATACATATCCTAGTGAACTGTTCATCTGCTTTCCAATACTCGGCTGTAATAATGGTAAAACATGGTGTTACAACACTTTCCACACAGCCCAGTAACACTCTTAATACAATGAACCCCGGATAATTGATATATGGTGCTGAATGACAACATAATAATAATCCCCATATTAAAATAAATATGGCTAGCATTTTAGACATATATTTACTTTTTTGAAATAATACTTGTACAGGACCTAAATTCATGAATAGAAACCCAAAATAGAAAGCAGAACCAACCCATGAATATTGGTTGCCATGCATCTTTAAATCCGTACGTAATCCCATGATAGCTGCTGAACCAGTTGCAACTTTATCCATGAATTGCACGGCATAGATTAAACACATTAATGGAAACATACATAAATCTATTTTCCAGACCAACTTTCTATCTTGCTCTGGTGTTATTTTGATTTGTTTAGCATCATCAGCCAATCTCATAGCATCGTCTAATTCAGTTATATTTTCCCCTTCTAGATCATTTGTGTAAGAAACTAAATTAGTCTCTTTTTCAGCAGCAGGCTGAGTATTAGATTCATATATATTTACTTCAGTAATGCCAATGTTATTGAGATGTTTTGAGTCGTTTAATGATTTATTATCTGATGATAAGCTAGACATATTTATTTAGATAACTATGCTAAATTAATTTTATGATTTTTTTTTATTAAAAGGCCGTGTATTAACGTGCTTCTATAAAATGTTGAGTCATTTTGTGCCCTCTTTTTCTTTCATTTTTAACTAAAAAACAATCTATTCTATAATCTTTATTTATATATCTGTTGTTCCAAGATAATTTCTACTAATAAGATCTTAGTAGTAACTTAAAAGCAAATATTGTATGTGAAAGAAAAAAAAAAAGACATAACTGAAGGACAGATGAGTGTGCTGTGTACGGATCACACATCAGATAATCTGACACAACAAGTATCCTCATCAATTGCGCAATAGGTTTGCCCATCTAAGTCAATTAATCATCGACAAAACAATACCATGTCTTTATCCCTTCATGAATAATTTAAGATTTTGCTCGAATTTTATAAAAGGGCATCACATTTTCTGTATAATAATATACAAAGAATTTTTGTAGTTTTATTATTCACTTCAGATCTTATATTATGTTGTCATCACAAAATAATGCATGTATCAAAAACTAAAAAAAAGATTAAATATTCCCCAAGAAAAAAAAAACAAAACTGAAAATGAAAACTGTGATTTTCAAAAAACTGTGGGACTTTTTGAAACAAAAAATGTGTAAACTGTCCACAGATGTCTTGATGTTAAAGATTCAATGGCAAAAATCCTCAAGTTCCTTAGAAAATAAAATGATGCAATTGTTAAGAGGCATATCGTAGATGATTTACATCGAGTTGTTCTCTTTGTGCTTTTTGTTTTTTATTGTTGATACCATTGACACTTTCATATCAGATATACCTTTTGATATTAGTTACAATATTTTCAGAACCATTTTTCAACGAAATATTCTTAATAATGATAATGGATGTTGATAAGATCAGACAAGTGAATATGAAAATATCCTTTTCAATAAGATTGTTCCCTGTGGGTTTCCTTCAAGTCCTATTTGTCTATTTCCTGTTTTGTAACAATAGACATAATATTTACATATTCTAGCTAAAAGTAAACTACAACTATGAAAAGAGTTATCTTCTAAGGGAAAGTAGTTCTAGGTTCTCGCGATTAGCTTTTAGTTAACTTACAAAATTAGTCCAGGGTAGTTGCATCAAAAAGAGAAAAAGCAATCTATATTTTAATGGCCCCTTTTAATTTACAAATTAATCCTACTATATAAAAGACAATGCTATTTTAGATCTGCATCAGACCATAAAAAAAGCAAATGTTCGAATGTTAAGATGAACTTAAAATTTCTTCCGTTATTTTATATAGAGTAGATCTAAAATTTGGATTTTCAAAATCTGTCATGTCTGCAACTTTTAAACTATCAACCTTTTATGCACCTATTTCTAGTTCTAACTTATCACGTTTCTGGTTTTCTCTAATATTTAATAATAGTAATGCAGATAAAAAAATAATCACGGCTGCACAACACACAACCATAGATGTCTTTGAGCCCTAATAATTAGGCACTTGTTTGGCAAGGTGCTATTTCTGCACCTAAATTAATTAATAGATCTGTTGAAATTACTGGTTCACCAGTTAGAAGTATGCTTGTGAATGCTTTAAATGCTGAAGTCACAATGTATATAACTGATTTTGAGGATACGTCCTCCCTAACATGGTTTAATATGATTTATGGACAAGTTAATATATATGACAATATCAGAAATCAAATTGATTTTGCTACTTCGAGAAAAGAGCATAAACTTAAAAATGATTTTGCCAAATTGGCTACTGTTATTGTTAGACCTTATGGTTTGTGTACGGTTGAAAAACATCTTTATATCGATGGAGAATCCATTAGTGCTTCTATATTTGATTTTGGTTTATACTTTTTTCATAATACTAAAAAACTAGTTGAAATAGGTAAAGGTCTCTATTTTTTATTTACCAAAGATAGAGCATCATTTAGAGGTGAAATGATGGGATGATATTTTCTGTGTAGCACAGGACTATGTTTTTATGCCAAGAGGTACTATTAAAGCAACTGTTTTGATTGAAACTTTACCAGCTGCTTTCCAAATGGAAGAAATCATGTATCAAATAAGACAACATTCTAGTGGATTGAATTGTGGTCGTTGGGATTATATTTTTTCCACTATTAAGAAGTTAAGAAATAAACCAGAAAATATCCTACCAAATCAAGATCAAGTTACCATGAAATCTCCATTTATGGAAGCATATGTGAGGAAATTGATTAATACTTGTCATCGTAGGGGTGTACATGCTACGGGTGGCATGGCGGCTCAAATTCCTATCAATAATAATTCAAAAGCTAATGATGCAGCAATGGAAAAAGTCCGTCAAGATAAAATAAAAGAGATGAAAAATAGGCATGATGGGATATGGATTGCGCTTCCTGCTTTAGCTCCTATATGTAATGACGTTTTTGCAGATATGGGGTCTCCAAATCAACTATATTACATTCCTGAAATATCTGTAGGTACAGCAGACTTACTAAATACAAGAATACTTGGCAGTAAAGTTGCAATTGAAGGTATTAGAATTAACTTAAATATTGGATTGCAATATATGGAAGCTTGGTTGAGAGGATTTGGTTATGTTCCAATTACTAATTTAATGGAAGATGCAGACATTGCAGAAGTGTCTCGTTGTCAATTTTATCAATGGGTTTGTTATGATGTTTTATTAGATAATATAAATGAATCAGTAAAAGCTGAATTAACCACAAAAATTTTAAAGGAAGAAGTTGCAAAATTAGTCGCTCAATCTCCTATTGGTGATGATAACAAATTTGAATTGTCAGCTAAGTATCTTTTACCTAAAATAAGAGGAGAAAAATTTAGTGATTTTCTAACTACATTACTTTATGATGAGATTATTGAGTTGAATGAAAAATCATTTGATTGTTTTACATTATAAGTTGATGATTATGTAAAATATTTTATCTATTGTCTTCTGTATGTAATAAATTAACTTTATTGAAAAAAGGAATTTTTATCTTTTGTTACTATCTCTTGTCAGTGATTCCCTATCCATCAACTCTATTTTATTATTCGGTTGGTTTGATCTTATTTCTTAGTATAGAGAAAAGAAAGATATAAATATATGGGATATTTATTTGTATTTAACATTCACTCAGAACTTCACAAACTCAAAAACGAATACTGCAACAGCTTATAAAAATAAAGGCAAAAAAATTGAGTAAACTTATTATTAACCATGCGTTATAACCTGTAGTGGTTAATCCAAATAGCTCTCAGTTAATGACTGAAGCAATAAAAGAAAATATTAAGAAAAATCTTTATCATGATTTATTTGTTCAAGAGAGGATAACTATTACTTATTTCACAGCTTCAAAAAATGCATCATTGCAAATTGAAGATGAAAAAACCAGCATTGATAGTTTAAATAAATGTTTTCCATTACTAACCAATAAAATATCAGAATTCTATTACGATAATTTTAAGGGAATTTTAGTAGCATGTTTCTCTGACTATCCCTTAGTTCATGCTTTACAAAGACAAAATAAATTAGATTAAAACAATACATTGATATTAGATCTATTGGAAATCAGTATAAATTATTGTGGTATGTATGGAAACCAATCGTTCTCCATCATAACTTCAAATAAGGAGTGGGTACCAATACTAAAGAAATCGGTGGAAAAGAATTTGTTGACAAATTATGTGCTAAAAAACAATTTGTGGAAAGGTACTGTTACAACTAATTTGCAAGATTTAGATTTACATGATTCTAAAAACTTTAACTTTATAGCAAAGAAAATTGAAAGAGAAAACCTGAATAAATTTAAATCGAAATTAGTAATACTTGGTTGTGCTGGATTTCAAGGATTAATAGAGTCACTTACTTCTAAATTTAACAATAAAGTTGAATTTGTTGATCCTATTATTATTAATGTAAGATTATTGGTTTTTAGTAATGGTGTTTATGCAAAAATCGAATGTTCTAGAATAAATAGATAGATCATTCAAATTTTAGTAAATATTAATTGATTACAAAATGTTGAAAATGTATTGTTTGCTTAGCAGTAAATAAAAACAAACCTTACCAACAATTTGGTGTGGTGCATAGATGAGTTGTTCCAGCTATTAAATTATATAAATCCAACACTTTTTTCATATCTTAATTTTTCCCTTGTTTATCTTTGATAAATCATCATCTATATATTATATATGAATAAAAAAACCGAAAAAATTAATCACAATTTTGTATATTTTATGTCCAGTTGCTGTAGGTGCTAATTTTCAACAGTTTAACATTAAAATCTTTGTTAATTATATATATATATATAATGTTTTTGTATTGAAATGCATTTTTGTTTAATGTTTTGTTTTTTGAAAAAAATTTAAAGGAGCATGCTTACGTCATGAAATCCAATTTAATACTTAAAAGAAAAACAAATAGGTGTAACAAGTACGACATATCATTTTTTTAAAAGTATTCATGTTGAAATGAAATGTTCTATAATAAAATAGATAGAACAATAAGATTTTAGCAGACACTAAACGATAAATTGTTGAGTAATTGTTGAGAATGAGCGCCTTTATTCATTGGATATATAGTAAACATTCTCAATATTATATTAAACAGATTTAGTATACAAAATTATAATAAAGTTCTTCACTTTCTTACTCTATATACAACATAGAAATAATAATATACAAAGATTGTAAATAAGATAAAAATAATGTATGATGAAATCCTTGGCTTTATATATGTTAACATTAAGCCATTTTCCTCTACGAACAGTAAGATATTTAATAAACAAACTCAACAACCTTTGGTGACCTCTCAACAATTATTACTCAACAATTTATCGTTTAGTGTCTGCTAAAATCTTATTGTTCTATCTATTTTATCATAGAACATTCTATTTCAACAATTTTAATGAATTATTTCCAATAATATAAAATAATTACACACTTGCATCATATATAATGACTAATCGTTTAAAAAAAATTTTAGATAAAAAATCAAAATTATTAAAATATGTATATAAACACCTGAATATTACTTGAATATAAAGTATCAATGGATAATTTTTTCATTTCTCCCAACTATGTGGTTTATACTGACAACAACACTCAACAAATTATCCTTATCTCCTCTGGATGAATAATATTATTATACATGTCTTTAGCGTCGGTGATCATATTATATGTTATTATTATGTATTCCCGAGATGGGAAAAAACCAACTGAGTATTAGGTACAAATCTATTGCAACAAAAAATCCAACAGGATACCCAATATAATACAATTTAATAGCAACTTCTGTGACATTAATATTACTACCAACATCACAAATAAATCCTGGTAAATTTGGAGCAATGCCACACAGATATGCTACTATTGCTCTCTAATTAATTCCAAATTTATAATTATACATATAATAACCGTCCTTGTGAGATAAAAACAAATGAATTAGCTTCAAATATCCTCTCCTAACAATATAATAATCTGCATATATAACACCAGCAATACTAGATAATAGAATAACATATGTATCTAAAGCATTAGTAAACTTACTAAAACTAGACATCATATTCCAAGGACAAATACAAAGGGCCATTATAATGCAGAAAACACCACCACATTTAGTATTAATATTAACGAGAAAATAAAGCTGCCATATCTGTATCATATGAAAAGGAATTTGCAGAATTATTTGTACCCAATTGGGCAATAGCAAATACAAATAAAATTAAGAACACACTTGCCCTTGTACTACTAGTGTATGACGTTTCTAAAAATTTTTCAAGAACATCCAATGGAGACTAATATACATTTCATAACCAGCAGCGGTTACAATAATTCCAATTAGACATGTGATAGCAAAAAATAGTGGGATAGCTGTTAATTGTGACCATAGAGAAGCATTGGGAATTTTTGCAAATCTACTAAAATCTGGTGCATTGATAATTAATGCCGTAAAATTGGACATACAAAACATTGGCAATCTTACAAATATCCAAAAAAATTCTGAGTGTTCTGGTTTAAAATCATTTAAGGATGATAATGCAATTTTTCCAAGAGATCTTTTTAGAGACCATATCAAAAAACCAAAAGCAGCAAATGGTATCAATACAACTTTCAGAGTAAAAAAATGTCTAATCTTATGGGGTGGGACTAAAACAAATGGTATACTTATTACCCAAAAAATAAAAAAACATATAAATTCACAAGTGTTGGTATTGGATGACCCAAAATGATTTAGAATTCTCTTTTCTAAATCTTTTCCAAATATTGATCTTAACATTAAAGCAATAGGTTGAGAACTTAACCAAGCTTGAATTGCATACCAAACAATTGCCATAACAATTCTGTTAATAATTGGACACAACAAAAAAAATATACCGAATGATGTCCTACAACTGATCGAGAAGCATAAATGATATGCTGTACCAAATCTTGAATTTATTACAACAAATATACTTGCAAAAGTATATCCAATTCAAATTGTTAACCAACATTGCCACCAGTTTAATCCCAATTGCATATCAGTACCTGCAACCTGCCAAGTATCAATATCAAAACAGTCAGCTAACCAAAAGTACAAATAATTATACCAGGACCAAACTCTTCTGTTTTCTTCAACTAGTTTTAAATCATTATTATAAAAAAAAAGATTCTTTAATTTTAATATTCAAAGTAGTTTTATCTAAAACAATATAATTATAATAAATTTTGTGCCATATGGACTTGCATTCTCCTAAATCAGTAATTTGAGTAAACTCTACAGATGCTGATTCAGCATCTACATTATATTCGATTGCATTAACTACTTTATCATTTTTAATAGTTGTTGAAGAAGAATCTCTCATATTTTCAGACACCTTACGACTTATAATGGAGGTTTCTGAAAAAACGTGTCTTGTAGAGTTTCTGCTAAATATTTCAGTTAAGCCATCCTCAGGCATTTTTATAAAATCAACCTAGTGAATTTAAATAAACAAAAAGATATATATAGTTTTCCTTAGTGATCAAATAAAAAGTTTATTATTTTTCACATTTTAGTAGATCTCTTTTGAATGCTAGAAAGTAATAAGATACATTGGAATTTTAATTTATAAAGAAATACATTTATTTATATGTCACATTTTAATGAATCATATAAGTTTCAGCTAAATGTGAACATGCTTTTTATTTTTTGACTAATAATATCAGAAAAAACAATCTTTTAAGGGTATAATAGTAACAATAGTAACCATAAAAAGTAGAGATTTTTCAAATAGATTCTTAATTTTTAAGAAGGTAAGATATAACTCAATCAGTATTTCAATTCTCCATTAACCATACTAAACTGAAAAATTATTTTTTTTAACTGATCAGTAATTATAATATATATTATTTCGTATCACAATTAAGTGTAACAACCTTCAGTAACAATTCTACCATCAGCTGGAATAATAGTACCTTCTTCCATTTATCTACTCCAGCTGTATCAAAATTTAATCTCAAAAAATAGATATTTCTTTATCCGTTCGAGATTGGATAAGGGATTTTTCCAGATCCAGCTGAAACCAGAATCAAACGTTAAGAAAATAAAAAAAATAAAATCTTAGTGTTTTTTTTACAACGAACTTTCATATTAATTGTTAATCAAGATAAGAATACTTATCTAATAAGGTTCTGATAAGCTACATAAGCGGCATTTTCATAAAAAATTATTCCTTTTGTAAAATAGTTCAACTTTAGCAAAGAATATGAAATTGAAAGACACAGAATAATAATGGTATAATAGACTACATGGCTAATTTTCCTTTATACATTCTTAATAGTTTATCCAATTACATAGAGATGCATACTTTCTGAATAATTACTGTGTTTTAGGCTGAGCTAGCCAAAAAGTACTGATATAATACCCTCCCACCTCCTTTATGTTAAGCTAGTCTATAGAGGTAAAGATATATATATATATATACATATATTTATACAACTAACATGTAGATGTTAGTGTTTTCTTTTTATCTCCCTTTTGAACCTAAAAAACCACAATATTATCAATCATCATAAATCATAAGAAAAAAGATGGCAATCAAATACTTATCCTCTTCCAAAGTGATTCTTAATAACAAATACCAACCTGCTTCAATCATATTTTCCACTGATTCAGGTAAAATTATTGATATTATTGATAAAAAATTCACAAATACCATATCAAAATCTATTAACCTAAAATACGATGTTCATGAATTTGAAAATGTAACACTTAATATCATTTTATTCGGATTAGTTGATTCTCATGTCCATTTAAACGAACCTAGTAGAAGTGATTGGGAAGATTTTAAATTAAGTACTAAGGCTACTATTACTGGTGGTGTCACTACTGTTGTTGACATGCCATTAAATGTTATTTCACCTACTACTTTTGTCAAGAATTATAATTCAAAATTAGCTTCTGCAAAGAATAAACTTTGGTGTGATACAGCTTTCTGGGGTGGATTGGTTCCTACAAATATTGATGACTTAATTCCACTGATCAGATGCGGAATGAAAGGATTTCATTCAGATTCTAGTGTAAGTGAATCTCCTCAAATTAATAAAGAGTACGTTGAAAGGGTTATGAAAAAATTGAAAAGTGAAAACACAATATTATTATTTCATGCTAAATTAGAAGATGAAGAAAAAAGGTATGACAATAAAATAGATCCCACAATATATCAGACATTCAAGAATTCTAAACCTCATTTGTTTGAAACAAATGCTATTAACATGGTAGTTGACATATCGGAAAAAGTTCTGGGAGAAGAGAAGAGCGATTTATCTGTACATATTGTTCATTTAGCCACAGGTGCTGGTATTCCATTAATTAAAGCTTCCCGTCAGAAAGGTGTTCCAGTAACAGCAGAAACATGTTTCCACTATCTCTACTTCATTGAAGATAACATTGCAAATAAGTTTGTACATTTTAAATGTTATCCTCCTATTAAAGATAAGGGCAATAGAATGAATCTGTGGGAAGGTCTCAAAAAAGGTGTTATAACTTCAGTAGTAAGCGTTCATTCTCCTTGTATTCCCGAATTAAAAAATCTCTAAGAGGGTGATTTCATTAGATCCTAGGGAGAAATACCATCAATTGGTTTAAATCTCCCTATTATGTATACATTATGCAATAAACACAATTTTTCATTAAATCCTCCGCAAATTGTTAAGATTTGCTGTGAAAACACTTCAATTCAAGCAGGTTTACATAATAGAAAAGGTTTTATTAAAATAGGATATGATGCAGACTTTGTTGTATTTAACCCTGATAAGAAATATAAGGTAAAAAATAGCTCATTGATGTACAAAAATAAGTCAACTCCATATAATAGTATGCTAATAGACGGTGTTGTGGAGAAGACTATTCTACATGGTAATACAGTATTTAACAATGTTTGAGGAATCACAAAGAATCCTTTAGATGTTACATTGTTAAAATCTAGACATAAATAAAGAGAGAAATTAGACATATATGTATTTTTTGAGATAGTTCATTAATAGCGATTATATATATTTAAGCTTCATAATAACTCAATGAATATGTTTCAAATTTTACATGGTACAAAAATATGACAACTAACAAAAAATTCTGAAAATAATAAGCATGAATCTATTACTTTGCATCTTTGCAGTGTTTTATTTTCACTTTATGATTCAGAAAGTGACCAAAACTAAAATGTAATTAATTTTATTTTTCTCCCTTAAGCCCAGTACATTTTTGACAGATATAAAGAAAAGTGTTGATATAATGATCTCTTGTAGAAATGTTGATATTTAAACAAAACCTATTTTCCAAATAAGGTAACTTACTCTACACCTTTTTTTACCAAAAGCTTCATGTATATATTTGAATCATTTTTTTAACACAGCGTATGTCGCATGTAAAATGATAAAACAAAATTGGGACATTGTTTTTTTGCTGAATAAAAAATATTTTCTTCTAATATGATAAATACATTAATTATAAATTGAGAATTTTGTAGCATATTATCATTAATGACAGCATTAATAACTATTGATCCTGTTATTTCAGTTTTAATCTCTAGTTTCTTTTAGTCTCTAGCATTAAAAGTGAACCACAGAGGTTACGACGAAGATGTAGTTTATATAAGATGATCTCTTTTTTGCTTATCTTTCAATCATGTAAAGGTGTCTTGAATAAGGGCTGATACAGACTCCAACAATTCAAATTGTTAAAACTACAAAATACACAACAGTCCCAACCATACATCTGTTGGTAAGTTCTATTACTTTTTTCTATTCTTTGTATGTGAAAAAAATAAGCAATGACATATCCTATTGAATACCAAGATACATACTTTTAAAATAAAAAAAATTATTTGTTTGGCATTGCCTAGCACTAGTGATAACTATGTGGTTTTTTAGATGATCAAATTCGACTGACTGAAACTTGTTTTAGAAGCTTCCAAAACTAGTCACGTTTTGTATTTACTAATATTTTCCTTTTTATTTTTTTTACTTTTTTTTGTCTTGTGAAATTTGACATCGAACATGATTTTCTCGTCTTATTGTTTTTTTCCGCACGATAAAATGTTTGTCATTTCTCCTTCCACAGTAATTTAACAATAAGATACAGTGTGACACATCCAGACACCACAAGAAATTATTCTTTCACATAAAAAATTTTCCATTTCAAAAATCTTCAGAAAAAAACAAAAATGATACAAAATTCAAGAAATTTAAGACCTAGCTACAAATGCTTTTCTTTATGTATACAGAACAAATATATATTCAAATTAAAGCTCAAATGAAGTGCTATTTAAAGGTCTAATTTAATTTAATATCTAATGAATGTGCAAATATAGTAAGGTATGAGAAAGAATCATACTACAATCAGAGTAAGTAAACAGCGTAAATCCTAAGTTATTTGTTTTTTGGACACCAACTCTTCTACTATCGTATATTGCAAAAAGGAATATTGAAGATTTTTTGTACCAATGACAAACATCTAATTTTATTGGTCTATTAATTTATTGTCAAACAATAGGTTTACAGCTCTTTCTTCTGTAATAAAACGTATACTCAACCAACATGTTGGAAAAGTAAAAAAAAGAATAAAAAAACTTAAGCAATTTCTTGAACAATACGCAACTTTTCTTGCCAGAGACCTGAGTCACACACTTTTTTCTCAATAAACTATTATTTTCTTTTTATTATTAGATATGGCTTTTAATTTTTTTTTCCAATTTGGATGAAGGTAGGAAAAAGACAAAAAAATAAAATACAATCAAAGAACAATACATTCAACACCAAATAAAAAAAATTCTGAAAAAAAAAAGAAAGGAAAATATGAGAAACAGAAGTTAATACATTTTTGAATGAATATATAAACAGTGTAAAATATTCAATATTTTTTCCTTTCAAATAATTCAAAATATAGTCACAACCTCTTTTATCCCTCTAACTGTTCAATTATTGTTTGTATTGTCATTACCACCCATTTCTATACACACTGTATCGAATTAACAAAGTATTTCCTTAAAATTAATCACCAGTCCAAGGCAGTCATTTTAGTACTAGCTCCAAAATATATAATAGTCATGCTTGCTGAAACCATGCCAACAACTATCAAAACTGGAATAGAAATTTCAGAAAAAAATGAGTCGGTCGATACTAGGTCCACGAATACTTATTCTGAAAATTCTTACTTAGAAGAATCAAAGAATTATTCACGTGACATTGAATCTCTAACATTAAATAGGTCATTTTTATTCAACTGGGTGTCTTCTATGAAAGCAGAAGTAAAAGGTATAGAACCAGTTACTGATGAAGAAAAGACAGACACAAGCACTCTTAGTGCGGCAAATACATGGTTTTCTTCTAGTTTAGTCCTTTCCTCGTATGCTGTAGGTGTTCTAGGTCCCTGTGTTTACGGACTAAACTTCGGTACTTCCTGTTTGACTATACTGTTCTTTAATATGCTAGGTTCTATCCCCGTTGGTTTTTTTTCTATGTTTGGTGCCAAGACAGGATTGCGGCAAATGATTTTAACACGTTATTTAACTGGTAACTACACAGCCAGATTTTTTTCTTTGATAAACATGATATCTTGTGTGGGGTGGTGTGTTTTAAACACATATTGTTCGGTACAACTACTAAACATGGTTAACCACAATGGACACAATTGTCCACTATGGGCTGGTTGTTTGGTCATTGCCCTTGGCACAATTACAGTTTCTTTTTTTGGTTATTCTATGATCCATCAGTATGAAAAATGGTCCTGGATTCCCAACCTTGCAATATTTTTTGTAATTATTGCTCGGTTGAAAATATCTGGTAATTGGAGTAATGGGGAATGGCCACACGGTCCAACCACAGCTGGAGGTGTATTGTCTTTTGGATCTGCTGCATTTGGGTCAGCTGCATGGACCACATATGCTTCTGACTACACTGTATACGTTCCTCGTAATGCTAATAAGGCCAAAATTTTCATAAATGTTTTTTCTGGATTAACTATATCATCATGTTTTTCCATGATGTTGGGCGCTGCTTCAGGAATGGGAGCAGTCAATGATCCTGAGTGGATGGAAATGTATAACAAAAATGCAGCTGGAGGACTGATCTATGCTATATTAGTTCCCAGATCATTACATGGTTTTGGACAGTTTTGTTGTGTGGTCCTAGCACTATCTGCAGTTGCTAATAATTTACCTAGTATGTACACAATTGCACTTTCTGCTCAATCTTTATGGTCACCATTTGAAAAATATCCAAGGGCCATCTGGTCCATTGCTGGTAATTTAGTAATGTTGGGACTAGCAATTCCGACTTGCTATTTTTTCCCTACATTTTTAGAGAATTTTATGAACACAATCTCATATTACAGTGCAATATACATTAGTCTGATCTTATCCGAGCATTGTATTCACAGAAGAGGAAAGTATGAAAGCTATGTGGTGGAAGATTGGAATAACCCCAATAAACTACCGTTAGGAATAGCAAGTGCCCTCGCATTTTTCGTCAGTGCCTTTGGTGTTGCACTAGGGATGTGTCAAAGCTATTGGGTTGGAAATATCGCAAGATTAATTGGAAAAAACGGTGGAGATATAGGATGGGAATTGGGTGCTGCTTGGGCTTTTATAGCTTTCAATATACTTAGACCATTGGAAAAGAAATTTATTGGACGTTGACAGAGAAGTAACTATGTTGTAATCAATTAATTAATGTATTTTTTGTGATAGTATTATATTTTACCTGTATACAGAATTGTAGATATATACAAAATAATTTAATAATATATTGAATCGAACCAACCACATTCATAAAAATAAGATTCCAATATAATCCAGTATAATAATTATATCATGGTTTGGGATATCTATATATTCATATAGTAAGAATTTAGTAAAGTGTCTGAACATTAAAGTTGGTGGTAAAGTTATTGAATTAGTGAACACTGGATAAAATGATGGTCCTTTATGAATATATCCAATTATTACATGACGAAACTTACAACAATATTTAGTAAATATAATACATCAAAAAAATTGGTCAACAGATCAACACATATGAATGAATGATAGTTTGTAAAAGATTTGTATTAAAGTAATAATTGGTTTAGTATGGATATTACAACATTAACTCCTTGTTACAGATTCATTAAAAACTTACTCCCTAAATAGAAGCATACATGGGATAATATCAACTAGAATCTAATAAATAAGAAACAATGATTTTGCCATGGTAAGTATTTCATCTACTCTCTTTTTAACAGTATTTCATTAGAAGATTAAGTTATACAAATCCAGCACTTCTAAATTAAATATAACAACCATAACTGTACTATAAAATTAATGGAATTCACAATATCCCATTTTATATACCAGCAGACGGTATAAAAGATGAAACAATTTACTTCATTTCGACAAAATATATCTCAGAAATTACCATCTTATATCGTTATGATTAAGTTGTTTTCACCTTAGAACTTTATAACTTTATTCAAATAGTTATATTTGCTTTTAGTCCCACAAGCTATTCCTATTTATTATGCATTATTTAATGTTTATTCTGTTAAATATAGTATTTTAGGAATAGTTTATTAAAATAAGAAGTTAAATAAACCATTGATATCAAGGTACTTAAATGACTGTATGCAATTTTCATATAATAATTATTGGATCGAAGATACCCACATTAAGCCATATACCAATTATTTTCTCCTGTCAATAATCGTAAGTTGAATTTGGATTTTCAGGACTCTTGATGAAATGAGTTATATGACAAAAAATATACAATATCTGCTGTTAAAGTTTCCATATAGCTATTGTCAGACAGCCGGAATGGTGAGGTCTTAAAATTCATATCAATGACTAGTTTTGTAAACTGATTGATCTAAATCATCTTACAATAAAAGAACAAAGTCTGCCAAATCACCATATTCACTGTTAATTTCAATAACCTTCGTGTCATTTTGTCAATATAGTCAAACTGACACCCTTTATGATCGTCCTATGTGTCAGTCATTGCCAGATCTAATGCTACAGAAATGCTCCTATGCAATAAAGTTGCCGGTGGAAACCTCGATATTCATACATACTCAACATTTACATTAGAAAAACCTTCAGCATATCTTTTATTGGCTGCCTTATATAGTTAATTAATATCTTTCGACCAGGTATGATCATTTCTTATAATTACTTCCTATTCTAATATAAGATGACTTACAGTTGCTGAAATACTAATTACTGTACAAACACATCCCTGTTTTTTCAACAGCACCCAAATTATCCTTACTGAAATCAATATGTGGAGTTTTTAGGCTATAAAGAAGCATATCTGAAGATATTATTTTTTATTATAGTTAAAAACCATCATAGTTCTTTCTTCTTAAGAGATTCAATAAAAGTTAAATTAATGAAGAAAAAGTAGCAGATGCCCAGACAACTCTATAAATTTGTTCAACATTTGACGGATCAACAAATAACGCCGTATAGAAATTAGAATTTAATAGCTAGAACAGACTTACCTATAATACAGAACTAACAATATTCTACAACTTTTTAAATTCATCAAAATCAAAATGCATTTTATCTTGAACTTTTAAAGCAATAATACAACATATTATAAAAACAAATAAGGAGAAGAGAGCAGAAAAAAGAACCGTGCCCATAATCTGTCTCATTGTGTTTTTCAATTCATATGACCTTTTTTGAGGATTATCTTCAAACTCCATTATTCCCATTTGCGAAGTAATATTTACGGTAAGATATAATAAAGTGAAAAAATGTTCAATAATTTGCGGAATTAAGCCTATTTTAGTGGATAACTATAAGCTTACTCTTTTTAAACTTTTTAATGTATTCTTGGCAAAATGTTAGTTATATCCGACTTTAAGTAAAAGAGATGTGGAATAGCAAGAAATTTCCCATGTATTTTGATGTAGTTTTTTCAAGAGTAGAAGCTTAAAAAAATTTAGAATGAGTTGTTTAGATATTCGAAAATGATCAAGGATCATTTTGAAAGCTGAAAAACAAAAAAAAAGTATGTTAAAACAAATGTTAAGAAGATCTTGAGGGCGAATCTACGATGCTTAAATCAACTTTACAAGATCAGGCTATTTTTTGCGACTTGGTAATTAATTGCAACCTTCGATGATAGACAAAATCAAAATAAGGTAATAAAAAATTAAACTTATTGAATTACTATTTGTTACTCTATATGCACTCTCGACCAGCACAAAACAAATAATCTATAACAAATAATTTAGACAAAAGTAAGACTAGTGGCAGAGATACACACTTTATTACTACTTTTATTGGTTACTTTTGAAATTAATCGAGCCCAGAAGAAAGTAATGATGAATGATAGGAACTATGATAAAGAGAATGGAGAAATTCAAAAATTAGAAAAATTTTCGAAGGATGTGTGTTTCTTCCTAATGTTTATAAACATGATGCTGCTTATGATTATGGTAGTCAATATAAAAATGTTTTACTCTGTAAGAAGAGAAACAGAAACTACAATCGCTGGAATTAAAAATCTCATAAAGGAACTCAAAACAGATACGTTTTAATCTGTATTCTTCGTTGAGAATCTACTTCTCAAATTATTTTTGATTAGTCGACCAAGATTGGTCTAATTAAGATATGTACATAAAAATAAACAATTTCACCAATATTATTATTATTATGATTATTATTTTACGAACACTACATATATATCAGCGGTTTCTCTTTATATTTTTATTTATCTGCTAAATGACTATTCGAACATACAAAATCATTCATCAAGAGATCATATATTCAAATATTTTTTTATACACGACTTGTGACAAACTTGCAGTATATGGTAGAAGCTTCTATTAGGTAAGCTTTGTTTTAAAAAAGTGTATAAAATCGCATTCTTTATATGAAATTGAATACACTGTATTATCACCCTAGATGTTATTTGCAACAATGTATAGGAAATATCGTATGATAATATCAGCTATCCATCACAAATAATAATTACTGTATATGGATACAATTTCTTTTGTTTTTGTTACTCGTATTACAATATTTATTATCTATACGTGTGTACATGAAATTTGCGATTGTAGTAATTAAATAATTATGTCAAATTTAGTTTCTTCAAAACTCAATTAGTGAATAGGCATTTATACCATAGTATATGGGGAATATACACCGGTCATAACTATATTTATATTAAGTATATCATGTAATGTTAATTTTGGTGTACCTTTTCTAGTGCTCATCAGTACTTCATTAGAATGAGGTTAAGATAAAAATGATAAAAACAAATATTATAGTATTTATATTCTGTATAACATGTATTCCATTATACAAATTGAAGATCTATCCAATCCAGTATAGTTGTATAGGGTTTAAATAATAACTGATCTAAGAATAATTCTGGATCTCTATGTGATTATAGGATATCGATATTGCGTGAACTTTCCATTCAAATAAGGAACATGCAAAAATAATATAAGACACCGATATTTTCTACAAATTTTAATCTATAGATATAGTATATCTTATTGTTTTTATGATTACCCATAATTACTTGTTACAGTTGAAAGTCAATCCTTAGTGCTAAACATTGAGCCATAATAACATTAGAATAAATTCTGAAAAAAACCAAAATGCGCCGATTATTTCTTTAGTATAGAATTGATAGTTTTCTATGTTATTATTCTACTACGATTTCTTTTCCAGCATTGTTCAATATTTAAAAATATAGATAAACACTCTTTTCTCTACTATCATATTTCTTAAAGATCAAAAAGAATATGGTCATATGAATGGAGTATAGAAGAAAGGCTCATGAAGAGGGAAAATAATACAGTAGAAAGAAGTAAAGATATAGGTTATCAAAATATGCTTAAATAGCCATATTTATAATAAAAGTAGTAGTAACAATAATAAATGGTTATGGTCTATTAATAAATACCTTCCTTAGTCACAATCTATGTATGAAATAAGTTGTTATAGGGGCATTCTCTATAGTCATTTATGAATGATTATTAACTAGATGGTGGTGTAACTATGCCATGTTAAATAACTGTTTGATAAAATTCAATATTATATCATATGAATATGTAAAGAAGGTAGATGATAACTGGCTATTTATAAGTGAAGTTGGTTACTTATATACTTGGTTGTCGATGAGAGTGGTTATTATTGTTGTTAATTTTTTTTTCGAACTATTTTTTCAAATTTTGACACAAGGAAAATTGACAATTGAAATTTGAATGAAATGAGATTGGTGAATAATTAAAAGATAATGATGGTTGATGCTAAGAGTAATTAAGTGTGATATGTTTGTACAGTATCGTACTTGTCTAAGACATAATATCAAGAGAAGTTGTATATTAATGAGGAGTTCATAGTTTAAGGGTGATACCATACAATCTACCAGTTATTAATATCTAAATGAAGTAAACAATTCAAGAGTAAAGACATAATTGAAAGTAATAGTGGTTGATATGAACTTAGTTTACTATGTATAAATCCATAGTAAAGATACATGCTAATATCATGATGACAGACACTGTGAATAACATTGTATGTTATAGATGTAAAAGAGCAATAAAATTTACTAGATGATATCACGATAATAAACCTAGAAATGTGACCATATATGTGAGATGTAATAGAATAACCATTGATGAATCAGATTAATCCAG